GGCACAATATAAGCATCATGTTTAAATGTATGCAAAGTTTTTAGATAAAGTTTATATCTGAATATCCTTGTATAAGAGTAAATGTGATTCTTATCTTCACGAAGAATATAATTGATTAATTTGCAAATTACAAGGCCCCAGTTCTGCATTTGGTTGATTCGTATGCAAATTTGGATTAATACATTAGAATATATTTTTATTCTGGCATGAAATACTATCATGTAACATCAATATATGTGTAGTATATTTTCTCAATAATGTCCCCCAGATTCCACTTAACCTTTCAAATAAGTTGAGGTGAATGATAAAACTGTAACATGAGATAGAAAGTAATTTTCATATAAATATCTTTATGGGCCTTATCACACTTGTGATCAGAATTCTAGAAGTAATCTAGAAGGACTAATGTTCTGTGTGATAGCTACATGGGACATACATGGTTATTTGAGGCTGGACAATATCTGTTTCAGTGCTGCTTTAAACCTAGCCTCTATTTGAAAGCTTAGCCTTTACATTTGCTGTTTCGCTCAAATCACTCAACAATATTCCAGTTGTATGACCATAGTATCTAAATAATCAATTCTGGACCTACTGTTGTAGCATGAGATTTAAGGTTCTTCAGCAATGAAAACCAGAAAGCCATTAGCTGACATTTATCATTGGGTTTGCATTATCCAGCAGGCAATTGTGCAGTCCTATAGGGTCTTGTAAATACAAAGAGTTGAGCCGATTTACAGAAGACCTTTAAAATTGTGTAAAACTGCTTGACTGTTCACGAGGTCAACAACTGAGTTTAAACTGTGTGACAATTATGTAACCTAGACAAAAGACTGAGATGGGTCTGAACTTTGGCTTTTGAAAGATTGGCATTCATGCATTGATTGATATGCTTTGCTGAAGCATGCTTCAGCTGTACTGTAAAATAGGGCACATCTAAATATGCTGAAAAAACTACATCTAAAGATGCATATTATGTACACTAACAGGTATAGCTGCTTCTACATTAGTATGACCTACTAACATAAATTATAAACATTCCATACTACAATATATAAGCAACAATCTACACAATTCAAATACCATGATATGTATCAATCAAGTCCTTGAGTCTGACCAAAGCATGGTTGTTGCCTCTTCCTCCAAAAAGGAATATACATATATATATAAAATAAAGAAATACTTGTTATCTCTATACAGAACAACCAAAACTTGTAGTGATACTTGTAATACATATTCCACTGTAATCAGGTCCTAGTAGTTTCTGAACAAACAGTGCGTTTCATTCTGATGCTTTGAATGTAATAGTTTTAAATCCGTTTTGCTTCATTTTTGTGCCATGAAACAAATAGTTTGACATATCCTCATGAGGTTGAGGTTTCTGGTGTAAAGATTCTCTCACTGTACAATGAATTACATCACCAGCTAAATGAAAACTGGGTAAAATTGCTGAAACACATAGTAGAACAATGTAACTGAGGCAAAAGAGAACTTCATGAGCAGAACATGGAGGATGTGGTAATAGCCTAGGCTAAAGTCTCCCTCTGGAAAACTTCATGAGCAGAACATGGAGGATGTGGTAATAGCCTAGGCTAAAGTCTCCCTCTGGAAAACTTCATGAGCAGAACATGGAGGATGTGGTAATAGCCTAGGCTAAAGTCTCCCTCTGGAAAACTTCATGAGGAGAACGTGGAGGATGTGGTAATAGCCTAGGACAAAGTCTCCCTCTGGAAAACTTCATGAGCAGAACATGGAGGATGTGGTAATAGCCTAGGCTAAAGTCTCCCTCTGGAAAACTTCATGAGGAGAACGTGGAGGATGTGGTAATAGCCTAGGCTAAAAGTCTCCTCTGGAAAACTTCATGAGCAGAACATGGAGGATGTGGTAATAGCCTAGGCTAAAGTCTCCCTCTTGAAAACTTCATGAGCAGAACATGGAGGATGTGGTAATAGCCTAGGCTAAAGTCTCCCTCTTGAAAACTTCATGAGCAGAACATGGAGGATGTGGTAATAGCCTAGGCCAAAGTCTCCCTCTGGAAAACTTCATGAGGAGAACGTGGAGGATGTGGTAATAGCCTAGGACAAAGTCTCCCTCTGGAAAACTTCATGAGGAGAACATGGAGGATGTGGTAATAGCCTAGGCTAAAGTCTCCCTCTGGAAAACTTCATGAGGAGAACGTGGAGGATGTGGTAATAGCCTAGGCTAAAGTCTCCCTCTGGAAAACTTCATGAGGGAGAACGTGGAGGATGTGGTAATAGCCTAGGCTAAAGTCTCCCTCTGGAAAACTTCATGAGGGAGAACGTGGAGGATGTGGTAATAGCCTAGGCTAAAGTCTCCCTCTGGAAAACTTCATGAGGAGAACGTGGAGGATGTGGTAATAGCCTAGGGCTAAAGTCTCCCTCTGGAAAACTTCATGAGGAGAACGTGGAGGGATGTGGTAATAGCCTAGGCTAAAGTCTCCCTCTGGAAAACTTCATGAGGAGAACGTGGAGGATGTGGTAATAGCCTAGGCTAAAGTCTCCCTCTGGAAAACTTCATGAGGAGAACGTGGAGGATGTGGTAATAGCCTAGGACAAAGTCTCCCTCTGGAAAACTTCATGAGGAGAACGTGGAGGATGTGGTAATAGCCTAGGCTAAAGTCTCCCTCTGGAAAACTTCATGAGGAGAACGTGGAGGATGTGGTAATAGCCTAGGCTAAAGTCTCCCTCTGGAAAACTTCATGAGGAGAACGTGGAGGATGTGGTAATAGCCTAGGCTAAAGTCTCCCTCTGGAAAACTTCATGAGGAGAACGTGGAGGATGTGGTAATAGCCTAGGACAAAGTCTCCCTCTGGAAAACTTCATGAGCAGAACATGGAGGATGTGGTAATAGCCTAGGACAAAGTCTCCCTCTGGAAAACTTCATGAGGAGAACGTGGAGAACTTCATGAGGAGAACGTGGAGGATGTGGTAATAGCCTAGGCTAAAGTCTCCCTCTGGAAAACTTCATGAGGAGAACGTGGAGGATGTGCAAAAAGGAATATACATATATAAAGAAATACTTGTTATCTCTATACAGAACAACCAAAACTTGTAGTGATACTTGTAATACATATTCCACTGTAATCAGGTTCTTGTATCAGGTTCTCGGCATTAATGGGTACAACAAGGACTGGTTGGCTCGGAGTCAGTATAATGTGTCTGAGTGGAGCATTCATGCTTCACTGCGGCATGGTATCTCAGTGGGCTAGCACTATAAAACCCAGCTTAAGTCTGGGCTAGAACAAACAGCCACACATACACATACACCTGATATGAGCGAAATATTCTCAAGCACGAGGTAAAACCCACTTTCACCTCACCTCACCACTAACATCATGACTGATACAAAGATGGAAAACAGCCAGGACAAAACATCTGGCATTAACAATACAAACTACAGCCTCAATACATATAAACAAACAAATGTAAACAGATCAGACTCAGGAATTAAAACCTGTACGTTTTTGCTATTTGGACATATGATGAAATTGTGATGCTGACATACTATGAGGAAATCAGAAAATAAACTTAAAAAACTATGGCCAGTTGTAAGGTAGATAATAAAATATACATTTTTGTGAAGGATGATAAAGATCATAGGAAGAGATTCATCCGATGATTCAATACCAACGTTATTTGGAATTGGAATGGTTAGAACAGTCATGAAGAATCATGGTTATTGAAACAATAAAGTTCCAGCTATATTGTAACTATTGATGAATATATCAGTTGATTATATTTAGTTAGAATATTAGGCTGCACAATTATTGAGGTTTTAAGAACTTTCTTTGTAAGTTGTCCTGATTCTTACCAAAAAAAGAAATCTTGGGTTCTAACTAACCTGAACTAAATCATAAGACACTTGAACCTTATTATGGTAGTATTAACAGAAATAAACTCTAAAATAAGCTAAGAAAAGACAATGTGTAATTACCCCATTAGAATAGTTTCAGGAAAACCTTCAATAATTTATCTTTGTAGATCACATTGTCTAAAGTTAAGAGTTTTCACAAACTGAACAAACTTTAAGGTGAAATATGGATATTGTAAAAACATGTTTCATTATTTGCATTATTCAACTGAATAACACAAAATTATTTTCACGAATCTCTTCATTATTTGCATATGTATCCACAAATATACAATGAACATTCCATTTCCATAGTTCTTATGAGTATGGAGAAACCAAATGCACTGCTAATACTTCAGATGAAAGCATACCTATTACAATAACATTTGTTAAAAACATCAAAGCAATTAATCTGCCACCAGTCACCCATCACAAAAAGAGACAGGAATTTAACAAGGGAATCATATTTCAAAGTCCTAGTTGCCATAGCAGCATTATAGGTAGTCAAAGTTGTAAGGTCCTTTAACTGTTTGAGACCAGCTTGCAATATTGGTTAGTGCAGTCTGTAAGTCTGATTACAAGGCCAACATACAATCTCTACTGTAATGTCGTAAGAAATGATACTACTAGTATATTATCTTAAAAGTCCTAATATTACTGATCATGTACATTTACTACATATGCACTTGGCTCTTGCAAAAACAGCAACACTGACAAAATGCTCTCCAATTAGGCTACCTGTGAGTTAACAAAGGAAAAGAGCAGAACAAATCAATGAAAATAGGGCCTGTAGACTATAACTAAAGCTAGTAAGTTGTAGTTAATCTGAATTCTCCAGTTACAGAATTGTCTTGCATACACGAAAGTGTTTCCTTCTTCTTTGTAGGAGATAGTGATGTTGTAATTGTATACATGCTATAAAGTTATGTTGAGGAGTTTCGCAAGTCTCTTTAACTGAGCTTGCTCTTTGCTTGGTGATGACTTGAAGCGATTCTTGAGGACATCCACTGCTGTATCTCTGGATGAACATGGTATGCTGGAATCAGAATTCTCTTTAATGAGCACTGAAGCTACTTCATATGATTTGAATTCAAGGGCTGTGTATAGAGGAGTCTTCAAATCATCATCCACTGCATCTATATCACACCCATTTCTCATTAGTTCCTTGGTTATTAATGTGTTGTCTTTTTCAGCTGAAAGGTGGAGTGGAGTTTTCCCATGGAAATCTTTTTGATTCACAGAAAGTCCTTCATCAATTAACATCTTAACACAAGATACACCACCAGCAATACCAAGAATACTAGTCCATACCGTCCTCATTTTTCCTTTTCTCTGTACTCAGCCCTTCTCAGTTTACTGACAGAGGACATGAACTCAATACTAAAGTTTTTTCCACATGCAAAATGTAACGCTGTTCTTCCATGTTTACTGCTACATTTGTTGACTGAAGCTCCATTTGTAAGCAATATGTGAATCAAATCCTTTGCTCCCATGCTTGATGCTACATGCAGTGGTGTAAGTCCTTCATTATTGGAAACATTGGGGTTGGCTCCAACAGTTAGCAAATGTTCCATACCGCTCCCATGTCCACTTTCTGTAGCTAGGTGGAGTGGCGTGTTAGCTTCTTTGTTAGGAGTGTTCACATCAAAACCTTCTCCAAGAAGAATTTCCAACATCTCAACATTACCATAAGTAGCAGCAACATGCAACAATGAGTCTTCCTTATCCTCATACTCTTTCATTATTGTTGATAAGTTAGTACTCCTTTGTTTGTTTTTGTCTTTGTATTCTGCTTTCAATGCTTTGATGATTGTTATGGCAATGTTAGTATCTGCTCTTGCAATGGCATAGTGTATTGGTAGCTTGCCATTGCTGTCTGGTGTCCAAATAAACATATGAGCTACCTGTAGCACATGTTCAATAACTTCTCTTGGTGCACACTCAACAACAAGATGTAGGATGTTTGAATATATTTCATTTTCTCTTGAGAAAGGTTCCAACAGACCTTTTATCAATCCAACATCATCAAGTCCACTGGATAGAGCATACATCAGAGGTGTGTACCGATTAGCGTCAACTGCACATGGTGACAACCCCCGATCAAGTAAATACTGAATCATATCAGAATTCATTTTCCACTTACAGGCTAGATGAAGACATGTTTGTTCTTCATTGTTTCTTGAATTTATATCAGCACCTGATGAAAGAATTTTGACAAACAGATGTTTTCTAGAAACTGCATAGTGAAGAGCTGTATTCCCTGAAGCATCAGAAACATCGACCACACTAGACTCTGCTAGCAATTCAAGAATAATGGCTTCACTAAAAGAAAGATGATATGCTGTTAAAGCCTTATGCTCATCTTCAGTGAGAACTGATATCATGATTCCTTTCTGTGTTTCCATAATAACAAGGTGGTGTGTGAAAGCAAGTTGATGTGTTAGTATCAAATTACAAAACTGAGAAACTGTATAAGACTTTAGAATCAAAGATATGGTTTGTGGTAGGCTGCTTTTTATAGCTACAAGTAGAGGTGTTTCAAACGCTATATTCTTGATTGACCTGTCAGCTCCATTTCTCAAAAGGCATTTAACTCCCTCTGTGTGCCCTTGACGTGTTGCCACATGCAGAGCTGTTTCCCTGTGATTGTCCTGAGCATTAATATCAGCACTGTGTTTTATGAGATACTCAATTCTGTTTGGAGAGTGTGTTGTTTTGTGGAGAGCTGTGCGACTATCTTTGTCTTCTGCTGACAGAGAAGATGGGGTCTTCATTAGAATATCCATAACTTTTGTCCATTGTTCATCTGAGAATTTCTTTTCACAGAAGAAGTGCATTAAACAAGGCATCACATCTGGTGAAAAACAGTCTTCACATATGTGCAGGAACTCTACAGTTTCATCAAAGCTGTATCCAATGAGAGCATCTCTCAATGAAATACATTCCCAGTTTACTGACATGTCTGATGCTTTTCTTTCCATGAGAAGTCTCACAACCTCAAATGGAGATCCAGTAGCCAATGCAATCTGAAGAAAAGATTCACCATCTGAATGAATTGTCTCCGGATGATACTTCAATAGCTTGCAGATGTTAATTGTTGATGCTTTTGGTCCCATAAGGTACTTCAACACAGAAATATAGTCTATATGCTGTACATGTTCAGCCTTTTTCAGCAGCTTTTCAAATATGCTACTAGATATATTCTTGATAGCAGCAATGTGTATTGCAGTGTTTCCATGTGCATCTTGTAAAGACACATCTACATTTTGTGAAAGCAAAGCACCAATGGAATTACTCTGAGCATCCAAATCATCTTTAGATGTTGGAGTTAATGATGCAGCATAATGCAAAGGAGTCTTCAGGTTATTGTCAACTGAATTCACAGTTGCATTGTTGTCCAAGAGACACTGAATATTGCTTGGAATATTGGCTCTAGCTGCGATGTGAAGAGCTGTTCTTCCCTCTTTGTTTTTCTCTTCAGTGTTGCACCTGTATTTTATTAAGGTTCTAATCATCTTTACTGCACATGGAACTTTACTGCTAATATGTAAAGGTGTTGATCCATCCCTATCAGTAAAGTTAACCATTGCTCCATCCTTCATGTCTGCAGGTCCATTTTCAATCAAAAGTTCCACCAAGGACCATCCCAGATCATTTTTTGCAGCTGAATGCAAAGGTGATAACTTTGTTAACCCTCCCAGGTCATTTGGAGCAATATTGGTGACTGTCACATCAAAACCCTCCAAAATCAGAGTCTTCACAAATTCTACAGAACCACTTTCACATGCAAGATGTAGAGCTGTTGCCCCATATTTATCCACCATGGCAGAATCAACACCTTTCTCATGGAGGTACTTCCACAGAGGTGAGTTGTTCAAGCATGCATAATGCAGAAGAGTCCGACCATGTCTGTCAACTGTATTTTTGTTTTCTTCTGAAAGTAGATACTTGAGAATCTCCTCACTGTCACCAGTCACTGCTGCCTTCAAGAGTTCATTTTGTCGATCTGGCTTTCCAATGGTGTCAAGTAAAAATTTGATCATTTCAAAGCTTCCACATGAACAAACATAACTATAAAGTCTTTGCTTTCTTCTTGATACTTTCAATAGCTGCCAATCAACATTTTGTGAGATGTGTTTCAAAGTCTTAAGTCTTCCGCGTTTCACCAGATTTTCAAGTACCAACTTCATTGGTTTACTAACTGATGCTGACATGAGTTTTTCCATAATTCCAGGTACATCCAAATTGCATTCTGATGCACGTAGAATACACTGCTTACAGGGGCTAATCCCAACATCAATTACAAAATTGAAAAGTTTTTCACTACCTGAAGTACAAGTCCCTTCAAGAATATCATGCAAGACTTCACCGAGTCCATCTGCTTTCATTTCTGTCACAAATGACACCAGTTTCTCCATGAGAAAGTTGTATCTGCCATATGCAGATAAAACATATATCAGATTTGATTTTTTTAATTTCTCCTGTAAGTTGGTGTTGCTAAGTAACCTTTCCAAGCACCTTCGGAAATCGCTATCTTCAAAAGCTTTTTCAACAAATTCCACAGAACAGAAACTATTGTGTTCTAAAATTCTAATGTTGCCAGAGTCAATGTCCTGTACAATTCTCTTTAACAAGGATGAAGTGTAACACTCTGGAATTGAAACAGCATGCTTATTACTCTGCTTTCTGTCATCAAGTCTTGACGATAGGATGGTGTGGTCAAGAAGAAACTGAAATGGGCACAATTTCAGAATTTCATTAACATAGTCCTTTCCAAATGTAAACCCAACCACATCGTATATGGATTGATGTGAAAATTCATAAAACTGCTGATCAAAGTTTAACTGTAAATATCCCATCTTACATAGGACATTTGCCTTCTCCCTTATCTCAGCACTTGAAATGTTCTGTTGGATGCCACATGCCTGTTTCAATGGTCCAAGCATTGAAAGCTGCTCTGAAAGCTCGGAAAATGGATTTAGTTTTTCAATGGCCAATTTTCCATCTTCGAAAATAACCAAAACTAACACCATGTAAGCTACCTTTTCCCTTTTCTTCAAATCAGACACAACCAATTGAAGATATGGTTTTTGAAAGAATGTTGGTCCCAAACCCGATGCATCTGTGTTTGTGAAATATAGTTTACAGCACTGGGGAAATCCTATGTCAAGATCATACTTGGTGAACTTCTTCCTTTCATGCTTTGGCATTTCCACTTGGTACCTTTCTAAATATTCCATGAACATTATATCCTTTTCATGTGTTTTCAATCTGTATTCTTCTGATGTGGTATCAATCATATTTTGCAGCAGAGACAGGTCAGCTATGTGAGCATGACAGTCATCCTTAATATGATCTTTGGATGTAGCAATGAAAAACAGAGAACCATTCTGAACGTACTTCTCAAGAAGAGGAAAATAGTCCTTCCATGATTCAAGAAGTGCTGGGGTGAAATTTGTTTTGCCAAATATGTTATCAGCAAGTACAATAAAAGAGTCATTTTGAGACAAGAGTTTGATTTCATCAGTGTGAGAAATGATTAAAGGTTCAAAAGATTTATCCTCTCTCATCATGCTCAAGAATTCTGTGATGATATGATATGCACTTGATGTCTTGCCGATACCAGACTTCCCAACCAGGAACACTGATCCCTTGCGCATTAAAGTATTCACTGCCTCTTTTGTTGCAAATGTCGGGTAGAAAACGTCTTCTTTCCATTTTGTCAAATGTCCCATACTTCTTTCTGAAACATAATAGCAAATGAATAGGAATAATTAATTGTCATAAAAGGCAAAAATTGGTATGATAATATTTAAGTTATCTTTTCACTGAGTGTATTTTATCAGTTAGACCTGATTCCCTTATCAACCATATCTGTATTTACCTAAAAAAATATGGTTTAAGAATTTGCTTTTGCTCATATTCATACGTTTTTAACACTGAACTACTTCAAGTTGACACAAAGTGACAGATTCATTAACCTTCTCACATTGACAAGTGACTTAGTGCATTTGACTCACCAATATTATCTTTAAAACTGTCTAATGTCATCTTTTAATTTATAGCAAACCTGAATAAGCACCTCTGGTTTGATGCAATCATATTAGATGTGGTAAAATGCCTGCTGATTGCATTACAATTTTGAAACAGGAAGGTTTACATAATGCAGAACTTTGTACAAATATATGGAACGGACGTGTCCTTAGGACATAACAATATGCAGGTCAGAGACAAACTCCTGAGTGAGTGAGTGAGTTGGGTTTTACACCGCTTTTAGCAATATTCCAGCAATATCACGGCAGGGGACACCAGAAATGGGCTTCACACATTGTACCCATGTGGGGAATCGAACCCAGGTCTTCAGCATGACAAGTGAATGCATTAACCACTGGGATAAACCACCAGCCCGGCAAACGTCTGAACATCTATATCTATATCTATCTATCTATCTATATCTATATCTATCTATCTATATATATATATATATATATATATTGTGACGCCATAATAGGGACAACATTCTAAAGCGACAAGGTCACAGCTTGCAATGGTTTAACATTGGTTTGTACTTGTCTATGAAGTAGTGTTCTTTTTTAAAATTTGTTTTACTTTGTCCCAATTTTGAACTTGATAAAAGGAAATATTGTAAATTTAACATCGTTTCCTTTCAGCACAGACATCTAGATGTTCACTCAGTGGGATACATCGGGTTTCAGGACACTTTATTTGTTTGTGGACACGAACCCGGCTCTTAAATTTTCTGATTGACCAATATACTGTTCATTACAACCTGTGCATGTTATGACATATATTATGTTTTGCAAGAGCAGTCAAAATTCTGTTTTACATAGAATTCTCCGTGTCTCATTGAAAGTTACAGAGTGTCCTTCAACAATATGTCGACACGCTCCACAGTTACCTCTGTTACATCTGGACACAGTAGGATTTGGTAAATTCTGTTTCTTTAAAATAAATTTGGCTTTTGTTAGTGACATTTTGTAGTATATATATATATATATATATATATATATATATATATATATATATATCATAGTGAAAACTACTTATGCTGTGCTCATCTTGCTGCATTCAGTGGTTCATGGAAGAAATGCAGGGTACTGACATCCTCACACAATGAATCATTTAAGACAATACATTCCACCACAGTTGTTCTTCCCTGAATCAATTGTAAAAGGAGGATGTGAATATATATTACTGTCATCGCATGACAGAATTTTATTGTGAACATTTGCACAAATTTGTCTAATGATTCTCTTATGAAGCATTATAATCAAGGCTCATGACGAAAACACAGCTGGCCTGAAATGTGGACTAGAAGGATTTCTGTTGGCTGCTCAGGACCAGTCACTTTCAACTTGAAAGTATCTGTCTGTGATTTTATATCAAATTGTACATATGACATGAAGTTACATCTTGTCAGTATAAACCCAGTCGTAACACAAACACAATATCTTAAGCGGCATGATGGTGTGGCTCAATTCCATCATTACCATCTTTGCCACGCTTGTAGCTTTAACTCTGAGGTCCAACAAAGTGAAGTCTGATTACTTGCCTGACTTACTTCTGGCCAACAAACTCCATTTATATATGTAAAAGTCATCAGCTTCAGACGTATTCAGGCCAACAAACTCCAATGAACTCATTTACATCAGTGTCCGTTTTGAAACTAATGTGAGCAGTCAGGCAAGTAAGCAGACTTCACTTATAAAACCTTATATTTGCATCCCATGTGTCAATACAAATAGCCAATTTTCAATTATTTGGTGTCTATTCTGACTATAAGCATGTTATTACGTATCCTTTCAATTAGTGATTATGCCAAGTGTTCGCAGTCACAATCACAAACTCATGGAAAGGCCAGTCAGCAGTTTATATGACAAAAACATGGTAACACATGGTACAATTCCATATAGTTAATCAGATGTTTGCTGAAAGCTTTGCTGATGCCTGTTTTAACCCAGATCAATCAACTATTGACCCTTTTAGAAATATACATACATAAAGTATACTCAGTAGTGAAATGCAGACATCAAAGCCTGGAGGTGCTGAAACAGTTTCGGCAGTTTCAGCAGTCTTTTATCTTTTTTTAACTGACTGTTTAACTGTTATTGAATTACATCAGATCTTTGGTACAACTTAAGTTAAATAGCCAAGCCAAAGTTCCTTGTTTCTCTTCCGCCAATAAAATCTGTGCATAAAGTAACAAATGAGAAAGATGGTGCCCATGGGAATGGTTGCTTCTCAAGAGCCTGCTTGACAATGGTACAAGAATATGTATTGAAATGTCGCACTCATGAAATAACAGAAGTTGTTACCCATAAAGTTTGTTCGATAAGGCTTATTAGCTTGCATTGATGCACTGGCAAACACAACTAAGAATCACAAGAGACTGGGCAACTGTCTGGCGTGTAGGACAAAACAAATTTCCAATAGGTCATTATCCACATTCGATAATAGGTCCACTTTTCATCATAGAGTTTAAACAAGCTTAAATTCTATTTAAGAAAACTGCCTACATCCCTTTGAAGAATTAAGAGCTATCTGACAGAGAACAGTTTGTACACCAATTGTTTTATGAGTTACAGTTAAGTTCCTTTCGAAGGGAGGCATATAAAATTTCTGACAGTGAACCATTCTGTACAACCATGGATCTGTTGAGAATAATTTTGGGGTGTGTTGTAAGCTTTCAAGACCAACCAAGAGATCAAGAAAGCAGAGAGAAATGATCGAGAAGAACCTGCAAAGACTAGTGTGAGGACTCTGTTGGCGACCTGATGTGAACAACATTCCTTTGTGTTGACTGATGCTGCCATAACGCTCAGGCTAATGATTAAATGTTCTTATGCAGTGATTGTTGTTGGAAAAAAAAAGCATAACATGCTTGATTTTAACATATTTTAAGTTTTGCTTAACGCAAAAAGGGCTTGTAGCCTCGCAGGGCTTTAATCCTTTGGGAATTATATCTGGCTGGGATTTTGACCTAATAAGGCTTTTCAGCCAAACTGGCTTGTCTGTCATCAACTGTTAACAAGGAGAGCAGATATAAACTTTAAGACATTTCCTACTAGGATTTCTGAACACTGATTGGTTACCTGTGATCTATGAACCTTGCAATAATACAAAGGGTGCATGCTAATTATTTTCTGCAACCTCAACAGACCAAAAACGACAGAAGCTCATCAGATGTTGCTATATGAAAATACAAGTACTTATGCTTGTTATAATTTGATTAAAAGAATCCCCTCAGCAAAGGCATGTTAGGATTTCTGACTGTGGAGCGAGAAGCACTTACCAGTTGAGATGTCTGGGAATTCATTCTGGTATCAATGTAAATCATAACAAGGGCAACATCCCATCTCATACACCTATCCATGAATCCACAGAAATCAGAACATGCTTCAGATGATTTCAATGGTTTGCTGTACATGTAAATATAATCTTCACCTTGATACGAATGACTATCCAAACCAGAGTACACGCATTACAGAATTCATGAGGTGACACTATACTGAATTATTATAGTGTATAAACTTGCAGTTGACACCCCAACCCCCAATATTTATGAAGGTGGGAGTGCTTATATCTTTACTGAATGCAAACGAGGTTCATAAGATTACAGATGTGCATGCATGTATAAACATCACAGAGAGGGGTGTGACTCCATAAAGCAAGATGTCCAATGATATAACAGCGCATCTGTTTATTTTACACTTGTCACGGGACAAACAAGGACGTAACTACATATGCATTCTACCGGAGGCTATTATTTCAAGGTCGAAAGACGCATTCAGTTATCTCATTACTGTAATCTGCTTGAATGATTATACACGTGTATCGATACCGTAACTGATATACTATCCAGCTTTTATTGACGATGGATCAATAGAGACTGAGTTGATTGATACACGTGATAATTGCACCGGATTTGATAATTACACAGATCAAATACAAACGTTTTACAGAATGCTCATGTAAATTGCATAGAAATATGAAACTTTCAACAGCTTGAACAAAAATGCTTGAAATACCTTTGTATGGCTTACATGTAATAACTTATGATATTACTTCTGTCCATGTGTGACAATATTTTGAATTACCAACTTACTGTCTTTTGTAACAAACGTAGTAAAACAGTTCATTGTTGTAATAACACTGACATGTATATATGTATTTGATGCAAAGGCGTGACTTATCACTTTATATTCGCTTAGGTAACATTACGAACTTTAGATTATGGAAAACAACTAGTTACAATTCAGTAAACGTCAAATTAGTAAGTTCAATTATGTTTAATCTATTCGAGCTTGGATGTATAATTACTTGTGTTTATACATTATGTTTCAGTATATGAAACATGACAACGTAATGATGCCTAAAAGTAAATTCAAACTATTCTATTGTGTTTGAATTCTTTGTATGTCCTTGAAATTTCAGTATATTGTTTCCTATTTATTAGGTAGTTGAAGGAAATATAATTTTTAGTAACCTCTAAACCATTACATCTAATTCAATCAAGGTGCATACAAAGTATTTTAGTATCCATTCCCAAGAAAGAGTACCAGGCACTTACCTCTGTAAAAACATCATAATCCCCTTTCTCGCCGACATGCGTTCATTTGCTAAATGCTGTACAAGCCTATGATAATGATTAGCAATTGTTATCAAAACACTTTAAATACTTCTTCTGATTGATACTAAAGGTGGGATCTCTCGTAGGAAAAGCTAACATTTGCTCAGCACTGCTAAATTGGTTGAAATAATATGTACAGTGCGATTTTTAAAAGTACAACACACATGTGCGTCTCTCGCTGAATAAGAGGTGCTTTCTGTTGACGACTGTATGTGGCTCTCGCTGTGAGAAACTGCCAATTACCTGCCCCATAAACACGTCACTCGCTGTGAGGAGCTGATTAATTTGCCCCATATATGCATCTCTCGGCCTTAATGAGTTAATTGATCCACGTATGGAGTACGGAAACTACCGATGTTTTGCAAATGCACAACAATGGGAGGGAGATAACTCTACATTTGTTTTTCTTGTTGTCTGCTAGATTTTATTTCTTCTGAAAATCTAAGATTAGCTAATTGCCGTACTCTGGTACTCCTAATTTATGATCCAATACCCGTGCTTCAAACAGTTCAAAATTAACATTGAGGTGTTCAGTAAGATAAATATACTAACGGAAAAAAGTAACTGTGCATAACATAAAATTGCATAAAATAAAAATTATTTGAAAATATAGCTGTGAGCAGCGATGTTGACTCCTTGACTTTAATACAATCTAGCCATTTGTACCTGTCAAGTAGATATCGAAAGTAGTAATGGCTAGAGTAATGGCTATCACTGTCAGTAATGGGAAATGCGTCATTCATTAGCTTTGAATTCTTATGGTCCTGGGTTAGATACAAAGGATTGTGTCGTATGGTTTGGATAATGACACTTGTGGCTTTGGAAAGAGACTACAACCAAATGATGAGAATTGTTTGCTGTGATTCACATTATATGGATTCAAACGTAGGTCTATCTCAAACAACAAAACAAACATTTCCAGTAATCTATTTCCAACAACATATAGAAAAATTACCAAGGGCCTTATTGACTCAGCATACTTACATTACTACCGAGCTCATGATGAATCTAGAAAACTTTATTCCACCAGCAGAAACATCGAAACGTGTGTTTATATAGAGTTAACTCAGTCCTTCCTCTATTAGGAGGCGGGGTAGCCATTGACTTGCAGTTACTGACTATGACTTCTTATTGTAATATAATATGTGCTGGTGGCACTGGCAATACTCACGCTAAATTGAGATGATCTCAGTGTCAATGTCAGTGTCAGTGAATCATAACAAGCACTTAACATGTGATTTCACCAATCTATGAATCCTTTGAAGAAGTAATTAGAAAGTAAATAACTGTCAATCCTATTTTGCCTTGGCAGGCCACCTCTCGCTAATGTGTTCACTGATGCAATCTCTTGTGAAATTACAATGTCGGTTTAGAGAGAGTCAATATGCATTAAAACATGTTTTTGGACCGGATGTGAGTGTCGGAATTCGGAATGGAGGGATGTCGGATTAGAGGGTGTTTCTTATATGATATTATGTAGGGACAAATTCAAGACCAAATATACATGTCGGTTTACAGGGAATGTCGGATTAGAGAGAGTCCACTGTAATTCTATTTGCCCGTTTGACAACTGGCTCGAACCCAACCGTCACTATCGACAGCTATTGTCGGGAGAAGCGAATGTGCGAGACAGTTATGACATAACATTACGTCACTACCGAGAACGCCCACCTTCTATCGCATTGTCTGCCGATAGAGGTGCCTGGCAAGTCATGATCAACATTAAGGTGTTAGTAGATACTGCTCTTTCTACATGTCAGCTTATATTTCAACGGTTGCAGCATTGAAATGTTGACATGAGGCAGTAGGGTGCTGTATTTTCTATAGCCCATATTAATATCCATTACTCTGTTTGTATCATGCAATCCACAGCAAGTAAGATATTTCAATGGTCAGTGCGCGTATTCATTACACTCCCATCACGCTGTCGTAACTGAACTTCAGAGCAAGCAAATATACACCTATAAACAGGTCACTTATAACCATAATCAGCAGACTGACTGACTGACTCAGTTTGGTTTTACGCTGCTTTTAGCAATATTCCAGCAACATCACAGCGGGGGACACCAGAAATGGGCTTCACACATTGTGCCCATGTGGGGATTCGAACCCGGGTCTTTGGCGTGACGAGTCAACGCTTTAACCACTAGACTACCCCACCGCCCCCATAATCAGCAGAAGACACAGCTGATAACCAAAGTGGATTTGCTCTTTAGGCATTGGAAAGCCTGCGAGTGGGGGTTGTTGGCAGATTTTACTAACGCCTCCATCAGCTATCTCAGTTACCTCTGACAATCGTGAACATTACCAAACAGTGATACTTTCAACATGCACCATAGAAAAAAAAATGATCAGCAAACTTTTGAGATACATACTGCAAATTTTCATTGTGATCTCTAGAGAACCGATGAAGATAGCAAATACAGTGAGGAAAATAGAATTTCACTTGTCCCTCTGTTCTCTTTGGAGATTCATTACTGTAATGGGTAGATATAATCGGCCTTAACAGCCAACATGCACAGGTATATTTTTGTCGAAATCGGACGGTTGGTCTCATAGTTATGGGTGTTTGAAACACGCTAGCGGACCTTCCAAACACAGCCGGGATCGCTGGGGTCATGTACATTTTTAAGAAGTTCTGGAGAAGAAATAGTTCCCTCTTTGACAGGCTGTAGTTCCGTTGTCCTTGGGTCTACAGTCAAAAACAAAATGTTCTGGAATTGCCAGTGCTTCAGCTACCAGATGCACACACACATGACATACGGACCAACGGAAATGCCTACCCGTCAAAAACGTGAAATTTCCTTCAATTCAACACGGCGGCCAAACGGTGCCTCTTAGCCCCATGGGTCCTGCAGTTGAAATTGAAGGTAATCGGATTCCTATTTACAATAGGTCTCCTGCCTAGTGGCAAGGAGCCCTAATAAACATGAAGCAAAGCACTTTGCACTGAAGTTGATGTCAAGTATCGCGCGTGACATGTGCACTTTGTGCACAATGAACTTACTCACTTTTTTCGTGACATCAGCAAGACAACCACATTCGGCTGACCCACCTAAGGATGTTTGACTGCCCGGACCATTCCCGGCTTATGTCCAATCGGTTCCAGGACTGTTTGCAGGGATTTACAGGACGTGACATCCTGCGTCCTATACCCATAAAAATTGACAATGGACGCAATAAAATTTATTAGCGCGTCCACAGGGACTCAGAAAAAGGTCTAAATACTTTTTGTAAAACTTCCAATCAAGTGACAATAAGTTATCACTGAGTTTGCTACTAGCTGGGTTATGGTATTACTAGCATTTGCAAATTAATCACAGTAACAATGTGATGATCATGATACACAATACAATAACAGTATTAATAATAATATTCAAGTGTCTGGGACCCCCAATTTGTTGTCCAGGACCCCTGAAAATTAAGAGTATGAGTCCAAGGGACCCTCAAATACAGGACTCAAGGTAAATCCCTGTGTATGGAAGCGATTGAGGGAGCACAACATCCGGCCCCGACGGCCTGCAATATGTCCAATTTTGTTCCAACGTTATTTACAGGCAAGTCTTGCTTAGTGCAGACAGCATCTACAGCACATGAGACAGGATTGGGATGGAGTTTTGTTCACTGATGAGTCGAGATTTCTTCAGGACAACTCAGATGGCAAGGCAATGCTGAACGGTATGCTGACTCATGCATTGTTCAACGTACAGTTTGGTAGCGAATTAAAGCATTATGGTATGGGGCGACATCACATCTCATGGTCCGATACAACTTGTCATTGTCAGTGGCAATCTGACTGCGATACAGAGATGAGATTACTGGGCCTCATGTGCAGCCGTTCATTCAAGGACAGAGATGTAACTTCATGCTTCAGCAAGAAAATGCCCGTCCACATGTCATTTGAGTTGTGGCAGATTTCCTGAGACAGAAGAACATTCCTGTACTCCCCTTGCCAGCTGTTTCTCCGGACCTGTTCCCTATTGAGCATGTTTGGGCTGAACTGGAGCAACTTTTACGTCAAACCCAGAATCAGACATTGACTATGCTATTGGAACAAGCGTTGGTTCAGACAATGAACATCATTCCCCAATCTTTCTTCAATCCCTTGGTGTCATCTATGCGTCGTCGTTGTCAAGCCTGCATCAAAACCAATAGTGGACACACACGATGCTGAATTTGTGAACTGACTTTTGATCTCTTCAAGGGCGTGTCATGATGCCTAGTGTCAAATCATACAGATTTTGATCTTATCCTGTCTACAGTTAAACAGTGATTAAGGAAAGAACCACAAATGATGTTATTATCTTTTTACATTAAAATATGGCATATCAAATAATGCACAGTTACTTTATTCCAGCAGTATATGTTGTTCACTTGTCCCTTGGGGACCATTGGTTGATGCACCCTCTATGTTTGTTTATGTTCCCCTCGCCCTTCTGGCTCAGGGAAAGTAAACAAACATAGGCCCTAGGTAGTTTTAAAGTACCAGTAGGTATATGTGTGAAAAACCCACCTATAGCCCATGTTAATGCTTGAGATCTCTCAGAAAGCTGGGTTTCCATTGCAACACTTGCAAGTGCAGACTGTTGGCCACATTTGACTGAAACAGAAAAAGGTTATGTAATTTTCATGTGTAATGGATCCTGGGACTTTTGTCTTGTCTTTAATCAGGGACAAGTCAAATATATATCTAGTCCATATATATTTCTATTCTGTTGACACATCTAACATTTTTCTCAGCAGTTTCTGGAGTGAGTGGGAGGTTTGGTTCTGCCATCTCATGTTGCCTGTTGTGCTGAGACAAGCTCTACAGATATGGATGCATGTCTTATACATGAAAGAACAGTATAATAATACTTTGGGGGATCTTATCATTCAAACACAAGAAGCCTGAGTCTTATCCTTCGTACAATGTACTTATTTTTGTGGGATGAGATATAATAAACTGGGTTTATCAATTAGTGTGCCCTTTAAAGTTGCTATTATCAATGTACTGTCTAAAAGGATTACAGGTACAGAAGCTCACCTTTAATCAGAATGAAAGGGGTGCCTCAACATGACAAACACTGATAAATATTGGTGAATTTGCATGAACCAAACATGGACCTGACAATTCAGTGATCTACAGCAACAGGGTATGATAACACACCATGAACCAAACATGGACCTGACAATTCAGTGATCTACAGCAACAGGGTATGCTAACACACCATGAACCAAACATGGACCTGACAATTCAGTGATCTACAGCAACAGGGTATGATAACACACCATGAACCAAACATGGACCTGACAATTCAGTGATCTACAGCAACAGGGTATGATAACACACCATGAACCAAACATGGACCTGACAATTCAGTGATCTACAGCAACAGGGTATGCTAACACACCATGAACCAAACATGGACCTGACAATTCAGTGATCTACAGCAACAGGGTATGATAACACACCATGAACCAAACATGGACCTGACAATTCAGTGATCTACAGCAACAGGGTATGATAACACACCATGAACCAAACATGGACCTGACAATTCAGTGATCTGCAGCAACAGGGTATGATAACACACCATGAACCAAACATGGACCTGACAATTCAGTGATCTACAGCAACAGGGTATGATAACACACCATGAACCAAACATGGACCTGACAATTCAGTGATCTACAGCAACAGGGTATGATAACACACCACCAACCAAGTCACTGAGGCAGACCACCTGATCCATTTGGTTTCCTCTGACAATCAGCACAGGTAGATGTGGCGCAATTCTAACCCACATGGGAAGTATATTTGAGTCTGAGTAGGGGCATATTGTATCAAACAAAAATTACTTGTAACTTGGTATACATAAATTAATTGTAGTTGGTATATGAAGTGACCCGTGAATACCAGGTTAGAACTTGTCTTCAGCAACTCATGCTTATCGTAAGAGGCAACTTACGGGATCAGATATTCAGACTTACTGACTTGGTTGACATGTCATCATATCCATATTGCGTGGATCTATGCTCATGCTGTTGATCACTGGTTTTCTGGTCAGGGCCCCGTTCCTCAAAGCGATCGTAACCCAACTCCCATTCTTTACCATTGACTTACGACTGTCGTAGCACTACGATCACTCTCCGGAACGGGGCCCTGGACTCAATTTCTTACCGACGGAAACTAGCTGGAATATTGCTGTGAGTTGCATTAAACAACAAACCAACCAAATGGTACACAAAGTTGGATAAGTGCACTTATGGAGTGCTTAATATCAATATCTAGTATAGCCCAAACTCGCCACTTAATACTGGGAAACTTGAGATTATTGGCTTGATAAGCTTGATAAGATTGGCTTGATACAGTGCAACTTACCATTACTGCCATGTCCTGATCGAAGATGTGCAGGTTTTCGGTAATGACTGAACAGTGTTCCAATCTTCCTTGTGCACCTGGACAGAGGCTTAAACCAGTTGTAATGTTCTGAATTTAGAAATCCTTCAGGAATGTCATAATCACGTTCTCTCTCAGGCTGTGTATGCAGAAGGAGTACAACATGTGGTCTTTCAGGATCTTCCTGGCCAAAATAAGCACCCACTACTGCTTCTTTGGAGACAAAATCAAATTTCCGATCTGATTTTGTATTTTTGGTAAGTAATATAAAGGCGATATTACATTTCCTTTTTACTTCACTGGCCTTGTCTGTAATTACAGCACCAAACTGTGGATGATCAAATAAACACACTTTTGCCTTCTGGTTATCTTCCAATACAATGTCTTTCATGCCATTCAGGATTTCATCGGCCAGCTCATAATCCTCATCTGCATGTATTAAAGCTGCATCAAACCTTAAAATTCTGCTGGACTCTGCGTCAGACCTAGGGACAGCATGTAGGGGTGAACAAGGACCAGTGTCTGCTTGGGGATGAGTGCCAATGTCTGTCTGAGGTTGAGTGCCAATGTCTGTCTGAGGTTGAGCACCAGTGCCTGTCTGGGGTTGAGCGTCAGTGTCTGTTTGGGGTTGAGAGTCAGTGTCTGTCTGGGGTTGAGCATCAGTGTCTGTCTGGGGTTGAGCGCCAGTTACTGTCTGTGATTGAGTGCCAATGTTTATTTGAGGTTGAGCGTCAGTGTCTGTCTGGGGTTGAGCGTCAGTGTCTGTCTGGGGTTGAGCATCAGTGCCTGTCTGGGGTTGAGCGTCAGTGTCTGTTTGGGGTTGAGAGTCAGTGTCTGTCTGGGGTTGAGCATCAGTGTCTATCTGGGGTTGAGCGCCAGTTACTGTCTGTGATTGAGTGCCAATGTTTGTTTGAGGTTGAGCGTCAGTGTCTGTCTGGGGTTGAGCATCAGTGTCTGTCTGGGGTTGAGCATCAGTGTCTGTCTGGGGTTGAGCGTCAGTGTCTGTCTGGGGTTGAGCATCAGTGTCTGTCTGGGGTTGAGCGCCAGTTACTGTCTGTGATTGAGTGCCAATGTTTGTTTGAGGTTGAGCGTCAGTGTCTGTCTGGGGTTGAGCATCAGTGTCTGTCTGGGGTTGAGCGTCAGTGTCTGTCTTGGGTTGAGTGCCAGTGTGTGTCTGGGGTTGAGTGTCAGTGTCTGTCTGGGGTTGAGCATCAGTGTCTGTCTGGGGTTGAGTGTCAGCTACTGTCTGTGATTGAGTGCCAATGTCTGTCTGAGGTTGAGTGTCAGTGTCGGTCTGGGACTGAGTGCCAGTGTCTGTCTGGGGTTGAGTGTCAGTGTCTGTCTGGGGTTGAGTGCCAATGTCTGTCTGAGGTTGAGCACCAGTGTCTGTCTGAGGTTGAGCACCAATGACTGTCTGGGGTTGAGCGTCAGTGTCTGTCTGTGGTTGAATGTCAGTTACTGTCTGTGGTTGAGTGCCAGTGTCTGTCTGTGGTTGAGTGCCAATGTCTGTCTGAGGTTGAGCACCAGTGACTGTCTGAGGTTGAGCACCAGTGTCTGTCTGAGGTTGAGCACCAGTGTCTGTCTGGGGTTGAGCACCAGTGTCTGTCTGGGGTTGAGTGTCAGTGTCTGTCTGGGGTTGAGTGTCAGTGTCTGTCTGGGGTTGAGCATGTCAGTGTCTGTCTGAGGTTGAGCACCAGTGTCTGTCTGGGGTTGAGTGCACAGTGTCTGTCTTGGGTTGAGTGCCAGTGTCTGTCTGGGGTTGAGTGTGAGCGTCTGTCTGGGGTTGAGTGCTAGTGTTAGTCTGGGGTTGAGTGACAGTATCTGTCTGGAGTTGAGTGTCAGTGTCGGTCTGGGATTGAGTGCCAGTGTCTGTCTTGGGTTGAGTGCCAGTGTCTGTCTGGGGTTGAGTGTGAGTGTCTGTCTGGGGTTGAGTGCTAGTGTTAGTCTGGGGTTGAGTGACAGTATCTGTCTGGAGTTGAGTGTCAGTGTCGGTCTGGGATTGAGTGCCAGTGTCTGTCTGGGGTTGAGTGTCAGTGTCTGTCTGAGGTTGAGAGTCATTGTCCGTCTGGGGTTGAGAGTCAGTGTCTGTCTGGGGTTGAGCATCAGTGTCTGTCTGGGGTTGAGTGTCAGTGTCTGTCTGGGGTTGAGTGTGAGTGTCTGTCTGGGGTTGAGTGTGAGTGTCTGTCTGGGGTTGAGTGTCAGTTACTGTCTGTGATTGAGTGCCAATGTCTGTCTGAGGTTGAGTGTCAGTGTCGGTCTGGGATTGAGTGCCAGTGTCTGTCTGGGGTTGAGTGTCAGTGTCTGTCTGAGGTTGAGAGTCATTGTCCGTCTGGGGTTGAGTGTTAGTGTCTCTCTGGTGTTGAGTGTCAGTGTCTGTCTGGGGTTGAGTGCTAGTGTCTGTCTGGGGTTGAGTGTGAGTGTCTGTCTGGGGTTGAGTGTCAGTTACTGTCTGTGATTGAGTGCCAATGTCTGTCTGAGGTTGAGAGTCAGTGTCTGTCTGGGGTTGAGTGTCAGTGTCTGTCTGGGGTTGAGCGTCAGTGTCTGTCTGGGGTTGAGCATCAGTGTCTGTCTGGGGTTGAGCGCCAGTGCCTTTCTGGGGTTGAGTGTCAGTGTCTGTCTGGGGTTGGGCATCAGTGTCTGTCTGGGGTTGAGCGTCAGTGTCTGTCTTGGGTTGAGTGCCAGTGTGTGTCTGGGGTTGAGCATCAGTGTCTGTCTGGGGTTGAGTGCCAATGTCTGTCTGAGGTTGAGCGTTAGTGTCTGTCTGGGGTTGAGCACCAGTGTCTGTCTGAGGTTGAGCACCAGTGACTGTCTTGGGTTGAGTGCCAGTGTGTGTCTGAGGTTGAGCACCAGTGACTGTCTGGGGTAGAGCGTCAGTGTCTGTCTGTGGTTGAATGTCAGTTACTGTCTGTGGTTGAGTGTCAGTTACTGTCTGTGGTTGAGTGCCAATGTCTGTCTGTGGTTGAGTGCCAATGTCTGTCTGAGGTTGAGTGTCAATTTCTGTCTGGGGTTGAGTGCTATTGTCTGTCTTGGGTTGAGCGCCATTGTCTGTCTGGGGTTGAGCACCAGAGTCTGTCTGAGGATGAGTGCCAGTGTCTGTCTGGAATTGTTTGTCAGTGTCTGTCTGAGTTTGTGTGCCAGTGTCTGTCTGGGGTTGAGTGCCAGTGTCTGTCTGGGGTTGAATGTCAGTGTCTGTTTGGGGATGAGCACTAGAGTCTGCTTGGGGTTTAGAATCAATGTTTGTAGTGAGTTGAGAATTAGCATCTGCCTGATGTTGAGACCTTGTGTCCATTTGGCCTGATGGAAGGTGTTTTCCTTGGGTTTTAGGACTGTACTATGTATGTGAAGGAGGGAGGAAACGTGCCTATGGGGGAATTAGGGTGAGTGGCATTGGAGGGATTAGAATTTTTACACGCTCTCGTAGTTTGCGGATCAGCTTATATTGTTGCATCCTCACTGTCATTAAGAAGTAGGTCAGAGTCTGGTTGATGCTTAGAGTCAGTGTCCGAGAAGTTTGGTGATATGGTTTCTCTTATGAGTTCCTTGACATGTATGATCTTCTGAATGTTCTTGGTTTGTTGGAAGCTGAGAGTCACAACCACCTTGCTGCTCAGGGTTTACTGGATCCATCGAAATGGAACTAATGTCTTATAATAACAGACAGTCACTTGAATGTGGAGATTGCAAGTCTCAGACAGGCTGAACGAAAGACCACTCTTGGTACATGTCATTGTTTTGTTGAGGGATTTTCACTATAGATGGAGTCTTATCCAGATTTCTCTTCCTCCTACCTCCCAAAAGTGTTGTACACTTTACCTCTGTAGTGCTTCACCTAAAGAAGAAACAATTTGATTATAGCAAGTGAGGATTTATGATGCTTTGAGCAATACATTATTCCATCAGGGGACCCCAGAAATGGACTTTACATGTAATCCTGATGTGGCAATCAAACAAGGGTATTGAGGAGTGTGATGAGCAAACACTTTAACCGCAAGGCGTAACATTAGAATGTTTTTAGAGATATCTTAAACAGACTTTAGAGCTGTGCCCTTCAAAGTCCATATTAGTATTGGACAATTCTATTTTTGTTATCATTGCTGAGGTCAATTAATGAACTCATGTATATTTTGGTCTTGAATGTTCATTGTACTACTGCACTGTTAAAAATTGTTAATGAGTTTGGGGGTGGTTGGGAGGGGATCACATGTATGTCTGCTTTTGTTATAAGCTCATAGTTCTATATTTACAAGTGAAAACAACACAAGTGATCAGATCACAAAGATGGACACTTAACAAGGGAAGCCAGTAGTTAACTGGCGCTGATCGGTACTGGCAATGTTTAAAGAGTTTATAAAATACCTATAAATTCTCATTTACATTATTTTGTTCCTCAATTAAAGAAATTTAATCACATTGCCATAGAATTCAAGATAAATGGTAAAGAGAATTACATAAATCATAGACCTGTGAAGATCCGTGTTAGAATTGGTCTTCAGCAACACATGCTTGTTGTAGCACATAACACAAACAACTTTTGTTCTTTGAAATCTTAACGTGTAAATTTCCAGACCCTCAAAAGATTTTTAAATCCAGGTTAGATTTGACCTTCAGTAACTCATGCTTGTTGTAAGAGGCGACTTACGGGATCAGGTGGTCACCCCCCTAACTTGGTTGACACGTCATCGTACATCCCAATTGCAAAAATTGATGCTCATGATGTTGATCACTGGATTGTCTGGTCCAGACCTGATTATATACAGTTCGCTGTCACATAGCTGGAATATTGCTGAGTGCAGCGTTAAACAACAATCAATCAAACAGAAATCATAAATTCTATTTTAAATCAGGTGTGATCAAAGGGAGATAATACATCTAAGGGACCGTTCATAATTTATTGCTAGGGGTGATGATGATTTTTAGGAGGGGGTCCACCCATTTTGTTAGGGGTGGGGGCATCAATTTTGTACACATGTACTGGGGCAGCTAGTTTGTATATACAGATATTTAAAAATTATGCTTAAAAAATATGGGAAGGGGGGTGTCATTGATTATGTACATGACACATGCAGGGGAGGTCACTTTGTATATAGATTTTAATGGGGGGTCACTCACATTGTACATCATGCACGCACGCACACACACCAGCCATAAATTATGAACGATCCCAAAGCAGTAGTAAAATCTCCCGTAAGACGTTCTATTACCCTGCACAGAGCATTGGGTCTTTGCTGAAATATTCCTAGATTAGTCAACAGCACGGGTGCCATCGTCATAAATATATTTTCATATACATTTTAATAGATATATAGCATTAATGCATTTCTAGAACTCATTATATATTGACTGATCTATAAATATTTAAGCCTCGACAAGTGCGTGTGATCCACGTATCTGTTCGAAACTCGACCGACGAAACTCTTTTTGACCGTTATGAGGGAGGCTCAACATGACTTTTATATGGAATCCCTACTGTTGTCATAAGTTTCCAAACAAAATCGAATTTCACGTGTTGCCATTGTTGGTGAGTTTACTACCTCCACACAGTTTAACACCCTGCCCTTGATTTCCCTGAAGATATTCACATGTAGCATTCCATTGTACTCCCATTGTGTAGACATTATGTTATAGGTTAAACAGCAACGCTTTGAATATATATTTACCTTTACAATTTACATTTAGTTGTCCTTGAAGACACCGGTCATTCCATTTCGCAATAGGAGCCACGTAGGCATTTAGCTACTTTCGTTTTGAAATGAGGCTGGTCAAGGGTCAAGCAAATCAAACAGGTCACGGTCGTTTGTTTGCCTAAACTTGGCTTAACCCGTAATCAGATTGAATCAGCTGATTTTAACATATATATATATATATATATATATATATATATATATATATATGCATAAAATTATATAATAGCATTAATTTACCGTGTGCGAAAACGCAATATGTTGGAAAGCGCACGTAAAATCTATAAGTAGTCGCCATCCTCATTCTTATATTAATATAGAATAGATATTTGCAATTTTTTGAGAATACATTTCCAGTTGCGATATGTGTAGCAAAAAAACAACCCTCTCCACATATACAGAATTGATACATGTGTCAATATTCACTGGGCGGTACCTAGTTGTTGAGTGACAGATCCTCTGTTCACTTTTACCTCTGTTTATCATGAAAACCGAAATATTGCACTCATATCTATTAGAAATAATTACGTAGCAATAATGGGGAGCTGTATACGCAGTAATACGCAGTAGTGCCAGAAATTCATATATATTATTTGGGATAATCATGAAAAATATGCATAAATAAATACGTAAATTTGGTTATATGTTCCAAAACTAAATATAGGACGACTACCCAGATCTTGTGGCCATTTGTACCATCCACCCCCTTTTCCCATTAGTACTGTAACCGCTGTTGCATCAGCTGTTTTATCCCGCTGAATAACGATGCTGTGAACACGTAGATATAATTAGATCTGAGGTATGCTTGATGTGTTGGAAACTCATTGGCTGTGATTTTTCGTCAGAACTACGGTCGTCCAAGACTGACTGAGTTTGGTTTCCGCCGCTTTAAGCAATATTCCAGCAACATCACGGCGGGGGACACCAGAAATGGGCTTCACACATTGTACTCATGTGGGGATTCGAACCCGGGTCTTCGGCGTGACGAGCCAAAGCTTTAACCATTAGGCTACCCCACCGCCCCCAGTCGTCCAAGATAGACCACAGTGTAACACAGCATTGCATTGGGAAAGATAACCCCGATCCTATCTTCTGTATGTTTGCTTCCAATTTACTGATTTTACCCTCGCGCAGCAGTAAAAGTATGTGTTTTACTATAAGAGTCAATATCAGAATATGCAGGAATTGGATGTTGACAAATTCACCAAAGTCACATGTTGTGAAGAAGAATTTGACTTTTATTTATTGGAACTACAATAACTGTAATGCTAGAAAACATATAAATGCAACCTTAAACATATCAGGATTTTACAACAAAATCGAATAAATGTATCACCAGTAGTGACACATGTCCTTCCTGTAACGGTCACTTATTCTTCATAAAAATATTACTTATATCAAATTTCACTTACTTGTCTAGCTCAGGGGGTTATTTGCATTTGTCTCATATATATGCAATGAGGACGCTTTGTAAAACTCATAATGTAAAACTACTGTAACCAAATAATGGTTGTTCTGGGTGCTTTTAAATTGATTTGAACATCATGCACACACACACACAATCTCTCTCTCTCGCGCACACACACACACACACACAGAGGTCGAGGAATACACAAATATGCAACTTACCCAATCAGAGGGCATTGCGGCTGAGTGGCATGCTGTAATATTCTTGACGATGACGAGAAACAGTATATACAGTATGTAGTTGAGGACGAGTTCTCTCCCCTGATATTTATTTATGAGTCAATATCAGAATATGCAGGAATGTTTGTCCGGATTACATAGCCTTTTCCATTGTTTATTAAATTCCAAAAATGCTGTCTCATTATATTTTTAGGGACACATTCTACACATGTAATATAGTTTTCAAATAATATTTACTCAATTTTAATTTTTATAGGCCATATCATTAAGGTAAAATGCACATTTCGGCCTGTCCAAGGTTGACCCTTTGCTTGTACTCATTGCCCCAAATCAACATATTGCATAACATAACACACCGTACTCTCAAAATTTCATCCTTAAAATTTTCATGACATTGCACGGCTGAGGCATATATGACCCAAAAACACGTAGATAACTTATTTAAATATTTCAATTGAATGAAAACATTTTACTTGACGAATTAAAAGGTCTTCTGCTTCATATTTATATACATACTTTAAAAAATTCTCATCTAGGGGTCCTCATTAAGGTCATCTTGAGGAGCTGCTGGTGAGTTCGAGCAGCTGATACCCAGACAGTTCCCACACCCGGGTGAACACTGCAAGCCGTGTTTTCGACAGCTACAACGTTTATTGTCACAGTCAGTCTTGCAGTTACATCTTATAACCTTCAGAAGAGGTTCTGCGCCCATACTCGGTGATACGCCTGAGAGAGTTCAGCTGCAGTTGTCGGCCTTGGTCGCACACTATTGAGTCTCCTCCGAATCTCGTCCCACAAGTGTTCTATCGGGTTTAAGTCTGGACTGAGGGCAGGCCATTGAAGAGTTTGTATGCTGTGTTGACGGAGAAAGTCTCTAGTTGCTCTGGCAGTATGGGCACGTGCGTTGTCATGCTGGAAGACGTGGTTTCCATGACGACCAAAATGTGGCACGACGAAGGGTCTCAGCACTTTATCAATGTAGCGGACAGGTGTTACACCATTTCCTCTACCAGGACCAATATTCTGGAACACCATAGGGCCTAGTTTGTGACTGAGAGCAACAGCACCCCACACCATTATGCTCGGACCTCCCCACGAGTCTCTTTCCAGGACACAATCATCTGCAAAACGCTCCCCGCGTCGTCGCCACACTCTCACTCTGCCATCAACCGTCGAGACACAATATCGGCTTTCGTCGAAGAAGACTACAGTTTGCCACTCCCGGTGACGCCAATTCCGATGATGTGTGGCCCACTGGAGACGAGCACGACGATGTCGAACAGTGAGGATCGGACCCCGGTTAGGCCTGCTACATCTGACGTTTCTCTGCCTCAAACGCCTCCGCACTGTGTCGGCACTGATTGGTCTCTGGTGATTGCCAATGGTTGTTTGTGCAGTTTCCGTAGCCCTAGCGAAACGATTTTGCAGGTGATTACGGACAACTCAACGTTGTCACAGGCGGTCTTCCACTGCGAGGACGGTCGGCTGTGCTTCCAGTGGCTTGGACTCGTTGCTGCAGGCGGTATATTGTTCGAACATGAACAGAAAATGATTTGCAAGAATGTCTTGCAGTCTGGCCCGCATTCGGTCCTAAAGCTTGGTCCCTCTGTTCCCTTGAATATCGTGGCATGTCGCTACTGTCGTACAGTGAATGATTCGGTGCCTGTTTAGTGGCTCTTCTTATAGGGATGACACTTCGGGGTGCACCTGCATTGTCATTTTCATGAAATACGCACAAAAACCTACTTTAGTAACTGCGTTTTGACAACAATATTTTTTATATCAAATACAACATCTGAAACCACATTTTCTTGAACATTGGCTACGAACCAGGTCTAGCTAAAATATAAAGAGTGAAAAATTAATTAACATTCAGAAGAAACATACCTGGTAAAATTTTGGTAGGGTGACGTTTCTTTTGCGGTTCAGTATATTACAGACAGACATGCTGACACCCTTTCCTGGCAGAATACTAAATGAAAAACACCTTTTTTGAAAGAATGGCCATTACCTTTTATTCAAAATACATGTATATACAATCTCTAAACAATCTTGCATTAACATGGTGAAATATATGCAATCAGAGAATGTTAAACAACTGTTAAAAATATATATCATTATAACTGTTAAAAATATATCATAATAAAACAAACAATCAGATGACAGGTCATTTGGTTTGAAACATTGTGTAAAAGGTCAAATGAAAGAAGACTTCTAAGTAGTTAAAACATGTTAATGCCACTAGCACACGAAATTGGGAATATTTCCAGCTATATGGCGGCAGTCTGTAGATAATCAAGTCTGGACCAGACAATCCAGTGATCAACATCATGAGCATCGATCTGAGCAATTGGGATACGATGACAGGTGCCAACAAAGTCAGCGAGCCTGACCACCTGATCCCATCAGTCGCCTCTTACGACAAGCATGGGTTACTGAAGATCAATTCTAACCCGGATCTTCATGGGTCTGGAATGTTTCCAACAACATAGCCTGAATAAACTGAAATGTAATATAACAATGTTACCACAATTGTACAACAAAAATACATTCATGAATTAAAGCAAAGAATGTAAATGTAAAATCCATTCTGAAATAAAATGAGTGAATAGATGTATAAGAATATATCACATTATCTTTGAAATGAGTTTTAGGCATATTGCTTTGAGATGTCACGGTTGATTAAAGATATCATGACTTTGTGTTTGTATGATACTGTCTCAATGACATATACTGAGACGAAATGAAAACTTCACAATTTATACTTGTAAATAATAATATGAATTGTTATAGTGGGCAGTTTTCGGGTATGATAATATTAATCCCCAAGTATCGACTCAAGAAAAACGTCACCACAGCACATTAAAGTCAAATCAAACATCATGCATCCAATCTCTACTCAATGAATATGTGATTATGTTGCATCAACAAAGGCACAATATAAGCATCCGGATTAAATGTATGCAAAATGTTTAGATCAAGTTATTTCTGTGATCTGCTTTATTGACACTAAATGTCTTTGTATGTGAGTAAGTGTGATTCTTTTCCAAAAAGCATAACTGATTTATGTGCAACCTGTAAAGGCAAAATATAAGGCACCAGTTCTGCATTTGCCTTTTTTATGTGTATAAAGTTAGATTAATATGTTCAAATATTCCTTTAATCTCTGGCACATCAGTATATGCACTAACTCTTGTCAATCATGACCACAAGACTCTATGTTCTGCCTCCCAACTAGGTTGTTGAGGAATGACAAAACTGTGACCAGAGATAAATAGTAACCTGTGGATAAATGGAACATGAAGAGAGAGCACTAGCAAGTTCCCTCCATGAAGATAAAACATACATAGAAAGAAACAAGAACAATTCCCATAGTCATAATGATGGTCCACTAAATGTGGAGTAAATTTTTCCAGCCCTACCCAATGTAAATTAATCAAAAACTAGTCCTGATGATGCACATACATACATACATACATACATACATACATACATAGACACATACATACACAAACATACATGAACATTATGTGTTTATCTCACACGCACATGTACATACACATGCACACGCACATACACTCATTTTGTATAGCACCAATATCCAGCTCAGCTGCTCCAACATGGATGATCCCTGGTTTTTGCATAAATGTAAGCCTAACCTGTCACAAACACATGCACAGGCAAGGCAATTAGTCACCTAACATCATGAGAATACATGGTACAGGTCAAAATGGAGGATTGAATTGGACATAATTTTTGTCACTGACACATCAAATTTGGAAACAGCATCCACATTTCTACTATAAAACCTTTAAGGGGCTTTAATGACACCTTGCCTGTTGCAACAGTGATCAAACAATTTCTGACAATTGTTAAGATTTTCAGAGAAAGAGCATCTGATGCTCTGGATATACACCCAAAAACATAATTATTTGCTAAATGTTCAAAACTGCTTAAATTACCCATTATATAAGTACTCTTGAATAGTTTATCAGTAGCTTAACAAATGTTTCCCTAGATGTATTGTGGTCCCACATAAAATAATTATATGACGATGTACTGACTTGAAAGCTGCTTCATATGTATGTATGTATGTATGTGTGTATGTGTGTGTGTGTGTGTGTGTGTGTGTGTGTATGTATGTATGTATGTATGTATGTATGTATGTATGTATGTATGTATGTATGTATGTATGTATGTATGTATGTATTTGATACAGATTGCCTGTTATATGTAACATGTATCTCTTGGAAATAAATTATTTAAGAAAAACAAACACCCCCCCAAAAAACAAACCAAAACAAATGTTTCAATAAAAACAGATATACTGATCAAAACCAATTTGCATTTTTAAATCAATATAGTGATTGCTAAGTACCATGCTCAGTTCCACAGCTTTTTACTGTGATATGACTAAAAATCACAAAATGTTGCAATATCAACTGAATATTAACGAAGGTGTTTATAAAAAGACACATGAAAACTGACATAATGTTGAAAAAGCAATCACCAAATAACAATTCATAAAGACAATTCAGAACAAAACTGTATATCTGTCAGTTTATCTTCATAAACAACTTTAAGAAATTCCACAAACAAAATAAAGGGGAAAGTCAATTAAAATGTAGGATAATATCCAATTTGATCAACCAATCTGGTTCAAATTATATTTTCAGCCTCAAAATGTCATTTCAAATGTGACATCTTCCTTTCAGTTGATTAATGGAATGCTGACATGACATACTCCCATATTTGAAATTCGCTTTTTAAACTATTAATGTGGTACATGTTCTCTTGAACTTTGACTAAATAATACTACACCACTCATTTATTCTCTCTGTACTTCAAACTGCATTTGAAAATACAAGCAGGGTTGAGATTTTCATTGCAAAAATATATATATTCATGCTTTCATTTCTTTATTCAGGTCAGTAATAGTAAATTAGCTTTCAAAAACAATATTGTTTTCATTTTGTCCCCATTTTCTCAGTATTTTGTGTCATCAGATCATAAACCAACTGAAAAATGCCTAAGTATATTTATTATTCGTTTTATCATCTACACCACAGACAGTATACAAGGCTGTACTTCTTTCAGTGTTCACTGAAGAAAAAGTTTTATATAAACTTAAAATATGTTTGAATATATTTTTAAAAATAAATTGTGACTTTGAAAGAAATTATTATTGTCTTTCCTCCTTAAGATTACATATGTGCAACTTTACAAAGTCATGTGCGGTATTAAGCATCAACATCAATATATTTAAAATATGTACAGTTTATTGCATTGAATATATGGAGCACCTGTACAAAATGGATAAGAAACACTCCAGAGGTAGGTATCAAATGTGAGGTTGAAGATATTTACAATTATTTCCATCAATTTACAGTGATTCAAACCAGAAATTCAACTGCTGTTCACCTGACATGCCAACAAGATCATTCCGAATGAATGAGAAGTCAGTTATGGGAAGCATTCTAACAATTCTTTACACAAAAACTACTGTGAAGCAACATAATGAACCATGTATCATGATGGTTGAATATATTGTACTTATATGTACAAAGAAGTTCTACAATCTTCTTACAGGTTTCAACTGTAACACAGTAGAGAGACATTTCACAAATATATCCATTTCATATCACAGTCTTAACATAGTAATAAAGAGTCTATATTTAAGATGCATTTAGCACTATATCCAACATCGGCAGAATATGCAGTAAAAGTCTGTCTCACAGTCCCTTCCCTTCTGCCAAGCCCTTTCTACTATGCTAAAATCCTAGGTCTGAATCTCCCATCTCACTGTGGTTCCTTTTCAGTTTATAAGGAATTATATGTTTCTATCAAGAAAACAAATATATATATAGCCTCAGGCACATCATTGGGAACGTCCCATTTTGCACTCCACATGTCTAATCTGATATGATAGATACACAACATTAACAGCATGGATTATTACAGGATGGATTTCATGTTCAGAAACATTTCAAGAACATATAATCATCCATCCTCTTTTACTGCCTTGGCACCATAGTTCTGCAGGTTACAAAGTTTGTCATTTATCAGGAAATTGGGAATCAGAAAGCATATGGAGCATTAAAAAATCAAAAGTATTTAAATGTCCAAATCAAAGTTCTGAAATCACACTTTAAAGGTGTTGCTATTTCAGGTAGACCTACAAAAATAAACATAATGCATACTTTGTTGACAATGTGAAATGACCTTTGATGTGACATTGTGAATAGTGACATTAAGAATATTTGTATACTATGACTAACACCCTGTTTGTGTACCCTAACCCAGCTCCTGATCCTGGTCCTACCCCACACAATGAATACCTGTCAATGATTTATCCCCCCAGAGAAATGAAGGCACTCTGTACATGGTAATCAAACAGATCATCACCTGTTTGATGCCATTTTACATTTTACAAGCTTTTGTATTTATATTCCTGAGAGTAATGCACTTTGCAAAGGTGCTATGTTCTCTGTATTTGTCAATAACAATATACAAATATTTGAATAAAATGAAGACATTTTTTCATCACTGGGATCCATAGTTATTCAAAATGTAATTTGTTTAAATGTGAGAGAAATGAAAATTATGAAGACTCATTCCCAACCACTGCATCAGTCTTGGAGAGCTAATGAAGATAACTTTCATGAACTCTAACGATTAGAAATACAACATCCACAACATCATGACATAAAACCAAGCAACGATTCTAATATGGTTCAAACTGGAAATCATAAGGAAAACCATTAGCTTGAGATCCACTCAAAAGGTACGTTTAAACAGGCAGATCTTCTTGATGTCTCTCCTGCTTTTTATTGTACTTTTGTCCATTGTCATCAGTATATAAAAAATGTACTCCTAGACTGGTTTCACTTCCTCCCAGATCTTAAACAACTGGCAGATCTTCTTGATGTCTTGACTGATTTCTAATGTTTTTTTGTCCATTTTCATCAGTATATCAATGGGTGTCTCGCCACTGCGGACAACAGCATGAGGGTTGGCACCCTGTTGTGCTAAAAGTAAAGCAGTTGAATACTGTAAGAAAGGAGGTAAGGAATCTGAACTTTGTAGGGCCAGATGAAGCGGTGTCCTGCCTTGAATGTCCACAGCATCAATGTTTGCATTATTTTCAAGCAGGATGCCAACTAGCAGAGCATTATTTGCCTCAGCAGCTAAGTGGAGAGGAGTCATGTTGTCTACATCTTTGCCATTCACATCACAGCCCTTCTCAATCAGTAACCATGGAAGTGGCATTAGTGTTAATGAATATTTGGCTTCTGTAGCAAAGATATGCATGCTGTATTCCAAGACTGAAGCAGGTGAGTTCTTGCATAATAAATGTAATAGGTTTCTCTGCTTCAGTGTCAACTTAGTGACACTTGCACTGTCATACCTCATTAGCAGCTCAATACATTGCTTTTGATTGTGACGGTTCTCCATTGCAACATGTAATGGCGTCAAACCTTCCTTGTTGAAACAATTCACATTAAGCTTTTCTTTCAACAAATACTCAATTGCTTCTTTTCTATTCCATCTGGCTGCATAATGTAGGAGTGTATTACCATCTTCATCAGCCAGGTTCAACTCCCATCCTTCTTTCAAAAGAAACTGCATTATTTCAACAGAACTGAATTGAACAGCAAGCTGAAGTAGAGTATTCTTGTGCTTTTCTTCATGAGATTTCATTATCTTTTGGAGATTTTGCTGTTGACTATTACTAAGTTTTTTGGTAGACCGAGTCTTGCCTGTCTGTGACCGTTCACTTCCAATTGTTGCGGGGCTCACTTCTTGACTCCTTGTTCTAACCTGTTTACCTTGTCCACTCAAACTTGGCATTCTTGGTTTAGGCATCTTTGTCTGTTTAGTCTGCCTAGTATCAGAATTTTTACCTGTCTTTATACCAGCTGCCGCTTTCATAGCTTCAGCCACCATTTTTACAACAACCAAGTTACCACTTCTCACAGCACAGTGTATTGGGAGGACCCCATCTTTGCCCTCTTTGAAAAGAATCTTCTTGGCTCTGTCAGTTTGTTCTTCCCTTTTCATTGTTTTCATTTCTTTACATTTCTTTTCCTTGCTATGTTGAGATGACATGCATTTAAGGAGATACCTTACTGATGTGTCATTCTCATTCAAACAGGCCAAGTGGAGACAGGTGAAACCATCATTTGTTGTCAGATCCAAATTGCTGCCTTCTTTAACCAGTATTTCGAGCAAAGACTTGCTGTGTGGTTTATAGAGCACTGGGCTGGGTCCATGCCTGTCTTTTCCGTAAGCTAACACATCAACTTCTGTTTGAAATGCCATATGCCTTTTCTTAATAAACATTTCAGGAGTCCTGACACCAGAGAGCATATAATCTATTATATGGTCTCTGCTGACACTATGCACACCTGAGAACAAAAGCATAGGGTCTGGGGCAAATTGGAAATTCAGCCCAATACTTGACACTGCCATGTGAAGTGCAGTGTGGTTATCTTTATTGAGCATGTTGATGTCAGCACCAGCTTTCAGTAAGGCCACAACTCCTTCATGACTTCTGTATGCTGCTGCAACATGTAAAGGTGTGTCTCCTGTATGGATCTTTGTATTTACATTTGCTCCTTTCTTAACAAGATAGGTAATCTTTGCTTCTGAGGAATAAACCTTGTGTAGCAGAGATTGAACACTGTCTTGAGAAAGTGAAGCCTCGTCAACTTTCAGACAATCCATTACTTGAGTCCAAGACTCATCTGACATATTGCTTTCACAGAGAAAATGCAAGAGATCTGCTGGTATTGGTTTGGGGATATATTCTGCACATTGTTCCATGAAACAAATTATATCCTCTGATTTGTATTGCAGCATGGCCAGTTGAAAGTTTATATTCTTCCATTTAACTGATTCCTTAGCACAAGGAATCTTGTCGATCAACATTTTGAAGACATCAAATGGTAAGATGTTGGAGAGGGCAACATGCAGAGCTGAGTCTCCAGATTTAGTGTTGATTTTGAGTAACTTTGGGTATTTTTCAACCATAAATCTAAAACATTTAACTGGTGCATTAGATCTCAGCATCAGGTGAAGAACTGAGAAACCTTCATTATTAAGGTCAAATGAGACATGCTCTTCAGTAAGGTTTTTACATATCTCTGCTGGGGTGTTGAAAAGACCTGCAACATGCATAGCCGTATTCCCCCAATTATCAGCCAGCAAAACATTTGCACCCTTCTTCAACAGATGAACGACCGAGTCTCTTTGTGCTTCGATTTCATCACTGGTTTCAATAATCTGGTAAAGAACATGATGCAATGGTGTTCTTTTCAACTTATCAACTGTATCAACATCAGCATTGCAATCTATCAGAGCCAAAATGTTTTCTGGATTCATTGCTGCTGCTGCAAGGTGCAAGGCAGTCATTCCATTTGTGTCCTTGAGTGAATGGTCTGCATTTCTGTTCATCAACTCAATGATAAATTCCCTGCCATGAGGGTGTCCGCTTGCAATGTGTAATGGTGTCAGTCCTTGTGTATTTTGGAAATTAATCATGTCTGTAGAACATTCTTGTTGTAACAATCCAACCAGAGAGGCTCCTTTATCATTGCTAGCAGCCCTGTGAAGAGGAGACAACCGATTATTTCCATCATCTGTTACAGTAACCTTGAATCCAAGACTTAGCAGATTTCTAATGGATTTTTCGTCCATATACTGACATGCCTCGTGGAAGGCTTGAGCTCCTTTATTGTCCTTCTTATCTGGATCTATTCCCTTCTTAATCAAGAATTCACAAAGGTCATGACTTTTCTTGCAGGCATGATGTAGAATAGTTCTGCCATGAGTGTCAACACAATTTATATTTTCTTCTGTAATTAAGGCTTCAAGAATATCCATGTTACCACCATTTACAGCTGGAAACAAAAGGTCTTGTGTTGAATATGGTTCTCCAATAAATTCCTTTAACAGCTGAAATATCTCAAAATTTCCTTCTAAGCAAGCTGATGTAAACAGAGTTTTCTGCATATTTTTTCCTCTAAAAAATTTCCATGTAATTGATTCTTCAGGGATCCTTCGCAGAGTATTTGGTCTTCCTTTCTCAACAAGGGAGGTTACAACACTTTCCATTGTGCCATATTCTAAGGAGAGTGTTGACAGGAGTTTTGTCATAATATCAGGATGATCTACTGGACTTGCAGCTGCTTCCATAATACACTGTTGACACGGTGTTATCATCTTCATTGAAAAGACCTTTCCAAAAATAATAAGATCCCCAGCAATACAAGATCCTTCAAGGACTTGGTGCAAGAGATTTTTCCTGATTGGTTCATCACTTTTCATTTTCTGTAACTCCTCCAGGAACCTCTTCATGAACAGTGTATACTTCTTTGAAGCTGTCAAATAGTATAGTATATTTGATTCCAGGAGTCCTTCGGCCAATTTCTCTTTTACTGCTTGTGAAAACTTTTCATTAAAAAACAATTCTGTCACAAAGAGTTCTTTTTGTAGAGCACTATGCTCTAATACACTGAATTCTCCTTCTCTAAGTTCTGCTATTAGTCTTACAATGAGAAGTTCAGATTTCACCATTATAACACTCTTTTTTTCAACCTGACTCCCATCTGAAACTGCTGTATGATCCAAAAGGAACTTCAAAGGACATAAGTCAATAATCTGTTGTGTGTGCACTTTTCCAAATAGGACAGCAACAGCATCATAGATGGACTGATGGGAAAACTGATACATGGCATTTACTTCAATGCATCTTAGATATCCCATTTTACACAGCTTGTTTGAGGCACTCACCACATCATCTTTTGTTATCCTTTTCTCAATTCCACAGACCTGCATTAAGTCCTCAGAGCTGGGTTGGAATTGATTAGATCTACAAAAAGTGTCAAACCTTTCGAAGGATATGTTCCCCCTTTCAAAAATACCCACTAAGAGAACCAAATACAAATGTTTATCACGATCTGTTTCACTTGATTTCATTTTCTTGATCTGATTGCTGAGAAACATGAATGATCCTTCAAAGAAACTTGGTCCAAGTGCTTGAAGTTCAGAGTTTGTCACATATAGCTTACAGCACTGAGGAAAGCCTAAAGACAGTTTTGAATGCACAGCCATCTGTTTGTCTTGTTCAGTCATAGCGACCTCATAATGTTGCAGGAATTTTGTCAACATGGCTTCCTTTTCTTTTACACTTAAACAATACTCAGCTGACATATCAATGATATGCTTCAATAAGGGGACGTCGCCAAGTTCATTGATACACTCATCTCTAACCTGGTTTTGTGAAGCTGAAACAAAATACATATGACCAGCTTTAACATAACCCTCCATATATCTGAAACATGCTCTCCACTTTTCAAACAGAACAGATGAAAAGCTGCTGTCACCAAATATATTATCAACAAAAACAACAGAGTTTTTTGATGGTATATGATCCATATCCTCAGGTTTGGACACAATGTATATCTCATAAGACGGATCCTCCTTCTTCAGTTCTGTGAGGATGTGATACGCACTGTATGTCTTCCCATCTCCTGACCGTCCAACAAGGAAAACCGACCCTTCCTTCTTCAGGGTTTCTCTAGCATCCCTGATAGCTCTGGTTGGGACGAACAGTGTTGGGCACATCTCAAGAATTGAGCGAGTTTGTTCTGGAAAGATGAAGAAAGAAAATATGTGTTCTTCCACAAGAAAGTTTGGTTTTTACATGCCAAAAATAGCCCTGACCCAACCTTCAATAATAATAATAATGTGTCCATTTATATAGCGCCAAACTCCACACTAGGTATGCTCATAGCGCTAACAATCAAGGCACAGCACATTATTTCCCCGGATAAGCCAAGCTGCCTGTTAGGCGCTAGAAGGTTATAGTCATATGACTTTTTCAACCGGGTACCCATTTACCTTTCTCCGAATGCCCCTAACCTTCTCACGAGAAATTTGTATTATGAACTTTGATTTTACACCAATATCTGTCATTATTCATCTTTAAGTTGTAAAGTTGTCAAATCTACTACAACTGGGCTCTGTGCCTCCAGCTACACTAAAGGATCACTTTCAGTTTATTCATATCAGAGAAGAAGATAACCAAAGCACCACAAACTTTCATATGAACCCGTGAAGGTCCGGGTTAGAATATTGATCTTCAGTAACCCATGCTTGTCGTAAGAGGTGACTAATGGGATCGGGTGGTCAGGCTCGCTGACTTGGTTGTCACATGTCATCTGTTCCCAACTGCGCAGATTGAAGCTCATGCTGTTGATCACTGGATTGTCTGGTCCTGACTCGATTATTTACAAACTGCCACCACATAGCTGGAATATTGCTGAGTGTGGCGTAAAACTAAACTCACTCACGATTGGTATGACATATTATTGGTGATGCATTTCTAAACTAGTCCAGTACATTGGAAGCAAACTGAAGAGGAAGCATGTGTTTTCCTAATGGATGAGTTAAAAAATAATGATCACCAGCTTGATTAAATAAGAAGCCAGTGTTGATCAAAGCCTAGATTACAACTTGAATATGCATCAGTCGTAGGAAGGCAATATTTCTTTGGTTGCTTGCCTAGTACTTCTGTCACATTCATGGTTATTTTATCTGTTTTTTGACACGTCAATATAATTTACATATTCCAGATGTTTAAACATGTAGAGTAAATGTCCTAAGACATGAAAAAGTATTTCCATGTTGGGTATTTTTCTTCCACGATATTATCATATATGATGTTAAGTATGCGATGTTGACAATGAATTACGAAGGGAAACATCAGTTGTGAATGCAAGTTGATTAACTTAAACCACAAAGATAATCAGAAAACTTCAGTTGTGTTTTTACCCAATATACCTGAAAAAAATATTGCCCAACATATATTGCTTTATGATGGTTGGTTTGTTGTTTAACACTGCACTCAGCAGTATTCCAGCTATATGGCAGTGGTCTGCAAAATCGTTGAGTCTGGAACAGACAATCCAGTGATCAACATCATGAAAATCTTTCTACACAAATGGAATACGATGACATGTGTCAACCAAGTCAACAAATCTGATCACCCGATCCCCTTAGTCGCCTCTTACGACAAGCATGGGTTACTGAAGATCAGTTCTAACCAAGATTTTCACAGGTATCTAGAGCGGTATAGTTCCGTCTCCTATTCTTGCGGGTTTCCTATTCTCGCGCTAAACACTTTTTCTGCCGATATCGTCGATGCGAGACATTGAGCCGTTGTTAACCTTGCTGACCGGTAACTAGGAAGTGACCCAAGTCTGTGAATAATCAAAGTCTTACAATTTCATGAATATTGGTGAGTTTATACCAACATGGACATATCATAACTTTTTGCCGCCCTTTCCAGCAAGATTCCTCGTTATACCGCGAGAATGAGAGAAGCCTCATGTCGTCAATGGCGGTTGGCATTGTTAATCACTGGGCTCACGTGGTAATTCACCAGATGGATCTAGCAGCTGATAGATACAGATGTTAGAGGAGGAGGCCCTTCATTTAAAAACAACAAGCATTCATACGATAAGGATCGTTTGTCTTATTTTTTCAGCTGATATCCGTAAGTACCGCGAGAATAGGAAACGCCTTCATAATACTGTGAGTCCTAAAAAATATAACACAACGGTTTGGCGTCAAAACATCAAATGCCACAAATGGGCAAGCAGATCACTTAACAGTGATTTTCAACACATATTAAAGTGGCTTGTAACTAACTCACTAAAGTGTTGCATTTCATTTCTACTGGTTCTGCATTTGATGTGAACTACTGAACAACATTACTCATTTTCTCTACACTCAAACATATACACCAAGTGACAAACAGTAATGGCAGGTTTAATGTTGGTAAAACATTAAAATCTTGGACCCTCACCTTTGATTCTCTTGAGTTGAACGGTTTCTTCTGCTGCATTAGAGCTGACTTTGTTGTCATTGACATTTCCATTTACGCTGCTGTGTTGATTCTGACTCTCTGGCAAAGACAACAGAAAACATGTAAAATCATATTTGTGACAAGGTAAAGTACCAACTGTCTATGTGAGCTCCAATACTCACTATATTGAGAAATAGTGTTGGGAATCGGAAACCGAATCCTATATTGATTATCAGAGGACTTGTGGTGAACAATTATCGATTATAATTGAAATACATACATTTTTAATGTAATCACCAGTTTTAAGTGGTTTTCCCCAGTTTTTTTTCTAATTAATGTTTTTTATAACTAATACTGTCATGCAATGAAATGCACGCATGCAAGAAAGACACTGGAATTGTAATTAAACAATAAAAGCGTTAATGGTTTTGTTATGCTTACTGTCATCTTTTCATTACTTGATTATTTTATTCTATATCATTAAATATATACCATCATTCATGAGTATCCTGAGTCTATATATACCATGCGCATAGCTTTACACTGTTGAGCGCATGTTTGTTCGTGAATATTAGTTAAAGTTAATGGTTACCATTAATGGATAGTTTACTTTATTTAAGTGTGTTAAATACTAAAACAACAAAATTCCGATTAATTGAAAATATGTTTTTAACAATCGATAATTATTTTTAATCCTTCTTTCGATCGATTTTTGATTATTTTTTATCTTTGGAACACCACTATTGATAGACTTAGCCAGTTGATGTGGAGATGATAAAGAAAAATGTAAGGAAGAAACCTTTTGAAATTGAACTGAAGAAATATTGTACGGTTTTCAAGGTCTGCTCTGGAAGCAACATCTTGCAAAGACAGATGGATCCACAGATGGACGATAATATTTAATATCCTGCAAAGTGTGTTGTGAAGTACAGAAAGTCCATATCCTCTAGTTAACTTTTTAAACGTCACAATCACTTCCAGTGTTAAAATGTCACTTCCAGTTGGGGAAACCATATGCCCAATGAAGTGCAACTTTAACTTGAGCTGTTAATTGCCAGCTTAATAAAATAGTTATAAGAACACTGACTTGAATTATATCACTTCCTACTTTGATAAACTTATGCTAAAATGTACAAAAAATCCTATGCCTCTAACAACATTGATCACAAAATTATATGCAAATCTGTATTGCTGACATCAGTTGGAAAACCAAACGTCAATGGAAGGTAACTTTGAACATGAAGCACCTATGCCTATATACCTACCTTAATACCTAAGTTTGAATAATGCTTTCAGGAATTTTTATCACTTCTGTTTGCGGATGACATGATCCTGATATCAAGCTTCATAACAGGACTAGTTGAACATTCTAGCTAAATACACGGACGAATGGAAGCTGACGGTTAATCTGGACAAGACAACCATTGTCATATTCAGGAAAGGTGGTAGAGTCCCAGCAAAAGAGCGATGGGCATATAAAGGTGTCAGAATCAACGTAGTAAACGAGTACAAGTATCTTGGCATCAGTTTACACAAACATTGAACCGGAGTAAATCAGTACAGCAACTTGCAACCAGAGCGAAGAAGGCATTTTGTCAACTGCGATCAATTTTATATAAAGTTGATGTCATAACAGCCCAAATATTTTTTCAAACTATTCGCATCCAAATTCAAGCTATATTACTCTACGGCTCCGAAATATGGGAATGTCATGAAAGTGTATTATAACATGCTTTACCACCTAACGAAATTGGCAAAAACACGTGGGCTTCATCAATGAAGAACTTACTATTCATCTATGGATTCGGCCTCGTATGGACTTCACAAAGAGTAGGCGGCTGTCATTCCTTTCTGAAAATGTTTTGTACTCACCCTACTGACATGTTCAAACAGGATTGGCATTCATGTCTGGAGGAGAGCTCAAGATACCACACATATCGCATTATCAAATCAAACTTTGAAACCATCTCGGAACCTATCTCCACAACATCTAAGTCTCTTTGAAATTTCCTTATACGATTCCGACTCGCAGTGAACTGGAAGTGAACAAAGGACGACATCATGGCATCAAGAAATCAGTCCAATTTGCAAAATACGTAACAAAGGCGTTGAAAACAAATGCCATTTCATGTACGTCTGCATATAACTTCATGTCTATATATACTTTTAAGAAGTTGTTATCCTGCAATAACCCTACTACCCAATTTCAAATTGCTCTGTTTATACACCATGCTTCAATATTACGCAAAACTTTCTATTGTTCTATTTGATTTCAAAATCACATTGGCACAAAACTCACGTTTGTTTTTACCGGTCGTCGCTATTTCACTCTCAGCAGCCATTATGACCCGGATGTTGAATGAGTCACTGTTTACATACAACTAGTTCCACACTAACATATGGATGTCTGGTGAACAATAATTTAAAACTTGACAAGTGATGTTCACCGACGTTGGTGTCAAGCAGCCAGTAAGGCACGCGCTAATCACCTTTCATGTGTGATGTTTGTTTACGGTCGAATTATCCAACCGGCTGTGTTGATTGTCGGATAAACGGATGTTTTTTACAATGTATTTACAATGATCACTTGCTAGATTGGTATGTCGGAGTCGGAATGCGAGAATGTCGGATTAACGAGAGTCATAATCACAGTTTTAAATGGTTCCCTAATTTCTTGTCGGATTAACGTGATTGTCGGATTAATGAGTGTCGGATTGAAGGGAGCTGACTGTATATGGTTTCACATTGGAATTATGGAGAAGTTTAGAAATTGGACTGCAATACATTGCAAAGTAGGTATCAGTTATGTGATGGTACATACTGTGATCTACTCAAAGCCAAAGTGTTTGATACTGACAGTATGCAGATTTTTAATCCAAAATTTTATTTAAAAAAATATATACTGGGTTATATCAGTTAAGGTCAAACCACACAAACCTATCATACTGGCAATATTGAATATCTGGTTCAAATGACTTGAACAAGTTTAGGTGTCAGAATAAGCATCTGAAGTTTATTCTTCAGTGATTTCGGGTGACAAGATATTTTAAGACATGGATGCATGCTATGAGAACAAGTGGTTGCCATTGATATGGCAATGTCCCCGCCCCTAAAGAATGGAATATTTATAACATACTAGTATTTACTACTTTTTATTTATTGGTCATATACAAGATGCCTGAAATGACTGGTGTCTGCAAAATCACCCAATGCAGGCTGTCGACATAATTGAAGACATTAGATGCATTGTTTTATGAGATAAAGTGTTCAAAATGTCGTTGTGACCTTGAAGATAAGGTCAAGGTCACCCAAATCGACTGGTGTCTGCATATTCCCCAATGTAGCCTGTCACCAAATTTGAAGACACTGGATACAACGGTGCACGAGATATCACGTTAACAACTGTTTGTAAAGTGTTGTTGCGACCTTGAAGATAAGGTTAAGGTCACCCAAATCAACTGGTGTCTGGGTAATCCCCAAATGTAGGCTGTCACCAAATTTGAAGACATTGGGTACAACAGTTCATGAGATATCGCGTTGACAAGAATCGTGACGGACGCTGCTGAATACATAGTCCCACGTTCGGCATTGAGGCGGGGGACAATAATAGAGACTGGACAAACAGCTTCTGACATCAGCTCACTGGATTTTCAAACATTGGAAATTAATTTGATGATCATCCACAAGAAAGTTGGACAATGCAGAAATATTCCAGCCTCCTGATGCTGGCCTATAAATAATTTAGTCTGAACAATAGAGATTGCTAGCATTTGGGTAAAAAGAAGTTTGGGGCACAGGCCCTCCTCTCTTTGCGAGGATTAAAGATTAATTTTTGTTGTTTTTTCAGATGACCCCTGTAATACTTCACAGTACAATCCATCATGATTTTAGTCTGGGGCCTAAAAAATAATGATTTGTTAATCTTTAACGCTTGCAAAGCTAGAGGGCCAGTGAAATGGGCTGCTTAATATGGAACTGGTCCATATCCAATATCTTTCATTCTGAAACAAATGCTGGATTATGTTACTTGAATAGCTCAAGCACAGGATGCCCTGCATTGTGAGATCAATTAGTTTGAGGAGTTACAGTGTAGGAAAAAATGCATGCTGGACAATCATAATTGCAATGATCAAAGTCTACTAAAAATTGCCAATACAGTGCAACTTACCATTACTGCTATGTCCTGATCGGAGGTGAGCAGGTTTTCGGTAATAATTGAACAGGGTTTGAATCTTGTTCTTACACGTAGACAGAGGCTCAAACCAGTCATAGTGATCTGCACTTACAAATCCTTTAGGAATATCATAATCCCGTTTACTCTTAGGTTTTGTATGCAGAAGGAATACAACATGTTGACTTTCAGGACCACAACGAGCACCCGCTACTGCTTCGTCGGAGACATATCTGGATTTCCGATCTGTTATTGAATTTTTGGTAAGTAATCTAAAGGTAATATTACATTTCTTTGTCACTTCACTGGCCTTGTCTGGAATTACAGCACCAAACTGTGGATGTTCATATAAACACACTTTTGCCTTCTGGTTATCATCCAATACAATGTCTTTCATGGCATTCAGGATTTCATTGGCCAGCTCATAATCCTCGTCTGCATGTATTAAAGCTGCATCAAACTTCAAAATTCTGCTGGACTCTGCTGGTTCAGTGCCAGTGTCTGTCTGGGGTTGAGTGCCAGTGTCTGTCTTGGGTGACAGTGTCTGTCTGGGGTTGAGTGCAAGTGTCTGTCTGGGGTTGAGTGCCAGTGTCTGTCTGGAGTTGAGTGCCAGTGTCTGTCTGGAGTTGAGTGCCAGTGTCTGTCTGGGGTTGAGTGCCAGTGTCTGTCTGGGGTTGAGTGCCAGTGTCTGTCTGGGGTTGAGTGCCAGTATCTGTCTGGGGTTGAGTGTCAGTGTCTGTCTTGGGTTGAGTGTCTGTCTGGGGTTGAGAGTCAGTGTCTGTCTGGGGTTGAGTGCCAGTGTCTGTCTGGAGTTGAGTGCCAGTGTCTGTCTGGGGTTGAGTGCCAGTGTCTGTCTGGGGTTGAGTGCCAGTGTCTGTCTGGGGTTGAGTGCCAGTATCTGTCTGGGGTTGAGTGTCAGTGTCTGTCTTGGGTTGAGTGACAGTGTCTGTCTTGAGTTGAGTGTCAGTGTCTGTCTTGGGTTGAGTGTCAGTATCTGCCTGGGGTTGTGTGTCAGTGTCTGTCTTGGGTTGAGTGTCAGTGTCTGTCTGGGGTTGAGTGTCAGTGTCTGTCTGGGGTTGACTGCCAGGGTCTGTCTTGGGTTGAGTGACAGTATCTGTCTGGGGTTGAGTGACAGTGTCTGTCTGGGGTTGATTGCCAGGGTCTGTCTGGGGTTCAGTGACAGTATCTGTCTGGGGTTGTGTGCCAGTCTCTGTTTTGGGTTGAGTGACAGTATCTGTCTGGGGTTGAGTGTCTGTCTGGGGTTGAGAGTCAGTGTCTGTCTGGGGTTGAGTGCCAGTGTCTGTCTGGGGTTGAGTGCCAGTGTCTGTCTGGGGTTGAGTGCCAGTGTCTGTCTGGGGTTGAGTGCCAGTGTCTGTCTTGGGTTGAGTGTCAGTGTCTGTCTTGGGTTGAGTGTCAGTATCTGCCTGGGGTTGTGTGTCAGTGTCTGTCTTGGGTTGAGTGTCAGTGTCTGTCTGTGGTTGAGTGTCAGTGTCTGTCTGGGGTTGACTGCCAGGGTCTGTCTGGGGTTGAGTGACAGTGTCTGTCTGGGGTTGATTGCCAGGGTCTGTCTGGGGTTCAGTGACAGTATCTGTCTGGGGTTGTGTGCCAGTCTCTGTTTTGGGTTGAGTGACAGTATCTGTCTGGGGTTGAGAGTTCTGTCTGGGGGTTGAGTGTCTGTCTGGGGTTGAGAGTCAGTGTCTGTCTGGTGTCTGTGGAGTTGAGTGCCAGTGTCTGTCTGGGGTTGAGTGCCAGTGTCTGTCTGGGGTTGAGTGCCAGTGTCTGTCTGTAGTTGAGTGCCAGTGTCTGTCTGGGGTTGAGTGTCAGTGTCTGTCTTGGGTTGAGTGACAGTGTCTGTCTTGGGTTGAGTGTCAGTGTCTGTCTTGGGTTGAGTGTCAGTATCTGCCTGGGGTTGTGTGTCAGTGTCTGTCTGGGGTTGAGTGTCAGTGTCTGTCTGGGGTTGAGTGTCAGTGTCTGTCTTGGGTTGAGTGTCAGTATCTGCCTGGGGTTGTGTGTCAGTGTCTGTCTGGGGTTGAGTGTCAGTGTCTGTCTTGGGTTGAGTGTCAGTATCTGTCTGGGGTTGTGTGTCAGTGTCTGTCTGGGGTTGAGTGACAGTATCTGTCTGGGGTTGATTGCCAGGGTCTGTCTGGGGTTCAGTGACAGTATCTGTCTGGGGTTGTGTGCCAGTCTCTGTCTTGGGTTGAGTGACAGTATCTGTCTGGGGTTGAGTGTCTGTCTGGGGTTGAGTGCCAGTGTCTGTCTGGGGTTGAGTGCCAGTGTCTGTCTGGGGTTGAGTGTCAGTGTCTGTCTGGGGTTGAGTGTCAGTGTCTGTCTGGGGTTGAGTGCCAGTGTCTGCCTGGGGAGGAGCATTAGAGTCTGCTTGGGGTTTAGAATCCATGTTTGTGTGGTGTTGAGAATCAGCGTGTGCCTGATATTGAGAGCTAGTGTCCATTTGGCCCTGATGAAATGTGTTTTCCTTGGGTTTAAGTACAGTTTATGTGAAGGATGGATGAAACGTGCCTATTGGGGAATTAGGGTGATTGGCATTGGAGGGATTAGAATTACACACTCTCGCAGTTTGCGGATCAGCTTATGTTGTTGCATCCTCACTGTCATTAAGAAGTAGGTCAGAGTCTGGTTGATGCTTAGAGTCAGTGTCCGAGAAGTTTGGTGATATGGTTTCTCTTATGAGTTCCTTGACATGTATGATCTTCTGAATGTTCTTGGTTTGTTGGAAGCTGAGAGTCACAACCACCTTGCTGCTCAGGGTTTACTGGATCTGTTGAAATGGAACTAATGTCTTATAATACCAGACAGTCACTTGAATGTGGAGATTGCAAGTCTCAGACAGGCTGAGCAAAAGACCACTCTTGGTACATGTCATTGTTTTTGTTGTGGGGTTTTCACTATAGATGGAGTCTTATCCAGATTTCTCTTCCTCCTACCTCCCAAGAGTGTTGTACACTTTACCTCTGTAGTGCTTCACCTAAAGAAGAAACAATTTGATTATAGCAAGTGAGGTTTTATGATGCTTTGAGCAATACATTATTCCATCAGGGGACACCAGAAATGGACTTTACACGTACTCCTGATGTGGGCAATCAAACAAGGGTCTTGAGGAGTGTGATGAGCAAACACTTTAACCGCAAGGCGTAACCTTGGAATGTTTTTAGAGATATCTTAAACAGACTTTAGAGCTGTGCCCTTGAAAGTCCATATTAGTATTGGATAATTCTATTTTTGTTATCATTGCTGAGGTCAATTAATGAACTCATATATATTTTGGTCTTGAATGTTCATTGTACTACTGCACTGTTAAGAATTGTTATGAGTAGAAATGTATCATGAAAATGGCATTGGGAAAGCAATACACCCTTAAAAGGAGGGGTTGGGGGTGTTTGGGAGGGGATCACATGTATGTCTGCTTTTGTTATAAGCTCATAGTTTTAGATTTACAAGTGAAACAACACAAGTGATCAGATCACAAAGATGGACACTTAACAAGGGAAGCCAGTAGTTAACTGGCGCTGATCGGTACTGACAATGTTTAAAGAGTTTATAAAATACCTATAAATTCTCATTTATATTATTTTGTTCCTCAATTAAAGAAATTTAATCACATTGCCATAGAATTCAAGATAAATGGTAAAGAGAAATACATAAATCATAGACCAGTGAAGATCCGTGTTAGAATTGGTCTTCAGCAACACATGCTTGTTGTAGCACATAACACAAACAACTTTTGTTCTTTGAAATCTTAACGTGTAGATTTCCAGACCCTCAAAAGATTTTTAAATCCAGGTTAGAATTGACCTTCAGTAACTCATGCTTGTCATAAGAGGCGACTTACGGGATCAGGTGGTCACCCCCCTAAGGGTTGACACATGTCATCGTACATCCTATTGCGAAAATCGATGCTCATGATGTTGATCACTGGATCGTCAGGTCCAGACCTGATTATTTACAGTTCGCGGCCATATAGCTGCAATATTGCTGAGTGCAGCGTTAAACAACAATCAATCAAACATAAATCATAAATTCTATTTTAAATCAGGTGTGATCAAAGGGAGATAATACATCTAAGGGACCATTCATAATTTATTGCTAGGGGGATGATGATGATTTTAAGTAGGGGGGTCCACCCATTTTGTTAGGGGTGGGGGCATCAATTTTGTACACATGTACTAGGGGTGGGGCAGCTAGTTTGTATATACAGATATTTAAAAATTATGCTTAAAGGTCACATGCAACGTAAAACACAACTTTGCAGATTCTGATACCTTTCGGTATGGACTTGCGAAACAAAGCGTCAAAATGCAAATTCAACTTATAAAGTTGAAAAATAGCGATGAAAAAACGCAAAATCGGAGTTCAAACGTTTCACTAATTTTCCCCAGACTTTTCTGGGGAATACGAGTTTCAACAGCTGGACTCTGGCTCATAGCATCGCGCCGCAGTGAAATAGGTTCAGCGCTAACTTGGAAGCAGTCTGTCTGGTGAATACTTTCGTGAAGGCTTTAGTGTGAGATATTTTCATAATGTTTTGTTGATATCTCACAGGTGGCGAAGCTTTTATATGTTATGACAGTAAATAAACTGTTTATATAATTTCATTTGTCTATTTCACCACACGTTCTTCTTACCGAGTCACTTTCTGAGTTTGATACTTAAAAGCAATGTCATTATTTAGCCTTGACACAATTTCTAACTGTGATATAGATATGTCGCTGTCACAGACAAAACTCAATGTCTTGTTTTATTGACACCTGTGTGTCTGCCTGCCTTTCTGCTAATGACAATATTCAATACACAACTGCGATCACTGACCACATGCAATTTGAACTTAACACCAATCAGGCTATACACCATAAACAAAACGCATTGATTTATGGCCCGAGTTCGGTCTCTGTCACATTATGTAATTACACAGACAGGCAGGTGTGATACTTGAACACATGACATATTACGATGTCTGTTGATTGCAAAATGTTATACACAAAAAATGAGCATGTATTTTGGGAAGGGGGTCATTGATTATGTACGACACATGCAGGGGAGGTCACTTTGTATATAGATTTTAGTGGGGGGTCACTCACATTGTACATCATGCACGCACGCACACACGACGGCAATAAATTATGAACGATCCCTAAAGCAGTAGTAAAATCTCCCGTAAGACGTTCTATTACCCTGCACATTGGGTCTTTGCTGAAATATTCCTAGATTAGTCAACAGCACGGGTGCCATCGTCATAAATATATTTTCATATACATTTTAATAGATATATAGCAAAATGCATTTCTAGAACTCATTATATATTGACTGATCTATAAATATTTAAGCCTCGACAAGAGCGTGTGAGCCACGTATCTGGTCGAACCTCGACCGACGAAACTCTTTTTGACCGTTATGAGGGAGGCTCAACATGACTTTTATATGGAGACCCTACTGTTGTCATAAGTTTCCAAACATAATCGAATGTCTCTTGATGCCATTGTTGGTGAGTTTACTACCTCCACACAGTTTAACACCCTGCCCTTGATTTCCCTGAAGATATTCACATGTAACATTCCATTGTACTCCCATTGTGTAGACATTATGTTATAGGTTAAACAGCAACGCTTGGAATATATATTTACCTTTGCCATTTACATTTAGTTGTCCTTGAAGACACGGGCCATTCCATTTCGCAATAGGAGCCACGTAGGCATTTAGCTACTTTCGTTTTGAAATGAGGCTGGTCAAGGGTCAAGAAAATCAAACAGGTCACGGTCGTTTGTTTGCCTAAACTTGGCTAAACCCGTAATCAGATTAAATCGGCTGATTTTAATATATATATATGCATAAAATTATATAATCGCATTAATTTACCGTGTGCGAAAACGCAATATGCGAAAGCGCACGTAAAATCTATAAGTAGTCGCCATTATCATTCTTATATTAATATAGAATAGATATTTGCAATTTTTTGAGAATACATTTCCAGTTGCGATAGATGTGTAGCAAAAAAACAACCCTCTCCATATATACAGAATTGATACATGTGTCAATATTCACTGCGCGGTACCTAGTTGTTGAGTGACAGATCCTCTGTTCACTTTAACCTCTGATTATCATGAAAACCGAAATATTGCACTCATATCTATTAGAAATAATTACGTAGCAATAATGGGGAGCTGTATACGCAGTAATACGCAGTAGTGCCAGAAATTCATATATATTATTTGGGATAATCATGAAAAATATGCATAAATAAATACGTAAATTTGGTTATATGTTCCAAAACTAAATTAGGACGACTACCCAAATCTTGTGGCCATTTGTACCACCGACCCCCTTTTCCCATTAGTACTGTAACCGCAGTTGCATCAGCTGTTTTATCCCGCTGAATAACGATGCTGTGAACACGTAGATATAATTAGATCTGAGGTATGCTTGATGTGTTGGAAACTCATTGGCTGTGATTTTTCGTCAGAACTACGGTCGTCCAAGATAGACCACAGTGTAACACAGCATTGCATTGGGAAAGATAACCCGATCCTATCTTCTGTATGTTTGCTTCCAATTTACTGATTTTACCCTCGCGCAGCAGTAAAAGTATGTGTTTTACTATAAAAAATTATCAGGGGAGAGAACCCGTCCTCAACTACATACTGTATATACTGTTTCTCGTCATCGTCAAGAATATTACAGCATGCCACTCAGCCGCAATGCCCTCTGATTGGGTAAGTTGCCTACTTGTGTATTCCTCGACCTCTGTGTGTGTGTGTGCGCGCGCGTGTGCGAGAGAGTGTGTGTGTGCGCGCGCGTGTGTGTACACACACGCCAAATTTGCATGTTGTTCAAATCAATTTAAAAGCACCCAGAACAACCATAATTTGATTACAATAGTTTTACATTATGAGTTTTACAAAACGTCCTCATTGCATCTATATGTCCGGTAATTCCGCGAGTCCGGTAATTCTGCGCAGCTGCAATAGTGTAATTCCGTATTGAAGGTAAACATCGTCTGCTAGCACATTTACGCTTGAAATAGAGACATTTCTACAAGGGACTGGCTTTTAATCACTAAAGGTAAGTAAATAACAGTAATTGACAGTTTTATGAAAATTCGTTTTCTTCAGACTTTTAAACCTTTTTCTTCATTATTCATAATTGGATTTAATATGAAACACTCTTCCTTACATTGATGAAGTGATTTTTAAATGATCTGGCCCTAAAAATACGTTTCCATACTTCGCATCTCCAGCTGGATGTTATGCGCATCAGTTGCTGCGCAGATTTACCGGACAGCAAGCGATGTCGTCAGAACGCCGGTAAGGTCAACCGTATGGCATAATGCAACGTTAGAATCTTATATTTCTAGGTAAATATGATGCATACCAGCATGTTTAGTCACGTAAACCACAAAAAATAAGAGACGTGAGTCGCCGTGTTGCGATCGATGTGCTTAGGTGCGCGGAATTACCGGACGGCATTGTATATATGAAAGGTAACCATTTCCCAGTCAGCCCTTTCTCTCCTTATACGACCGTTCAACTCGAGACAATCATAACTCCGACAAAACCGTATCTGACTGCGTACATAGTGCTCCACGGACATAACATCGTTATACATAGTGTTAGCAGGATGGCAAAGTTGTGAGAGAATTGATACTGTAATGAAACGTTCTCAATGGTTTTAGATATACACCACGGGGCCGATAACGTTTATATTTACCTACCTGTAGGAAACTTAGAGAATAATATCCATACCCTGCCCGATAACAACCCGGGGCCTGTATCATGAATTCATATTGTAAGATGTATCTATTTGCAAGTCAATACAACACTTTTTTCACCTTTTTTTAATACACTGTCACGGGAAAGCGAGTCGAGCAGACGATGCACTAAGGGGCGTAACTCCAATTTCGTACCACCCTGGGCTAACAATGATCTCAAGTTCAAAATGCATTAATTGACTAGGCATATCAGTCGGGCACGGGTCTGGTTATTAGCTATTTGTGATAGAAAGCTCCCCATATGTGTTTGCTGTTTAGCATTCAGCAATATGCCAGCTATATTCCGGTAGTCTGTGAAAAGATCAAGTCTGGAGCATGCATTCCAGTGATTGACATCATGAGCATCGATCTACACCACATCCGAGTCAGCGCGCTTGACCACTTCAGTCGTCCCTGACGGAAAGCATGGGTTGTTGAAGACAGTACGTTTTAACCCTGGCCTTTAGGGTTCAATCTCTATTTTGGCCCTATCGCACTTGCCAATGTGCCAATGCGTCACACCATTTATATATACTCGTTTAATAAAACTGGTATTACACGGAAGGTCGTTTAGTACCCTCTATATATCACACGGAATTCATGCTAATATCATAACATGCGACGTTACATAAAGGGAAGAAATGGAATTACATTGCTGATTGAAGCGTAGTTTCAAGCGTAGTTGGTACTGGCGCTATATTATCACAGTTCATTAACACACATTCAGATAGAGAACATGACTTTGTTGACTTGAATAAAAGAATGACTGAATGAAAGAGGAAAACGAATGCATGTATATAAATGTGTGTGGTGGGTGTGTGTGAATGTGTGTGTGTCTTGTGTGTGAATGATAGGGATAGGGGCTTAAATAACAGAGCGTACGAATGAATAAATTATATATATAAGTACTGTTGTTACTATCTATTGTTCCATTGTCTGGACTTGTCAAGTTTGATCCGTCATCCTCGATAGTGGATCGTAACGTAACGTTTACCCTGGAGATTATCAAGGATGTATTAATGTATATCCCGGTATATATCACTGTTAAGGTCCGTGATTCAATGTCGTTCAATAGGGCGCAAACAAATGGACTCTTCCATTATGTAGAAAATGGCCAATATTTCTTTTTGTTAGTTAACGCCGAAAATGATAAACAAAGCTAGTATCACGATTATCTCTACTATACCAAAGGTTGTGAGTTTTGAACATGTATTTTCGTTTTCCCTTCGTAACAATTTGTTTCGCCTACGAAACGAAATAGATTTTCTCGGAGTTATCTTACCTTACCAAGAAAATATTACTTTAGTACGACTAATAACAAACTGTGATCATATGTTTTGGAAAGAAGGAACTATTATTTCTAAAACCATTTGAATCATATCATGTTTCTTTGCAAATAATATATTAATATATTTATGTAATTAATGTTAATATAATACACATAAAAATAGTAATATTACTGTCATAAGTTATTTATACAACACTAGTCGTTATATTAGTAGCTGGTATGTTGTCATTGATCTGCAAAGTTATAAACAGTCCCGGCCAGGTTTACGATAGTAAGTTTCTCGCACTGGAAAGACACTGACTGCAGACGTGCACGTAGCAGACGAAATGGAAATGGTGAGCATGTTTTTACATGATCAAAGTATTGTTCGATCTCTTACTCTCATGTCTGAAAAAACAAACTTCCACTCACTCGAGTTACTGTTTCAATCAGATCTCTCATTCCTGTAAGACCATTTTTGGAAATGCACCAAGGTTGTTTACTTGTTGTATATGTGTCCTTTTTGTGCTCTGGATAAAAAGTGCATTGGCATTGATCACTGTTTATCGCGTTAGAGGTTTTGATTGTAAACATTTCTGTTTGACGTGCATATGAAGGCTCTGTGTGCCGGCTTACCATCGTCATCGATCCTATTTCTACGAAATTTAGATGTGATAACTGAGAATTGCTTCAGGCATAACCTCGGCTGTTACCTTGTTTTTGTTTGTATACATCAAACTTTCAAACAGTGGTGCACTAATGTTTTTACATAATCTAATTATCATAATCCTTCTGTAATATGGACAGAGGGCTGCGTTAAGCATCAAACAAGTAATATGTACATGTTAATGTCTAATTTCAGTTGAAACCATGGTTACCTGTTGGCTGCATTATGATTCAATTCAATTGTCAAAATGGCCACAAACCCCTAGTCATAATGGCCATACCAAAAAGTCAAAATGGTCCTAGAAAAAGTCAAAATGGCCATGCATTATTTTTTGTATCTTTTAATGCTCAAAACATTTTCCCATGTTGTATTATTTGATATCAAGGTGCCAAAATGACAAAAGAAGTTATATCAGACAAAAGTTGATGTTTATTACACATCAGCAATTTTCAAATTTCTTTAATTTTAAATAGATATGTTTTATTATATTTATCGCCTACCACCTCGTCTGCAACCTTTTCAGCAATGGAGCATCTAGACTCCTGTAGATTTGCCATGGCTGCTTCCTTCACCTTATAAGACTTGAAATGTTCTTAACATTGTAAATTTTAATGGCATAATGGCACAACTCCACATGTTGTTAGGATAAAGTTGTCTTTTGCAAGTTCGTAAGATGTTTTATGCTTGTTCATATGATTCGACCAGTAACAACAAATGTGTCTAACTGTCGAAAACCAATAATATGGGAATAATTATCCTTAAGAAATAAATCAACAACCATTTCATAATATCAATAATATTGTCTTTCATGAAGTCTATCATGTTCGTCCTTATCAGCTCACACATTCAGCTGTCAGAATGGTCAGTGATAACTGAAGATATTTCATTATGTTTATTGTGTATGAGTTTTGCAATGATGAATTGGGAAGGATTAAAGGGACCTGGTACCCATATGGTGTTGCATTCCCTTACATTGCCATGCCATACTATTCTATTATGCACTTAGAACCTAGATAAGGTTGACTGTAAGAACATCTGTTGATCAGTGGTGAGGCCAGTTTGATAAACATATGATCAGCTGATGATGAACATACAACAATGAGCTGTAAACGGAGTAAGTGAGAGGACAAAAGACTTAACATTCTAGTTCTTGGTTTTGAGGTATTACACCAGTACTGCCATCAGAGTAGGACTAGCTATAAAGATCATTGATTAAACATATATTTTTGGGGAAGAATTATTAATCGTAATGAATATCTAAATGGAAGTCGTCTCATAAAAAATATCTCACATAAACTATTTGAATGAAACAATTTAATATGACACACACAACACACAAATTCACGTCTATGGGCTGCTTTTAAATCATGTTCAGAGGGCTGCTTTTGTCAGTAATCCATGCTTACACAATATGTTGATTTCATTTTGACTTAAAAAGTTAATGGTATCACTCTCTATGATCTATATTGCTAGCCAGCCCTACATTCAAGGAGGAATGGTGTCTTTGTCATGGCCTCAATGTTCAAACTAAAAGTTAAAGATTTATGACTACATTCAGTTTCCGGTACTGTTTCAACAAACAATTATGGACCATGCCCAATGATGCCCCATAATTGTAAAAACTGAATACTAAGGTGGGTGGTGGTTTCTTTGAATTGTCTGTTTAGTATCATTATTATCAAGCAACATTGACAATATCAACCTCTGAAATGCTCTTTTGCAAGTAACTTCTTTTTAACATGTTAAGATATGATAAGAGGACACAACATGATAGATCAAGTGTTTTACAACCTCACTCAAATATTGCTGAGCTGCACTCCAACTCATTGCTACCTAATCAAGTTAATGTGAAACCTGATGAGTGTTCTAATTACCATGTTTACATTCAACATTTTGAATGTTGCAAAGATGGACCTAGTCAACCAGGCATGTGCTCTTTCTAATATTGCTCAACATGCTGTGTTTATCAAACCTAGTTTTTGTTGTAGGCCAGTTGTAAACTCACTATGTTTATATGTAAGTGTGGCTGTATCTGTATGTTTATATCAGTAGAGAGCGTTTGGGAAAAGAGACCATTTTACAAACATGCCCTTAATTTGCACATGGGGTCATTTTTGCCCTTAGGAACTAGTGAAAACAGTGGAGATAGATGGGAGATGATAAGTAGAAGATGTAACAAAACTAAAATGTACATGGGATGGTTCCCATGTGACACATACAAGTGATTACCAGAGAGAGAGTTAACACATACACATGGCTGCCTGATCATGAACCATGATGGACAATGGAATTTTACATTTTGTAGACAAATGTGTCTACATTTGTCATTTATGAAAATAATTAACCAAAATAAAGTCTAGTCTTTGATAGTTGTGCAATTTATGGAATGACATGAATAAAAAAGTAAAAAGAAAAGATAAATAGTCAAAGTTGGAGAAATATTTGCAGAATTTGAGCAACACGGGATAATTTTTGACAGCAAATGTCTCTTATGATGATGAAAACACAAGTATACAAGGTAATATTTATCTTCATCTTGATAATCTCTCCCTACAACAGTGTCCACAAAAGTACAGAGAATAATATGATAAAGGTCAGTTCCACCAAGATTTTGACTGATCATGATAATGTTAATGATAAGAGCATTTATATCGCGCTAAACTCTATTTACTAAGTGAATGTTCATAGCACTAACAATCAAAGCACAGCTCATTATCACCCTGGATAACCCAAGCTGCATGTGAGTCACTTGAAGGTTAATAGTCACATGACTTATCCCATCGGGTACCCATTTCCTTCTGGGTGAACAGAAGCAAATTTGGACAAACTAACCTCGGGTGAGAGCACATGTATCACATGTGCTTCGAATCATCTCTTCCATGTATCCCACTTTGATATCTGGATTTGGGACTCATGGGAGAACTTACTGTTTGGTGATCCATGTTAGAGCTTTGATATTTTTATGTGAACTTTCCAAGCACTGACCAGCACTTTTGATGTTACCTAGTACTGCTAGACAGTGTGTCAGTGCGTATTGGTCATATTGACTTAGTCTGGGTTTATGTAATATATTGTTGAAAGTACTTAACCTTAATAGTAAATACCCAAGGCTCCAGATAATTTTTCAACATCATTTGTTCAATATGGGAGTACTTGAAAACCGTAAGTGTACATTTAGAGTACTGAACAGAAATTAATGGAGTATCAGTAACCTTGTGTTTCATTTCAATATATGCACCACAACATTGCTACTCTTGTTTAAACAGGTCAATATACAATAAAACAATAATTTTTAAAATAAATATGTCTGTAAATGATTCTAAGATCGTACACCATTACTGTGGTGCATATATTACATTTCCTACTGGTGCTGTATATCTATGCTATATGTTTATCTAATATCATTTAATTATTCCTACAATGTTGTAGTTAATATTGATGCACAATATTGATTGCCCATGGTGACAGTGTTAATTTGTCACAGCAATAACCAGTCATCTCATGACACTCAAATTTGGTATGTAAGAGTTATAGTTGATACCAACATTGATAACAACTTATTATCATTATTCTCAATCTCATATGAAAAAAAGGACTGATGATCATGAAGGTTTTTGTAAAATTATTATTCTTATTGACCACGAATCAATTGAATGACTGATGATCATGATAAAACTATTATCTTATTATCAATTATGACTGATGATCATGATAAAACTATTATCTTATTATCAATTATGACTGATGATCATTTGAATTTGGGTCATAAATGCTTGTCAGTTGGGATAATTAATTTCATGTTCTGCAAATTCTGGTTAGCCAACACATGGACAGTCACATGTTCTTCCATGTTTCTGTGTCCTAGGTGCCCGAATTGGAAAGTAAGCATGTCCATATCAGGAATCCCGAGTTTGTCAAGAAAGCCATTGAACACATGATGAAGGATGGAGCAAAGAAATTACAGGTACGTCATTGCTCACAGAAGGAAGATAAACATCATCACCATCATAATCATAAATAAGCAATATGGTGTCAGAGGACACCAGAAATTTTGCTTCTCACATTTTATTACCCTAAATATAAATTAGTTGAATTCTGATTGGTCAATAGCCAAAGCATACCAAACCATGTAAGCGGATTTGCTAGGGTGTACGAACCGTACACCCTGTAAAAATCTGTCATGTGACACACTACATGGGTTGTACGAATGACTTTGACTCTTAGATTGAATGTGGCTGCCAAACGGCTGTCTGCTTCGAAATTTTAGTGTTGGCGTATACAATTATGTGTATGAACAGAGTAAAAAAATTGTTGCCATATTTTTTTATGTCAATAACTATATCCAAAAATATTCTGTATTTCACTTGTTGTTTAACAAAACCTCAAATTAGATAATTTTTATCATAAACTAAGGACCCATGAAGATCCAGGGTAGAATAGGTCTTCAGCAACCCAGGCTTGCCACAAAAGGCGACTATCCTTGTCGTAAGAGGCGACTAACGGGATCGGGTGGTCAGGCTTGCTGACTTGGTTGACACATGTCATCGGTTCCCAAATGCGCAGATCGATGCGCATGCTTTTGATCACTGGATTGTCTGGTCCAGACTCGATTATTTAAAGACCGCCGCCATATAGCTGGAATATTGCTGAGTGCGGCTTAAAACTAACCTATTCACTCTCTCATAAACTAAGCCATCCCGAGTTATCTCCCTTTATGACCGTTCAAGAAAAGTCAGGGCAAAACATTTTGTATCTCGTTCTGCCGATGATTGAATGTTGTTGTTTAAAGATAAGCTAAGTAAACAGATCTTAAGGGTAATAAATGTGTCCCGTAAAGGGTGTACGGGACTGTAAGACCCTTGTAAATTCTGTATTTCCTGAGGCGCAAACATCATGTAACTAATAGCATCCATCCGAGGAATCAAACCCAGGTCATGAGACATGATGGGAGAAAGCTTTTGCTTCGTGGCTACCCCAATGGCCCTTATGATGAGTCATCAAGGTGAAATCCAGGTTAAGTCAGTAACATTCATGTCAAGGTCAAAAGTCCATGAAGACACTGGCCACAGTTGATGTAATTTGATTTCCTACATATATCCTTGTGTATTCGGTTTTCGGTCATGTAAGGATTGTCGACCAACGTAACATAAAATGCATAAATAAATCGATAATAAACAAACCTACTTCGTTTGTTTGTTATTTATTTATGATATTCAAATATCTGACGGATTAACCTCGTGTTTCACCCACACAGCAGGCCTCGTAGTTCGCTACGCAAAGATCCTGAATGCGGAAGTGACGTCATCTGTTTTCGTTCACTTCATTGGTTCTCCGTAAAACACGAATGTAATCGCAGTATTCGTGCTATGCTGATATTTTTATAATATAAAGTTAATAAACATCCTGTCCAAAAAGAATATTTGTAATAGTTCCAATAATAATTATTAGAAACTATGGTCGTTATAATTTCATGTCAAAGTTAATCATGATAAGACTTCGCTAGTTACATCACATGTCCAGGCATGTTTCACTCCTCCGGTTCACGCTGACAAGGGCACCAAAACTCATCAGAAGATCTCACTACACATACGGAGGTGCACAGCTTGAGGTGGACCCAATGACAGCATGCAGGATGAGTACACTGGGCCCATGACACAGAAATATATTAATTGCAGTTTCGAAAATTAAATGAGTATTTTGGAAAATCGTAATAAGAGATGACCCTATCCAGTTTCCATATATTTTTTTTACGACGGCAACGCCACGTGATATGTCATGGGATAATAATACGTCATACTATAAACAAGCAGACGACGCTATACTGAAAAGGTGGAGCTGACGATATTTTAGATATAGCATTTTTGATTACATGAAAATTTATGCATTAGTAAACTCGGTTCTAAAACGTAACATTTACGTGTGTTTGCAATCATGTACCTTACTAAATTTCACACGAAGCATTTTGTTAGTCAGAGCTGAAGCAGTCGACATCCTGCTAAAAATAACCTGTCTGGTGACGTAAAATCTCGTTAATAACCGCGAGAAATGAACACGCAAACTGCCGACCGAAAACAGATGTTGAACGAAAACAGATGACTCGAGGATATAACTGTGTCACTTTCACAGAACTTCCTAAACAAATACTAAAAGGTATTTTCATAAAACATATATACTTTTTTCATAATCTGTTGGTTTTTTTTCAAAATCTGACTTGTCTAAGTTAATTCTTACTTATATATTGTCCAGTAAAAAGAATCGACCTTTCATAATGTGTTAATGTGCTTTTTTTCATTCTTGCCAGACTGTTCCTTCTTGATGATGTGTATCATGAATATTGTTGTTCTGTACCTGGCACTTAGTCAGTGATCATGTCCGTTAAGTTTGTTTTGTATATAAATTTCCTGTGTTTGTCAGTGTGGGGTTGGTTTTAAGCCAAGATGAGGCCTGTGAACTACCCTGGTATAAGTATTAACAACACCTGTTGTACTCAGTGTTGTGTTGTGTGTATTATGTCTGTAAAGGTGTCGGCATCACCCCCACTATCTTCTCATTGACATTTTTAAGATTACGAAGAATTGTTTTGCTCATTGTGTAAAGATTGTAAAATGTTTCAGGTTGTGGCCGACTTTGACCGCACACTGTCCAAATACAAGCACCAAGGCCAAGTGTCTGCAACATGTCACAGTAAGTTTATTCAGGCCAAGATATCCTATACATGAACTCGTCTTTGTGTCTTTACTGATTTCTTGTTATTAGAGCTGTGTATCGTGGTCTAAGTGGCGAGACGATATATCCCGATACCAGTTTACTTAGGCGAGTTGATATATCATGAAAGTATTGGCAAGGAACCTGCGAGACGATTATCATCACGATACAATGGTGGCGATACGATACGTATCCCGATACTTTACAATTTCTAATAGCAGAACATATATGATAGATAAAATGACTTTATCTTTAAAATCTTTATTTGTTATACAGCAGATCTTGTGTTACATTCACACACACTTAAAAAGCTGTTCATTTAATAAAGTTTCAGCATTTAATGCTTTTAAAGTACAGTCAAACATATTCAGTATACTTTGATCTAACATATATAAGTTTGAAACCCAAGTTTCCTTTGGGAAAGTGTGTTTCTGCACCGATGCTTTCACAAACAATTGAATGTAATTTATATCAGAATTCAGAATCACTGAAAAAAAACTCTTAAGTATGCTTTCTAAATTTTATCTTCTCTTTGTTCTCTTTCTTAACAAAGCTAAGACGTCGTTCGTGTATGTTAATAAATGGTGTTATTTGTCAAACAACTAAAACATATTTCAATTACTAAAGACAAGTATTCTACAGTTCACAGAGTTTGAAACATGTTCACACTCTTTCACTTATACACCAACTCCTTTGTCCATGTAACAAAGATAACAGACACAAACAAATTCCTAAAAGGTTCAATTTGTTTTTTAAAATTCAGAAGAATTTCAAAGAGACTCCCTTCCTATTCCTAATGCAATACTCCTTACAACTTTAACTAGTATTGAAGTTGTATCAGGATATATCGTCTCTTGTGGCGATACATCGATGTATCGTGGACCCTTGCGATATAAATATCCTGATATATTGCCTAAATGTGTTTTGTATCGATGCACTCGTATCGCGTAGTTGACGATGCAAACATCGATACTATCGATGAATCGTTACACCACTACTTGTTATCCCAGAAAGCTGTAGGTCTCAAATGTTGGATACAAAATGTCTAGCTGGGAAAAGCTTTTGCCAGGGCTGCAGTAAAAAGATTTAGAAACATGTATAAAAAAGCTTCTGTCTGAAGATGACTGAAGGCTTATCTTGCAGCAAACTTTTAAGAGTCGGAAGAAATGTGTACATAGTCAGAGAGAGACGCAAACATTAGCGACTTGTGTTGTAACCATGGAGCTTCTTTGTTTTACTGGAGTCCTACTCAAGACCCATCAAATCCAGGTAGCAGGACCTTTGTATGTTACTTGTTAACCTACACACACATCACACAGCTTTGATCAATTTTTCTCCTTTCCAGATGTGTTGGAGGAAAGCCATGTCATGCCAGATTTCTTCAAGGAACAGGTACTGCTTCTTACTTTAATACTGTTACTGCTTCTTTACTTTCTGACTGGTATATGACTGGTACTGCTTCTTTACTTACTTACTGGTACTGCTTCTTTACTTTCTGACTGGTACTGCTTCTTGGTACTTTTCTTTACTGCTTCTTTACTTTCTGACTGGTACTGCTTCTTTACTTTCTGACTGGTACTGCTTCTTTACTTTCTGACTGGTACTGCTTTCTGACTTTTCTTTCTGACTGGTACTGCTTGACTGGTGACTGGTACTGCTTCTTCTCGCTTTGGCTGACTTACTGCTTCTTTACTTTACTGCTTCTTTACTTTCTGACTGGTACTGCTTCTTTACTTTCTGACTGGTACTGCTTCTTTACTTTCTGACTGGTACTGCTTCTTTACTTTCTGACTGGTACTGCTTCTTTACTTTCTGACTGGTACTGCTTGACTTTACTTTCTGACTGGTACTGCTTCTTTACTTTCTTTCTTAAAATCTCTTTTGATTTATCCATCTGTAATCATGGTAATTTTATTCTTGCTGTTGATAATATTACCCATATATATTTATATATGCAAGGTTTATCTGGTCTGTCAAAACTAGGGGTCAAGAGTACTTTTAAAATGAGAGTCAAGATCACCCGAATTACTAATTTTATGGGTATGTATTGGAAATATAAAGTTACAAAATAGTGTATTGTACTGTACTTTCATACATAATTATTAAGTTTATAGCAGTACCTTTATATTTCTTGTCAAGAATTTGGTACAATGAATATTCTTGTGTGCCACTTGAGAGGCAATATATATATTGTTGATGTGTGGTTACGCAGGAGACAGGAAAAGCTGATTGTCAGAGAATATCTATTGCAGGCCACAGCACTCCGAGACAAATACATCCCTCTAGAATTCAGTCATGATCTCACAGTAGAACAGAAGATTCCGCTTATGATCGAATGGTAAGTCTTCAACTACAAACAATAAAACAAAAAACTTTTACTGCCATTTTATGTTCAAATTATTGAGCTGCAGATAGAATTAACCATATATAACATGACCCAATATAAATGACCCAATATATTTTAGTTTCTTGTGCATGCGCATGACATTATTTACTTGTATGTTTTTAAAAATCTAAAGATGTATCAACAATATACACAACTGGCCTATGTGTCACATGTATGATTGATGTCTGAAATAGATTACTGTTGGTCAGTAGAAGGGGAATGGGTAACCTAGTTATTGTAACCCTCGTAAACTGCTGTGCTCTTTTGTTGTCCCCAGCCGCAACGCGGAACGGGGGACTATGTATTCAGCGGCGTCCGTACGTACGTCCCGATTCTTGTAAAAGCGATACTCATGAAAGGTTGGACCTAATGTCTTCAAATCCCAACAGCCTCTTGTAAGACACCAGTCGATTTGCCTTGTAAAAGCGATATCTCATGAACTGTTGTACCCAATGTCTTCAAATTTGGTGACAGCCTACATTGGGGGATTACTTAGACACCAGTCGATTTGGGTGACCTTGACCTTATTTTCAAGGTCACCACGGCACTGACCACTTATTAAACTCTTGTTAGCTCGATATCTCATTAACTGTTGTACCCAATGTCTTCAAATTGGTGACAGTTTACATTGGGATATTGCACAGACACCAGTTTATTTGGGTGACCTTGACCTTATCTTCAAGGCTATTCCCTAGCCGTGATATTGCTGGAATATTGCTAAAAGCGACGTAAAACTAAACTCACTCACTCACTAGCAGCATAAAACTTCACTCACTCGAAGATCCGTTTAGAATTGGTCTTCAGCAACCCATGCTTGTCGGAAGCACTCACTCACTCACTCACTCACTCACTCACTCACCCACTCACTCACTCACTCACTCACTCACTCACTCATCTTGCAGCTAGTCTCCTCAGACTGTGTCATGTTAGTCACCCTCAAATATTGACCGAAAAGCCATAGAGGACATTGTGTTTGTTGTTCAGGCTTAGATAGCCCATCAGTTTTTAAATACATGTGGTTTTGTCCTAAATCTTATTGATTACAACAGCCTGGGAAAACAGGTGACTAAAACCTAAAGTCATTTCACCTTATTCACGATCAGTTTTGTAAACAAACTTATAGACCGGAAAATGCCTTAGTCTCAGCAAGTGCTTGAGTAATTATAGGAACTTAATTTATATATTAGCTCATAACAGGCAAATCTCTAAAAACATATATAGTCCCATATACATGACATAGTGTCAGTTATTTAGGTGACACAGCTGCGTCACTTACTCTGTTGTGTCACCTATTGTACTGTTGTCTGTACTACAAGGATTATGCATGGAAACACTTTATCTGTATCGTTTAGGAGATGCAATAATACTATGTTTGCTGAGCATGGATCATATCTTTTATTTGTTTTTTTGTACTTTATTGTGTTTGTTCTATATTGAAAGATATAAGTTTAATTTCATTATTATTATTCATCGTCATGGTAATAATGTGATATGGCAATAGCTGTGAGTACAATGCATGTGAGGCAGCCATTGTTGTTCATCTAAATACTGACATGTGTACATAACTATGTAGGAGAATACCTACTGTGTGCCAGAATCATCTTTATCACTTTAATATTATTTTTACAAACACTTAAGTTGTTTTCCCACTTTATGAAATACATTTAAAAGATGACCTGCATCTTCATTTGACTTTATAGATCAATGATCGGTGTGCATGTGGTTGCAAGAATATATTCACAATTATTTGTTGAAATGGTCAGAGATTTGTCTGCACCTGTTCAGGAGATGATCCTCATCCCTGACTCTGCAGCAAATGTCATTAAAAGTTTAAAAAATTCAAATATAAGCATACAAATTTATGTTTATGTATTTAACACATAGCTGGTTTTACAGCTTTGTAGAAATAACCTGTTCTTCACAAAGGACAAGATGATTAAATATGCAGAGGTTGAAATGCTTATCTTCATACCTTGCATTCTCAAAATTCAATGTGAAAATTGGCCAACCTCTGAATGTAAGCAAGAACTTAAAAATGACCTGATTTTAAACAAAGAAACATTTTTGTCCTAATTTGTCTCCCAGTGACTTTTAGTTTGTTAGGCACTCAGTATTCATTCACAATTATACCACCGTATCCTCGCAGATAATCATAACAGTAGACTAGCACTTAGTCCCTGAATGTATATAATGTTGATGGTAACAAATAAACCCATTTAAATTGAAAAGGAGCCCCAGTGAGTGGGAACCTGAGAAAACCTAGACTTGCTTCATTTAGGGCTTTAACATTGTTGGGAGGACTAGGCAGTAGGGGAAATATTTGGGTGATATTCTGTAGTCTCAATATCACCATATGTTTCTGTAATTCAGCAGAGAGAAGAGATTTATTACATGGATACATTCAGCCATGTGACTGCTGTAGATGGTAGAGTATGATACACACCTTGAACTGATTTATTCAGAATGTCAGGGACAAAAGTATTAACATCAGCCTCTATATGATATGTTGCAGTTTATCCACAGGTGTTACTTGTTATTGATCGTAGTAACCATGGTGACAGTTTCAGGGACAAGACTGTTTTGTGCTTGATATATCATATGAAGGGTAGCCGGAAAGTCCCTAGCTATGCCGATTATGAACGATGTATTGTATAGCTCACCATTACAGTATGTGGTGTTACAGACTAAGTACAGTACATTCCATGCCTATTGCTGCTGTAGAACCAAATGCACAATCACATTTATATTTATAGTCCAGGTGTGCTCTATTGGTAATGAAACATATGCTACCACTCTGTCAACGAGTACCACCAACTGAAAGGGCTAATTCCAAGTGGCCCAGTCCTCTAAGATGCTGGAACTGACTGTGCAGTGTTGCACCACCCTGGACGACACTTGTCATCGGTTCAGATCAGGCCCTGATTTCTCCAAACAAACTTAAGTCTGAGTTTTGACTTAAGTTAGAGTTCTTTGATGGGCATTCTATGTCGAAATGTCACCCTTCACAGAATGAAATGAGTTGTATATCCATAAAAATTGTCATCATTAGTTAGAGTTTTACTCAAATTTGAGAAAACACAGGAACATGCATTTCCCAGAATGAACTGAAATCGATATCAAACTCAAACAAGGTAGACAATTTGAGTTTGATGGATAGATTACTTAAGTTGTTTGGGCTTTTATGTTTTAAAAATGCAGTTGAGTTAAACATTCAGCTATTTCAAATTGTCAAACTAAGTTTAAGATTTGAGTTTAGAGTTTGTTTAGAGAAATCGGGGCCAGGTTCAGTTCAGTTATGTTTCCAGATAACGTCATGTTCAAATTATATAATGTTAATCATGGGTTTTACCAAAGACCAGCATCTCTAGTTTTCTTCCACACCTGAAGCTGTTAAGTCACTGAAGTACACAATGGCATGGGACACAGTTTAGTGGAATCTGTCATTAGTGTGGTATCATTTAAGTAACCTGTTTACGAACTTTTGTATCAATACCCAATAAATTGAAATTGATACGTTTGTGTCATTTCATCATTTAAGCTTTAGTTTGGGTAGGTTATACCATTTACCGTAGTGTACATGGTATGGGCTGAGCTCTGCAATGTTTGATCGTGTTAAAGCTTGTTTACATGTGACACCCACTTATATCTAACCTTGATCTTTCTGCCATAGGTGGACTTCTGCTCACGAGCTAATGATGAAGTGTCTTGTATCCAAGGACAGCATTGTCCAGATGGTGAAGGAGTCCTCATCCCGACTCAGGTAACGTCTCACCAGGAAAACCCCCCTCACACTCTCTACTGTTTTCTTCAGGTATAAAGCTGGTGTAGCGATGTACGTTGGCTCTGGCATCAGGTCTCAGGACGTCAGTGTGTCGGTAGCTAAGGCTAGACTTGTGTTAAGGTGAGCTCCTTGTTGTGGGCGAGGGAATCTATGTTAGGGCTCCCACAGGCCGGGGAGTTGTAATGGGAGGAGATTCTAGTGCATCATCTTGGATCATCCTTGATTACCCAGTGGCTTCTTGTGTTTCCTTAATGTTGTTAGTAACCATGCAGTGTGGATTAATTGTTAGGCTTGTCTTAATCGTACTGTTCCTTTGCTTAAGAGGTACAGATTTTCAGGATCCATGGATTCAACTGCTATTGGAGAGAAGTAAAGGGCAAAAGAATCCCTTTTGAATATTGTGCCAGGTCCAGTTTCACAAAGCTGTTTTAGTGCTAAGACCCTTGTAATCCCCACACTTTAAGTTTAGGACAGTCGTAACACGAGGATCACTTTTGAACCTGTCCCTGAGCCCATTTGCTGCCAGAGTTTTATTCAGAGTACAATTTGAATGAAATTGCATTGTATAACCATCAAAGCAAACTATGTGAGAGAAATCAGGAAGTTATAACCTGATGAGGAATAAAGAAAAGGGGATTGCACTTCAGAAATAAAGCCGTGGTAGAATATGGATGATGGGAATTATGATAAATAATACATCATTTTATGTTATGTTATTAAAATAGTATACAAGACACTGGATAGTTAAGGATGTTGTTGGGTTGGCTTCTTTTCTGATGCGGTTTTGGTTAAAAAAAAAGATGGATTTGATTAGATGAAGCATAAAGAACTTTCAGCTTGCTAAACAGTTACAACCTTTCTGTGTTGAAAAGATCATCATCACCCAAAGGTAGCTTGGCATCTTCATTGCATTGTTCAATCTCAGAAATACTTCATGACTCTCCAGTTCATCAATTGCTCACATATAGGTCAAATTTGGTATTGGGCTAATGGTTGCCTGTTTCTGGGCTCTAATTGAGATTTCTTTTTTGTAGTAAGATGCTACTAGTCTGAAAGTGTTTGTAACTTTTTTGGGGGATGTTCTTATGGATACAGATATGTTGTCAAGCATAATGAGAGGATCTTTTTGTTCTGTGGGAGCCCTTTGACATCTATAACCTGAAGTTATTGGTGTAATCAACCTTGCAACAAATGCTACAGTATGTTTGTAAGGATGTAATGCATGAAAGTGTTTGTAACTTATGGGGGATGTTCTGTGGGAGCCCTTTGACATCTATAACCTGAAGTTATTGGTGTAATCAGCCTTGCAACAAATGTTGTCAGTATGTTTGTAAGGATGTAATGCATGAACAGAGCTCCAGATAAGATTTAGCTCATGTGGGTACTGTACCCACTGTATTTTTTTGGAGTGGGTATTATGAATGTTGAGTGGGTATTTCATTTTCCGTTACCCACTGCTTTCAAATATGTGCGTATTTCAGTCATTTTACTCACCTAAGTATTATGTCATTGAGTAAGTTTACTGAACAGGTATGTTCTGCCTTATGTCATACCTAATCAAAACTAACTTAAATAATGGAAATGATTTCATAAAAAAATCACTCATCCTATACTGACAGTACAACACTTGTCCTATACTAACCGTACAACTTGATAGCAATCGATGTCTTTTTCATTACGCAAGCAATTTTTATAAATACATTCCGTACTCATTTGTTTTAAACTTTTTGCGTATCTAACATTTTAAATGCGTAATTGGTACGCAACAATTATTTTTCAACGTGTAATGGAAATTTTCTGATAGGGTTTTCATTGTTTATTTGTCAAGTTATTACAATGCACAAGTTATCTTGCCTCATCTTTGTTACTTCTCTGAGAGAGTGGTGCAATGTGCTGAATACAACATTTTTTGTTCCTTTGTATTATACTTTCGTTGATGTTTTGCCTTTTAATAGACAACTAATTTTTTTCAGTTGTATCAGATGGATGGTGTTGTGGGTTGCATGGTGAGGCAGAGGTCATTATATTGCTAAATATATAAGTGGTAAAGTTACCTCCACTGTTTTTACCAAATTCCTTAGAAAAAAACACATATTTACATTCTATTGCTTATTGTTTTTGTAAAAACAGTTAGTTTTTTTTCAATTATTTGTTTTCATTAACACTATCACATCATGCTTCATTTTATTTGATTTTGTTTGATCATTGTTTGATCATTTTGAAAATGTTAAAGTGTGGAGTTATATCTTGGACAAGAAACCTGAACAGTTGGGTTACCGAGAATTGATTTAATATATGTGATACTCATAGCGTGAATCTCTTGTTTGTCTGATCCAAATTATATAAAGATATCTAATGTAGCAAGATTATTGCTGAATGCAACGTTAACATGAATGACATACACATTGATACAGTTTTGGAGTAGCATATTTCATGTACATCCTCAGATTCCTGTGATTTGACAGTCCCTAGATCGTCATGGCGCCTCATTCCGTTTTTAATGTTTGAATTCCCATAGTGTCAGTTGTAGGAGACATGAAACCGAGTCCATTATGTCTAATGTTCTGGGTTCATACACACTACGGTGCAGTGGGGAAGCCTAATGGTTAAAGTGTCCGCTCGTCACGTTGAAGACCCGGGTTCGATTCCCCATATGGGTACAATGTGTGAAGCCCATTTCTGGTGTCCCCCCTGCTGTGATATTGCTAAAAGCGGCGTAAAACCATACTCACTCACTGACTCGTACATGAAAGGAAAGGTTTTGAATTGTTTGTTCATTCTTAAAAAGCACTGGGTTTTTTTTGGTGTGTTTTGTAATTCTTGACCACCACCAAAATAGTTTGAAAGACCTGGAATTTATAACCATTTATGACAGTGTTGTTTTTGGTTATTTTATTTTCATTAAATTGTTGTTGAAATCTCAAAACCATTCATCATTGATCATTGTTGTTGTTTATGTTTTGGGGAGACTTTATATTGAGAGTTACCCTTTGTGTGTGGAGAAGTTCCCATAGTAAACGGAAACTTACCTTGACTATCTGCTGCATGCTATTAGGTGAATGTAGTACTCTCAAAGTACATGCTTGAATAATGGGTTTAGTTTGTTATCTTGATTTCCTATGGCTGACTACCATTAAATGGTTTACAAAGCCTGAATATCCTTGTAAAAGCAGTGAATTTTAGTGCTTCCTTTCTGCCCATGCTGACAGTGTTGTACTAAGACTTGATGTATCAGGCGATGCCTGAACATTCACATCAGGTACAGCGTCATGAGTGTCGGACTTGTGTGACAGCTACATGATGCATAGAAATTATTGCTCTCATTAAACATCCCCCACTCATATTGGAATTGTGGTTTACTAGCAGGGTGGAACCATGTTTGTTCAGAAGATTTGTTAGGATGTAGTCAACGCCGTGCATCAGTCCGTAATCATTTCGTTTTCGGAGCATAACTAAAAAATCACTCAAAATATCTACCAACAAAAGTTGAGGCAGATACCAAAGTGGTGCATTTTGTTATTTGCAGATTTTTGGCATTTTTATTTTTCTCGGTTTCCATGGAAACAATTCAGACTTAGTCTCAAATGGAGGGGTGGGCTTCGTTTCTGGAGCACAACTTGAAAACCTTTCGATATCTTTAAAAAAATGAGCTGATATATGAGACAGATTCCAAAGTGGTGCTTTTTGCTATTTGTTGATTTTGGGCATTTTTATTTTTCATGATTTCCATGGAAATGATCTGGATTTAGTCTAAAAAATCAAGTTAGACTTAATGTAACTGTTAGATGATTTGATGTGGGGGCCAGAGGGATTTGTCATCTGCTGATGGCTCCTATTTTGTTATGCATGTAGTTTTCGTATACTCTGTGACGGATCACAATGGTGATGTCAGTATCTCCCTATTTCAACAGAGATGGCTGTATGTGGTTCTTCGATGAGCTGCACCAGCACCAGATTCCGTTACTGATATTCTCAGCTGGCATTGGCGACATCATTGAGGAGGTCATCACACAACAGGCCCACATGCTTGACAACATGAAGATTGTCTCTAACTTTATGGATTTTGATAGTGAGGTACGTATGATCTAGGACCTTGAAACATTGTTTTAACACAGACGATAAAGTATAATAAGATAAATCATTGTGAATCACTTTTCTCATCAATATGATTGTTGAATGTCAAAGTTATCTTTCAATGGTTATCTGACTTGCACATTCAGTTTGTCTTGGGTTTATGATCTCAAGGTCATATATTGGACAAAATACTGGACTTATGATTAGAAAAGATCTGTACAAGTCAGAAGTCAGATTGATAAGAAAATTTAAGGAAAGAAAACTATCCACAGCTTTCACTGCTAGATGCTCTTTTTTGGAATTTAGTAAGCTGCATTTAGCACAGAAAATACACCTTTCAAAGTATTATTCTAGCAAACTCAGGAACTGTTCCAACTTATGTTTGCTTTGAAAGGTAGCTCATGTCAGTATCTGTTGGTAAGGGGTTTTTCATCCTGGTCCTCATGGTACAAGTGACCTGTGTTGTGTCACCTTAGGTTAGGCTGATTTTAGGGGTGACTGTTGAGGGGGAAACAACTATTGGGATAGCGATATTCTATTGCAACATACTATTGTTATTGTGACCAACTATTGCAATAGTTTTCTCTCCGTGAATTGTCTCATTTAAAGTCATTTCCCAAATGAATGTATAGCTGAAGGAGTTTCAGTCTCTTTTAATAACTGACAAGAAAACTTGAAACCCAGATCAAGTAAGCAGTTAAAACATAAACTTATTGTTATTCCCAATTTCAAACTCTGAGTCACATGCCCTGTTTGCTGCCATGTTTGTTTAAGAGGTAACAGCGGCAGATAACTCTAAATCAAAGTGAACGAATCTGGTAACTCCCGGTATTTTGCGCTGCACATTTATGAATGGAAGCCAATTACTCAACTATCAATAGTTACACATACTATGGATGCATCGATATTGTTTCGTTTCTACCATTGATTAATTGCTATCGGAGACTCAAGAATTGCAATCCATCGATAGTATGATGCATTGTTACAGCACTAGCTAATTTACTGTTCAAACTAGCATTAAGCTGCATCAGATTATCTGTATCCTCGGTCCACGCTATTATGGTGAAATTCTTCTCTTCCTCAGGGCAAGCTAATTGGTTTCAAGGGTGAGATGATCCACACTTATAACAAGAACGAGAACGCTGTCCACGATTCCGACTACTTCAAGCAACTGAAGCATCACGAGAACCTCATCCTGTTGGGCGACTCCCTGGGCGACCTGAGGATGGCCGAGGGTGCTGAGGTCACCCACATGCTCAAAATTGGCTTCCTCAATCACCATGTAAGTCTCAGTCATTCTCTGACTTTGTTAAAGATCACATAAACCCTAGGGGGTACAAATACATAAATCACTAACTGGCATCGTTATAAATGAAACCCCGTCATTAAAACTACTCATTTCGACCTTTAATTGACTTAAATCGACCTTTTTGACAACAGTGCACAATTCTCACCCGCGAACGAAATTTCAACCAATCAGAGCAGCTCGTCTCTGTGACGTCATATGAGGAATAGCTTTGAGGGCCGATGCAGAATTCGTCTACATTTTAGGGGGTAAATTATCTTGTTTACAGGCTTGTATAAACCTGAAATCGTGGCAATTGTTGTGGAAAATGAAAGCTATATGTTCTCACAATCTACTGTCATTTAATTTTGTCTCCTGCTTTGCCTAGTTTCCGAGTTAAAACTTGTTTTCATAGACGCGATTCTGTCAAAATCGATTGAAGTCGTTAGGCCCTATTTGTATAATGACTGATCCAAATTGATCCCATTTCTGTGTTTTTTTACCTCAATATTTAATCATGTCATGTAAAAATCTGTTTGTATTCTCAAAACAGTGTCGGCCCATAAGTTTTCACATGCAATACAGCAATTAATACTCCCTTGTTGTAACCCGTGTTAGGTGGTATAAACCTACACATGTTATTTGTCATCATTCACTTGATGGTCAGTTAATGAATTTATAACAGGTATAATTAGTGGTAACACACTTAGATTACCCGACAAAGGTTCCCATTTGGCATTTCTTGTGTCTGGAGTAAATATTCAACATTATAAAGATCGATCAAAGGATTAACCGATAACACGCTGATTGATTAATTACTTTTATCTTACACAGCGGAATTTTCAAAAGGTAGTGTTTATGTATGTAGATTTACTAATCTATACTGAATACACTCTGTCGTGTCGGTGTTCAAGCGTAAAAACAACGCCCTTCTTTCAAAGGATTAACCGGCAATACATTGATTGATTGCCCATTATTGGCTAACTAAATTACTGTTTTTAAAGAAAGGCGACATTATGCAATTAGTTGCCAGGTGTGCTATCTTGGGTGACCAATGAGACTATACACCAATACCTGAAAAGATTTATCACTTTTTCGTATATTAAACTGTTAAAAGACACATCATTTGGAACAGTTTTGTGGATATTGATGGATACTTTCCTCGAACAAGGTAATGGCCTGATATTGTTCCTATAACTTTAATCTGTTTTAATTTTAATATTTGCATTTTGTTTTTATTCATTTGTCGTAGCATTCAACAGAATCATTGTTTTTGCCGTGAAGTGTAATGAGAAAGGCAAGACTAGGGTGTGTGTGCGAATTATGATTCACATTGGCAAACTATAAAATGTCTAGATATTACAGTTCTGTTATAAATTCACTATAAGTATCAGCAGATCGTCTGCTGTTTATTTAGTTTCAAAATGCATACAAGTATGATAATAAACTAATTAGGATTATAAGACCAAATATAAAGACGCACATTGACTAGTATCTGCATACTGGTGAGTGGACATTAACCATGTGAATGTAGCAAGAAATTTATCGCAAGAGTATTGTGACTTCGACCCCCACCTTGCTTCCGTGGAAGAAATCGTTATGTTATAAGTTGTGTCATGCAAAATCCGTTTGGTTATGATTCCAATACATATTTAACTACTGGTAGAAAGTAGTTTTGATTTTCTAACTTGATGAAAACAAACTATAATCTCATTAATTCTAACAGACTTTTGATTTTCAAAATGGTAACCCTGTGGGAGACTTTACGATTTTCAAAATGGCGGCCCTCTGTCGGAACATCCGCCAGTCTGAGGATAAATGCTATTTAGGTTTGTTTTCACCGAAGTTACAAAATCAAAACTACTTTCTACTGGTAGTAAAATATGTATTCTATTGATGGCCAATGGGATTTTGCATGACATAGCGTATAACATAACAATTTCTCTCGTGGAAGCGAGGTGGGTGTCAATATAATACTACTTACAATATTATTGTTACTTCGACCACAACCTCACTTCCGAGGAAGAAATCGTTATGTTACAAGTTGTGTCATGGAAAATCTTTATGGTCATCAATCATATACATATTTTACTACAACTAGTAAGTAGTTTTGATTCTGTAACTTCCGCGAAGCGATCTGAACACAAGTAAGATATCGCTTCAGGCTTCCACAACGCCGCCGCGACTCACAAACATAACCCATTTAGCACCTAACTGCGGGTCCTGTGGAAATCTGTGCATGGTGACACCATCGCCCGACCCTAGGAGCAATTGACGACAAAGCAACGATTCGGCATGTTGTCGCTTGATGTCGAGAAATCATCAAAATGCTGAGCGTGCTACACACTTTCTATACAACTAACTGAAAATCGTTCCTCATATGACGTCACTGCAGTGCTCTGGCGACAGAGTTACGTAACCTGTCTGTGGTTTCGTTGGCGTGCGAGAGGGAAGCAGGCGACTTTTTGGCCACTTTTAATCGTTCGGTATTAATTAACCACAAGTTTTTAAAGAATAAATTTGGTGTTCCGCATAAGACTAACTACAAATCTTTCATATGTAATGGTTAAAAGAGTAACAAAAAACAAAGTTTAGTGGTTCTTTAAAATAACATTGATTGTAGAATCTTTCAAGTTTCTTCTGAGGCTTTTTAACCCCCCTGGCATATGATGGGGGCTGATATAGTCAATGTCCAAAAACAATTTGGACTTGGTCTCAGAAAGGCATGGATTTTGTTTCTGGAGCATAACTAAAACAACGCTCAATATTTACCAACAAAACTTGGCTGACATATCAAACAGATCCTGAAGTGGTGCCTTTCACTACTTGCATATTTTTGGCATTTTTATTTTCTTGATTTCCATGGAAGCAATTTGGACTTGGTCTCAATAGGAGGGATGGGTTTCGTTTCCAGAGCACAACTTGAAAACCATGAAGGATTTTTCATTCAGACCTGGTACATGTATTAACCAAGGACTGAAGTGGTGCCTTTTGCTATTTTAGGAATGTTTCCAAATTTGATTTCCCCTGTTTCCATGGAAACAAGTTAGACTTAGCTGAAATGTAGGTAGGTGTTGTTTCCGGAGCACAGCTCTAAAATCGTTTAATGTCTTTCAACAAAACATCGTAGATATATCAAGCAGATCCCAATGTAGTGGCTTTTGCTATTTGCAGATTTTTGGCAATTATATTTTCTCAATTTCCATGGAAACAATTTAGACTTAAATCTCAAAAGAGAAGGGACTGGATTTCCGGAGTACCTATCAAAAAGTACATGTAGTAACCAAGGGTGCCTTTCGCTATTTAGGAATTTTAAGAAAATGAATTTGACTTTGACTCTGTTTATAGTGGTGTGTAAGTCGGGGCCATATCTCTGATAGGTGTTCCTCCATGAAAGTGTGCATAAACAAAATACAGGTCGTCAACAGCTGCTTAACAAAGTTAGGGATTTGTAGTTTTTCCTTTGACCAATTCCATGTTATGAATTCACAATGCCATTTGGAAAGTGGTCAAATGTAACATATGTTATATTTGGGATTACACTTTCTGAGTAAAGTACAGATTCTAGTACTTTTATACAGGATTCGAACCCACACCCTCAGAGTCAGGCACCTAATCGTCAGCACACAAAGTCTACTACCTAACCCGCTCAGCCACAACTTCCACTCAACCCAACAGAAGTACTAGAATCTGTATTTTGCTGAGAAAGTGTAATCCCAAATATAACATATGTTACATTTGACCAGTTCCATGTTATTGTTTTGATAGTTCAATAACTACTCTTGTATACAGATGGACAAGTTAGACAGAAATTCACTCATCAAATTGGACTTTAAGTAACTGTCAGATGATTTGTTCTTTCAAATTTCTAGGGGTTGGGGGGATATGTCATCTTGTGATGACTGCCAAACTTTCTTGGTGTTTCAGTAATTCAGAATTTTAAGAAATTGGTTATGAGCGCAATGAGGGGTGGGGTGGGGGGTGTAAGGGAAGTAACTCATCTGACCTAGAAATCAAAGCCACTGCCAATATTTATGGACATGAGCCTGATGAAGACATGCTTTCCATCAAACGCAGTATATTTTATGGCTTATATTTGCTTGTCAGTCAGTTTTCTATGTTGAATTTCACACAAACTCAGTAATAAACAATGGTAACTGACAACCTTGTTGACATTGCATATTTAAACTTGCATTAATGTAAGTCCCATACTGATTGGTGCATTTGGTGCATAAGACCTAAAATTGTAGCCAATCAAATTGTCAAATGGAAAGCAAGGGCAAGTAATTTGGGATTGTGAAAGCCAGGAGAATGGGTTCAGGGTTTACTGTAGGTTGACCAGAAAAATTACCAAGGAGTGAGTGAGTGAGTTTAGTTTTACGCCGCACTCAGCAATATTCCAGCTATATGGCGGCGGTCTGTAGATTAGCGAGTCTGGACCAGATAACCCAGTGATCAACAGCATGAGCATCGATCTGCACAATTGGGATACAATGACGTGTCAACCAAGTCAGTAAGCCTGACCACCGGATTCCGTTAGTCGCCTCTTACGACAAGCATGGGTTACTGAAGATCAATACTCTAACCCAGATCTTCATGGGTGATTACCAAGGAGGTAGAGAGGACGGTAACCAAGGGGCTGATGCCCTAGCACATAAAGACTGTGTTGGACTTCCAAACTCTCTCACACTTTCTCAACTAATCATTGTCTGTCTCACACTTTCTCAAATAATCATTGTCTGTTTGCAGGTGGAAACAAATCTCAAATCCTACATGGACAGCTTTGACATCGTTATCCAGGAGGATGAATCAATGGATGTAGTCAACGCAATTCTAAAGAAAATCCTCGGTCAATGACCACGTCGATGCATAGGCACTTTGGGTTTCAAAAGAAAATCAAACTAAAACAGTTTGGAAGATGTTTGACCTTGCAACTACCTCTGTGTTGTGATTACATATCTGGAGGATATCGTAGTATGGCTCTCTTCAACATTACTTGTACATATAATGATGTGTATGAAAGTATCAGATGAGGAATGTAAGGAGTTTTAGTATCATGTTTATCATGTTGATGTAAATACCAGTTGTTAAGCTGATGTCCTTAAATGTATGCTCAGGGCTTTCAGTATTACATATATCAAAGAATAGTAACGGATTATGAATATATTTGAGTAGGGTATATACTGTAAACGTACTTATTTTCGCCTGGTGCAATTTTCGCGGAATTGACAGTTTAGACTACATCACGCGGTCAATTATTCGCGCAATCAGTAATTGCCGGAACTGCCAGCTGTCTCTTTGGCCGCCACTAATAGCAGTGAAAACAAACAGAGTGGCTTAACCTGTCAGGTGGCATTTATTGCTTACTCACAGGAAATCCCTATCTGTACGATATACTAGTACACAGTAATCCGTTTACTCATGGAAGAGATGAAAAACACATCAGTCTTATGTTCCGAATTCTGACGATCTGACGAATTAACTTCTACTGTATATGAAGCTCTTTGTGATTTCAAACAAGCCGGGTTGTTGTGAATGAGATGATTGAGTGTTAAGTGACTATTCGCTTCATGATGTACTGGTAAATAAAATCTTAATGAATAAATAAAATACTGCTGTATTATTTCTTTCCGAGTCGTTTCATGGTAATCTGTTTTGTATCAAACCATCTGTCATGTGACCAATTTCCATGGCGGCCACAACACACATTGCTGTTTTCGCTAATTCGGATGATTGGATTTCGCTCATTATTTAATTATGTTTTGGGAAATCCATTACAGCCACAGTTAAGTATGATTCTTTATGCTACTATCAGTCGTCATTTTAAGATTCCCATAGATTTCTGTCTTCAAACTTGATGTGTTATGGTAACAACTCAGGGGCGAGCGTGGCTAGACTGAATGAATGACAGGTTTATTCGCGGTGTATAAATTTTCGCGCTAAAATGTTTTGCGCGAAAAGCACGAAAATAAAACCTGCGCGAAATATAATACGTTTACAGTATGTGTCCATGGGTCCAACATGGTCTGAGGTATTTTTTGTTTTCATCTCTCAAAGTTTTATCTGTAGTCATGGTAGAGATGTGAAATTTAAAAAAAATCATTTTAACAGAATATGTGACTATGCTTAGTTACAATCTACCCAGATCCAAGATAAACTGTAGATAGACTGAACATTTCCAGCATCATTTTCTGAGTTAGTCAACCTTATATTGGTACATTCATCCTGTTCGAAGTGTAAGAAATTGTTGCAAGAGGTTTAGATCTTAGAAACAGCCTTTGTCGTGTACATGATTCAGCACAAACTAAACACTGTTCATCTGTAACGGATCAACATGGAGATGCAGCGATATAGGAATGAGACTTTGTGTTTCATTGTACCAGGAATTTATTTGTTTCCATTTTGATGTAGCTTCATATATCTGAGCATATTAGTAGTAGTGGACTTCGTCTTCCAACATTGTCACTATTTCAGGATTAATGTCTCGGAACTTATGTCTGGGAACATGCTGTTAATCCCTGCAGTCATCGTGTGTGGGCATTGCTTGTGGTTAGGCTATCACGATGTACATACTTTCAGTGGTGATACTTAAAACATGTGCTTTGTATCATGATACAAATTTTATGTTTTTGTATGCAATCCTCCTGACAAGATTGTTGCAATCAACAGCTTTTTTGTTTATATGCATATTGGGAAAATTTGGGCTTTTAGACAGTATTATGCAAATAAATTAGCTTTTCGTTTCCTGACAAGTGTAAAGGTGATGCTAGCTGATTATTGCAAAACTTTGTGTGTATTACTTTTGGAAATTGATGCAGAACTAAGTCATGAATCAGTACATGGATAGGTGTATTATGTATCAAAGTGTCAGGTGTTAATTTGCAGTCAGGATGTATCTTGTTGTGGCATGTATGTTTACCCATGTTTACAGTTATTTCACGAACACTCACCTTACAATTGATCGGAATCTCAATTGCAAAGTTATAGTTTTGTTGAGTTATAATTTTCAGTAATAATTGTTATTAAACAGATGGTGGCTTTCAAAACACCAACTTAAATGTTGGCCTCATCCATTTAAGACTATATGTTGTAGTATTCATAAACTTCTTAAGTGGTGTTTGATCAAGATGAATTGTTACCATGGTAACTGTAAGTATTGTAGCTGTGGACTGTTTAATGAATGCTTGACTGACTTGCCACTAGAGTGTTCATGTGAGTGGTGGATGTACACGTACAGGGCCCACTTGCACAAAGCGATCTTAGCTCTACAATGACCGTAACTCCCATACTCTAACACATTCTAAAGATGGTCTTAGAGCTAAGAACACTTTGTGCAAGTGGCCTGAGGGCCACATCCCACAGAGCAATTGAAGCACTAGGGTATCGTAAGCCTGTGTTAAAGTATGTTAGTTACGATCACCTTAGTGATAAGATCACTTGTGCAAGTGGCCTGAGGGTCACATCACACAGAGCAGTTGAAGCACTAGGGTATCGTAAGCCTGTGTTAAAGTATATTAGTTACGATCACCTTAGTGATCAGATCACTTGTGCAAGTGGCCTGAGGGTCACATCACACAGAGCAATTGAAGCACTAGGGTATCATAAGCCTGTGTTGAAGTATGTTAGTTACGATCACATTAGTGATAAGATCATTTGTGCAAGTGGCCTGAGGGCCACTTCCGAAAAGCAATTGAAGCACTAGGGTATCGTAAGCCTGTGTTAAAGTATATTAGTTACGATCACCTTAGTGATAAGATCACTTGTGCAAGTGGCCTGAGGGTCACATCACACAGAGCAATTAAAGCACTAGGGTATCGTAAGCCTGTGTTAAGTATGTTAGTTACGATCACCTTAGTGATAAGATCACTTGTGCAAGTGGCCTGAGGGTCACATCACACAGAGCAATTGAAGCACTAGGGTATCGTAAGCCTGTGTTAAAGTATATTAGTTACGATCACCTTAGTGATAAGATCACTTTATGGAGCATGGCCCAGAGGAGCGCTTTACGCACAGGGCATCTTGCAGCTGTTGAACAAGAGAACATCTCAAATGTTTCATTCAGACATTGAAGTGTGTACTTAACCTATTCTTTGTTCTGACCAAATTGATCTGGTCTATTATTTTCAAAGTTTCATGTAAGTTTATTGAGATATTTTCCTCACATATGGTTACACCGTCACATCTGAACAATGTTATTTTACATTTTAGTTTATGTTTTCATTCCTGTATTGTTTTCCCATTGCTTTCATAATTAAACTTTATGAACTACTTTTGACATATTTTTAGACTGCTTTCATTTGGTAGAAGCAGGGGGTTGTTACACTTTGACATATTTACTGTGTTTTGTGTTTGATTCGTTTAACAACTAGCACAGAATATCTTTTTCAACAAAATAAGTGAAATGGTTGTGAAATATTTCCGTTTCCTGTGACATACATGTAAGAGTAATGCAACACAAATTATACAACTGTTCAAAGTGAACCTACCCTCAGTTACGGATATTGAACTGAGCATCCTAAATTATCCACTGTTTTTATCTGATCTATTATGTTGAATATTTAAGCCCCGTTCTCCATAGATTTGTTCAGGAAATGATATCACTGTCCTTTCTTATCTTCTCTTTCTGATCATATTCAAAGCAACGACCAATCAGAACATCTTTTCATGCAAGATCTACAGTCAAAATCTCTGTTGTGCAATGCTCTAGTCTATTTGTATGAATCCAGAGGCTGTCTTGAAAGAGTTTTTAGATGGAGAAGATATTTTTATTCGTATTAAAACAAGAAGGAAGTCCATAGACGTTTGAGAAGAAATTGTGAGGACAGGCAACGTGAGTACTTGTGATATCATTGCTGTGGTATCAACATTGGAATTTCATAGGATATCTGTTTTCACCATCACGTCACTGGAAGCAGACTCCAGACAAAGGTATTCACGTCACTGGAAGCTGACTCCAGACAAAGGTATTCAAATATCAAGGGTGTTTATCATAATGGGCTGGATCTGTAATATGGTACATGAATGAAGATGTGAATTATGGTGCTATGGTAGAAGGTTCAGTAGAAGCAGCCTAATGAGACAACCTTTGGCAGCATACTGTCGAGGTAAACGCACATATTACAGGTATCTCCTGGACCCACAGCACACTATCACTATTGACTCCAAGTCCTTAACATGTCATACAATAGTCTTTGTGTTGGGATCAGTTTTTACAGGTGGCCCCTGATTTGGAGACATAGATTGAAATATGGTATGGACAAATTGCACACTGCCCATTGGATTATGTTATTTCATTTTAAAAGTGAAGGTGTTTTAGCTATTTCCCGGAATTTTGTGATTACTGACATAGTGTATGGTTAGTATTGTGTGGTGGGATTACTATTTCTGTACTTTTGGTCTATCCCTGTCATTTCTGAATGTGTGGAAAATGATGTCATTTTTACAGTTGATCCATCTATTGGTCTTTTGAATTTTACCATGTTTGATGAGTGGCTGAAACAATGCAAGTACAACGTTAAGTTTTAACTCTCTCATTCATTGATACATTGAGTCATATACCGGGCTTATATATCTGTACACTGCTGTTCTGAAATAACTACAAATAACTTTGGATTTATTTAATCTGTTTTCTAGCTCATTCTTTCAGCTCAAATAAGCCTCTTGTAGCTATGTTACAATTTACTGATTAAATTTGGTTGCTTAAGCTGAAAACACATACCAGTGAATGGATTAATCTAATCTTTAGTATGGTTAGAAGAGTCTAATTTGAGCTGTAAGTGATGCTGGACAATTGTTTAAATTTACTCAAGTTTATATTTTCATTTATAAGTGAGAGTTGAGTTTTATGAACAATATGTACATATACATACGCTTATACTTACAAAGATATATCAAAATCCTTTATTGCAAATATAATATACCTCGTGTCTACCTGTGGCTTGTTGGATATTTCCGGTAAGTGTTGGTTGTGATGGAGAATAGTTACCCCGGCTAATTCGGGGTAGGGGTGGGGGAGGTATGTCGATGTTTGACTCCAAGTCTACCGCACTGCATTATGGGAAGTGTAATTTTGGATTCACATCTAGATGTGAAACTAAGGCCAGATCATCAATCTCATAACAATCAGATTGCCGTGGTCTGGAGTGGTATCCAGGCACTTAGATCTGGCCCCGATTTCTCGAAACAAACTTAAGTTTTTACTCAAATTTCAAACTGAGTTTGACAATTTGAAACAGCTGAATTTTTAACTCAACTGCACATTTTTTAACTAAAAAAAAGCCCAAACAACTTAAGTAATCTATCCACCAAACTTAAATTGTCTGCTAAGTTTGAGTTTAATATTGATTTCAGTTTATTCTGGGAAATGCATTTTCCTGCGTTTTCTCAAATTTGAGTAAAAACTCAGACTTAAGTTTGTTTCGAGAAATCGGGGCCAGATCTTAATAACATACTGTAGAATTTCAGTTCGTAAGTAAAAGCCATCAGCTGATTAACATCTCTTTGTTTCATGTTTTGGTGATTATGTGGAAATCTGACTGAGGGGCAATACTGTTAAGCGTTCAAGGTTATAATGCTTTATCACCCATATGGGAAGGAGGAGACAGGGGAGCATTTTTCCTGTAAGTCTAAAGGGAGGTTACACCTTTTGGTGAACGTTGATTGGCTGTTTAAGATAATAAAAGAACCAATCAACGTGTACAGATATGAGATTCCCCACATCGTGGGTTTCCTTTCAGAGAAAGCTGTTTTCATTTTAGACTTGGAAAAATTATATGGGTATCAAAAACAATAATCGTCACGGGAATGACAGATTATCTTTCCTTCTTTGTATTAATTATTTTTCCTCGCTAAGGCTTGAGAATTACGTAATTAATATAACTGTGGAACGATAATCTTTCATTCCCCGTCACTCGTTAGTTTTTGTTGAAGTAGTTAATCAGACAAACAGTAAAATCAGTTTGTTGAACCAGTTGGTTGAGTATTTAAACATTAACATGTTTAGAATTGTGGGGAATCAGTAGTCTCTCAACCAGACCAGAAGAACCCTTGACTAACAAGTGTATTGTATGTCAAATATTTCTCCCCTACTGAGATATATTTCTTATACGCTGGCTGTATGTGGTTGTTAACAAACTGTCCTACTGCTTGAACAGGAATGGCTGTATTTCCATTATGTTGTCCCTTTGTTATCCATTCCCCCTTATTCCAGCCTCGCACACCAGGTGTGAAGGAGAGAAACAGCATTTCTTTACGGGTGGATTAAAATATTCACACAAATGTCTTGTTTGTTAACTTAACTGGTATCATGTGACTAACTGAGATGTGGTTGTAAAAGACTATTAGTTGTATTAGTATGTCATCTAGACTGACATCTAGTCTCTGCAAATGAATCAGGCTCGCTGACTTGGTTGACACATGTCATCGTATCTCAATTGCGTTCATCAATGCTCATGCTGTTGATCACTGGATTGTCTGGTCCAGACTCGATTATTTACAGACCACCGACATATAGCTATAATATTGCTGAGTGCAGTCTAAACAACAACCAAACCAAACCGAACTAAATGGATGGTATTAAGGCTCAAAGACTGGGTTTATTGTGTCGCTTGATTCTGTAACTGCCTTGAGTGATGGTTTCAACAGCACCCTTAAAGTAGCACTTGACTGTCTGGTAATGTGACAGGTGGTGATATACAGTGAAACCTGGCAACACTGGCCCCTGTCTAATCTGGCACACTGTCAAAACAGGCATAAAAGTTTGGTCCCGCCATTTTACAAGGATATTATGATAATTAAAACATTGTCTAATCCGACACGTGTCTATTCCGTATTCCAGCCTGATTTTCCGGTCCTTCCGACCAGTCCTTGTTGTACCCATTAATGCCAGGCGGGGACCAACAAGTACCATAAATTAACGTCTTTTGGTATGACGCGGTCGGGGATCAAACCCGCGACCTTCCGCTCTCCGGGCGGACGCTCTAACCACTACACCACGGAGGTGATCACAAAAGATGAAAGGCATTATAGAGATAAAGAGATTGACAAGTGTAAATGGCAGCCATGTTAGAAAATGATCGTAACTGTGTAATCCGACACCTTGTCTAAACCGTCATTTTATTTCGGTCCAGTGGGGTGCCGGTTTAGACAGGTTTCACTGTAACCGGAAAAAATCATGAGCCCCAACTCACTCCCATGGCCTTACAAAGAAAATGCACAAAGATGAGAATGCACACAACTGTTTATTCAAATCCATTTTTGTCTTTTACAACGAACAGCATCCATGTGGCGGTACCAGTCACGCTGAACCAATCTGCACCATGATAGCTCAAGTACGTAGTTTAGTCATGATATTGAAAGGAGACTGACCAGTGTACTGAAGCGAGACAGGTATCGTTCCACATCATCTTTAATGTAGGGATAGTTTCAATTGTCATTTGATAAATACTGACATTCAATGCTTTTAAGTGGGCCGAAAGTAGCAAAACTTCTGTTCATGTACATCGGTCGTTTTGAAAATGAAACAGAATGTTCACTGGTGAAAGTGTAGGAATGTGAGTATAGCCATATCGATCTCCGTACAGCATTCCGTGTTATCAACGCGTCAGTTCTCAGTTATCTCTACCTCCACTAGTACTGTGCAGAGCTGCTTCCCTTGAATCAATTGCGGGATTCGTTGTTTGTCGGCTTGAGTATGAACCGAGTCTTATGACTGATCTAACATCACCGACAGCGTTCGTTTTCATCAGAGTGGTAAAAGTACCCTTCCACACGGAAAATATTGAAAGTGACTATCAAACACACTACATTAATTTAGCGATAACCTAACTTCGAACCTCGAGCAATGATCCAAAAGTACAGGTGAACTAATACTAATTACCAATTGCATCTTCAGAACAGGTTTATCATTTTCTGTCCTTAATTCTTATCGAGTTTCAAAACACATTTTTTACACTAAGAAAGGCGTTGCGTTTCACTGGATTATTTTATGCCAACAAATATGTTTCAGTAGACATAAAGCTACCATGATTCTCCACCCATCAGTATGAGTGAGTAGGTTTTACGCCACTGTCGACAGTATTATAGGAATAATTCGGCAGGGGTACACCAGATATTTCACCGATGTTGAGAATGGAATCAGGGGCTTGACGCGACGGGCGAACACTGCAACGACTGGGCAACCCGGCCCCAAAGCGACAGGGGAGGAACTCCATCAGTAAATAATCTCCACGAACCTTTGATATACCGCTACCAATGACGAGAACAAGATAGGTATTGTTTAACATTCTCGTAAAACCGAGGAAATCTTCTTTAATAGAATCTGTACGCTCGTTCACAACCAACGATATTGAAAGCCGACTGGAATATCTGATTGTATTCATTTTAGTATGGAAAATGTTGCCCGTAAGACAATTATATAGAGGACATTCAATAGGAAGAGGACCTTTATACCGTGGGAATGCATATCAATACTGATCGTTGTTATTATGGTTTGGATTGTTTGAAAGAGAAATCGTTAAAAGAAATAACTATAAAATGATTACCTTCGGATTTTCCCACCAAATTATAAGTAATTGTTCACTCCATGTGCTGAAAACAAATCTGAAGTGATTTCCCAAGATCTGGATCCTCCTATAGAGAAAACAGATAGTACATCTTGACGAGGTAGCGAAAAGTAATAATCCGTCTAAAAATGGTTGGTTCCCAAGATTCCAGGATGTTTCAATCAACAACTTGAAAGTGTGTAGCAGTTTTGAAATAAAATATTATATCCTAGTGATTATTTGCGAGCCTTATAGATTACTTCTTAAAATGGTATTGATGTTATTTAAAGCATAACATTTTATTTAACATTGCCATGAGCAGCTCCAGAGTGCATGAGAGCGTTTCACAGTATGACCTTTCGGGAAGTAGGGCTTTGATGTCCTCCCTGTCCAGATAACGCGGCTTGGTCATCAGAGCTAGAGCTCGCATAATGATGAACCATTTCCACTATCTAGACATATCAATACCTAGAAAGTACCATTTCCGTGTACACAGACATACATCACTTTCACTAACTGTGTCTTGTACCCATATATGACCCTTCCGTCCTACTTGGTCTATAAACATACACCGGCACTTTGGTAAAGTTACATTGGACTTGAAATATTGTTTCCTCTTAGTGTCTAAAGTCTGCTGATGCTCTTCCCCTAGAGTGCGTTTATGTCAATGTTATGTGTCAATATTGATCTGATATGGAAAAACGAGCATGGCAACGTTAGCAAATGTCGTTTAATGTCATGCCTCTGTGATCAAAGTCCGTGATGTATCCGGGTTGAGGCTTGCGTCATCGATCATTTCCGTGGACATCGATCCTTGAATGGTACAGAGGGGATTATCCGTGGTGACACATCAATAAAACTTAAGGCACATTGAGCCGAAAGCATATGTGTTGGGGTCGTATGGACAATAACCAACACAGCGGCCCAGGTAGTTGTAGTTTTTACACATCTGAAACGAAATATTATGAAGTAAATGGTATGCAAAACATGTTATAATGTTTATGTTGGTTTAAAGCTCCACTTAACATTCCTGGCAAGTAATAATCATGACGGAGCTGTAAATAATCGCCTCTGGATCAAACAAGTGGTTGATATTATGGACACCCTGCACCGGACGGTGACACAACTAAAGCCATCTAGCCTGTCAACCCGATCCATTTAGCCTCCTCTTAGATAAGCATGGGTTACTGGAGACATATTGTAACCTGCAGTTGCCACGAGGGGATTGCACTGAAGCTGAGTGAGATGTTTGGATAATCCCATTTTGACGCTTGTCAAAGACTTCCCTCCAATTCGGGTGAGCCGGGGTGGTGGAGTAGCCTAATGGTTAAAGCGTTCGCTCGTCACGCCGAAGAACCGGGTTCGATTCCCCACATGAGTACAATGTGTGAAGCCCATTTCAAGTGTCCCTCGCCGTCATATTGCTAAAAACAGCGTAAAACTAAACTCACTCACTCTGGTGAGTCATTCACCGTTTCGGTCAGTAGTTACATCACACGGGATCACTCACATCCGGGAAAAGCCCGTATGCAGAACATAAAGTGTAACCGCTTTGGTGAAACACAATAGTAAGGGCATTGCGCCTTGGTGAAAAAGATCATTATTTGAGAGAAACTTGAATTCCATGCAACGAGGAGTGAATGCCGGCATGATAAAATGACTCATTCTTGCACTGTCGCGCTTATAATTAGATTCGTTAACTGACGAGTTAGTTGACAAACCGTTTTTATTGTAACCTTGGTACAGAAGAATGTGTCACGCAACCTCACCGCTGGACTGGTCATCTTGACCCCTTGGGGAGAAACCAACATTGACGTTCACTATAAGGGACGTCCCTTAATTGTCCACAGGGAGGGTTGTTCTTTGAGTGGCATTATTAGAAGTTGGAGAGTCATATAGGGACAAGCTTTTAAGGATCAACAACTTCTTTGTTCAGGTGATGCCACGTTTCGATACAGATTATTGTATCGTTGCCAAGCATCTGTATCAAGAACCAGTATCGAAACGTCGCATCACCCAAATATAGAAGTTGATCCATTAGGATTGTCCTTATCACGCAGGGAGAGTGTTGGCTCTCTCTCGAGTCCCGATGGTATGTTATTGTGATTTGTAGATTTGGAGCATTATCGTTGGCATCAGTCAAGTGGTTGTCTGACCAAGAATCGATTATTTACTGCCAACGAAGAGTGTTGTCTGTTATGTTAAATATGATTCAACCACACACCCATTCTCTGATAGTAACAGGTGAAGTTCCGAGTTAGACTTTGACCCATGAAGATCTGGGTTAGAATTCAGCAGTGATCTGCAGCAACAGGGTATGAACACACCATGAACCAAACATGGACCTGACAATTCAGTGATCTACAGCAACAGGGTATGATAACACACCATGAACCAAACATGGACCTGACAATTCAGTGATCTACAGCAACAGGGTATGATAACACACCATGAACCAAACATGGACCTGACAATTCAGTGATCTACAGCAACAGGGTATGATAACACACCATGAACCAAACATGGACCTGACAATTCAGTGATCTACAGCAACAGGGTATGATAACACACCATGAACCAAACATGGACCTGACAATTCAGTGATCTACAGCAACAGGGTATGATAACACACCATGAACCAAACATGGACCTGACAATTCAGTGATCTACAGCAACAGGGTATGATAACACACCATGAACCAAACATGGACCTGACAATTCAGTGATCTACAGCAACAGGGTATGATAACACACCATGAACCAAACATGGACCTGACAATTCAGTGATCTACAGCAACAGGGTATGATAACACACCATGAACCAAACATGGACCTGACAATTCAGTGATCTACAGCAACAGGGTATGATAACACACCATGAACCAAACATGGACCTGACAATTCAGTGATCTACAGCAACAGGGTATGATAACACACCATGAACCAAACATGGACCTGACAATTCAGTGATCTACAGCAACAGGGTATGATAACACACCACCAACCAAGTCACTGAGGCAGACCACCTGATCCATTTGGTTTCCTCTGACAATCAGCACAGGTAGATGTGGCGCAATTCTAACCCACATGGGAAGTATATTTGAGTCTGAGTAGGGGTATTTTGTATAAATTACTTGTAACTTGGTATGCATAAATTAATTGTAGTAAAGATCCAGGTCTTCAGCAACTAATGATTGTCGTAAGAGGCGACTAACGGGATCGGGTGGTCAGGTTCGCTGACTTGGTTGACACATGTCATCGTATCCCAATTGCGTAGATCGATGCTCATGATGTTGATCACTGGATTGTCTGGTCTTGACTCGATTATTTACAGACCGCCGCCATATAGCTGGAATAATGCTGAGTGCGGCGTAAAACTAAACTCAACCAATCACTTCCGCGATAGTTAGAAAAGCCTGCTAATTGATAATCTTCGTTACTTTTTCTGAAATCAAACTGTTATGAAGATAGGGCTCTCTACAGCTGCCATCAACAATCCTGACTTTGAATCCGATAAGGCTTCATCTGAGCCTCACTCTCACCTCACAGTCAGCCTCGGTCTCGTCCCAACATCCGGCGGCACATTGGCTGTGACAACACCCCTGCTTTCCAGGTCCGAAACACCGGTACGGACACGAGGGGTCACAGGTCAAGGGCTCGACTGGAACAGGAGAAAAACGAGTTGCCTAGTATTATTTCATCGTGGCTCAAGTGTATTTGTATTGCTGAGATCTGATGCAACTGTCGTGAGGTTTTGTACCTGAGTCAACGTATGAGTAAGATCTATTTGTTCAGGTGGCTTCCGGGGCTGTTTTATTATGCAAACTGAACATCAAACGTTTTGAGTACTGGGGCGATGGGGTAGCCTAGTGGTTGAAGCGTTCGCTCGTCACCCCGAAGACCCAGGTTCGATTTTCCACATGGGTGCAATAAGTGAAGCCCATTTCTGGTGTCCCCGCAGTGATATTGCTGGAATATTGCTAAAAGTGGTGCAAAAAAACTGTACTCACTCACTTACTCACTCACTCACTCACTCTGCCTGTATTATTCTAGAAATGGGCTTCACACATTGTACCCATGTGGGGAATCGAACCCGGGTCTTCGTGATGAGCTGACGCTTTAACCATTAGGCTACCCCACCGCCCCCGGCCATGTTAAGATCTTCAGCACAAAACACTACTTGATTCAGTTACTTACCTTTCTGACAGAGTTGCTTCCCCCTCCCCCAGCATCGCCTGGTACCCTCCTGATCACAGTGACTGGAGCACGGCAAACCTGCACAGAGAGAGACACGCACACTCAGCTACACAATACAGACATGACATACCATTAAGAGATCGGCACAAGACCAAGTCGGTTGGGATTAACTTGACCAGTCGGTCTATTGAGTCTTCACGAGGCAGAATGCAGAAAACCGCGGCGGCAAAACCCGACACGACTTTACAAAAAAAAAAAGCAATATTGGGAATCGAACGCGGCTGTTTGGTGACAAGAAAACGCATGAACCGCCTGGCTACTACACCACTTCAGAAGGAGTTGATATGAAAACATGTTTAACACATCATCTTCAAAATGCCCATTCTAAATCTATAGCTCTGCTTGTAAGGTTTATCAAAGAAGTCTTCATGTTAGGTTGTTCATTACTGTAAATTCATCTGTATATATTTGATACTTATACTTTGAGAATGTATGTCACATATAGGTTATGAAATTAAAAGCACTTTGTATGTATATATCTTATGAAATCATATACTGTGACCTGTATACTGAACGAATTCCTCATATTTCATAGCTGTTGTAAACTATGGTTTAAACCGAAAAAAGGTTCCGATCTTATATGTTTGTTATGTAACACGGCACTCTACAACATTCACTCTATATGACGTCGGTCTGTATATTATCTGGACCAGACAATGCAGTGATGACTATTAATCTACACAAATGAGTCACGGAGACTGACCCCCTGATCTCGTAAGTCGTCTTTTACGACAAGCATGGGGTGCTTCAGAATAATGTTAAGCCGATTCTTTTATGGTGTTGCAGCGTGATGAGAAGTGTCCAGTTCTCTTTAGTCTTGTACCAAACAGAATGTGTCTGTTGAATGACCCATCGAAGTATATAGACTATGGATCTATATACATCATGAGTAGCAAAGAATGAGTCTACATTTTCTGAAATGACATGTTAGCAAAGAGATGGCACACGCTAAAGTTTTTATTTTAATTTCAATGTTTTTATTGCCAGTCCCTGTTGCAGGATTGAGGATCACCTCCAGGGTAAGGGTGACTCTCATTTGTAAGGTATGAAATCTTACTGGTAGACAATCTGACATTTTCTAAAAAAACACCAAGAAACAAAAAAGAAACTCATTCGCACTCACATTCATACTCATTCACACACTTTCTTAAAACCATCAATGTGTGGCTTTACCCCCTGACACCGACATTTATACACAAAGGATCTCGGATGACGCACACGGTTCAGCGTGCAGTTATTTCAGTGACATAAATGTTGCACTTGACACACTGAACTTACATTCCGGCTCACCGCGGCATGTAAATGGTCGAATATGGCTCAAGTAAACCAGTGAATGAGAGAATTAACAACACTAACGCTATCGGGACATAATGAAACAGACAAGTCTGACCGCCAGAACCAGTAGTCGGACCTTACGACAAGCAAGGGTTACTGCGGACCTAGGCCACACCAGAATCCTCATGAAAGTGTGTCTGGAATGGCGCAGGTTGCATACTTTACATACAGCAATGCGTTAGTGATAGTCACATTGCTTTTTGCAAATGGTCATAGGATCCCATGGTCGTCATAATGTAACATCATTGATACTTCTCTTACCAGAGCAGTAACTAAGTGTTTGAAAAAGGGATTACACGCCCATAAAGAAGTAAAATTGTTTATGGATAACAACTTCTTTTATTATATATGATGCGACGTTTCGGTATGGATTCTTATACCGTTGTCAAGCAAGAGTCAAGAGTGGGATTACACACCCCTAAGAACCCAGACAACAGTTCTTCAAACAATGCTGTTTATCATATAATTGAGGGTGTTATCGGTGCAATAGAGCAATCTGATAAACTTGGTATCCAAAGCGGATATATATATGCAAATTAGGCCAATACACGAACTACTTTTGTGTTGTTGAAAACTGCCCGATTTTGTTGTTCTTTTTAGACAAAAAGATCCTATTTTTAGCAAGAGTTATGTTTGCACTATATCAACGACTAGTCACAACCATATGCCGCCATCATGAACGGCCTTTCACATTGGTGTACCGCTAAGTATTCTTACGCTGCTCGATTCTCTTCATATAAATTCACGTACGATTTGTTTCTTTTTAAAAAATTGTTTAAGAATAACATTATATCATAAAGAGATTATCAACCTCGTGTGTTTTATTCCTAATATGTGATATTAATGATAGGGAAACACACGAGGTAAATAATGTCTATATCCTTACATCGTTTAGCCAGTGGTTGGTCTCCCTTGAGCATGGCCTTCCTTCCACCGCTGATGATGGCCTCCCAGAGGATGGTCTTGACGTAACACAGTCCAGGGTTGTTGGCAAACAGTACATCGCCCCTAGAGATCTCTGTGAATAAATAACATGGTTCTATATACTTCGCCAAGATGCCGAATTTCACATCTTTATCAAGCATGAAACGACAGAAATAGAAACTATTTTTCAACGCTACATAATGTATGAATAGAACAAGCCCAGATAAGTTATATCTATATTGAACTCTACTACTGAATACAAAGTGCTTCAAAGTTGCAAATATGGAACAATCCACAATATATGTATCAACTATGCACGTCGTCGAGGCACTTAGGAATCGCTAATAATTTATTGCTGTGTGTGTGTGTGTGTGTGTGTGTGTGTGTGTGTGTGTGTGTGTGTGTGTGTGTGTGTGTGTGTGTGTGTGTGTGTGTGTGTGTGTGTGTGTGTGTGTGTGTGTGTGTGTGTGTGTGTGAGAGATATGATGATTTTTATGGAGAAGCATGTACAGTGTGAATGACCCCCCTTACTCGCCAGCAAACAAAGTCAGGCATCTAAGCCATCTAAACCACTCCAGTGGAAGCAGCGATGTCTGAGTGGGTTAGATGACTGACTATGTGTTCTTGCGATTAAGTGTTCGGAGAGTGTGGTTCGAATTCCGGATAGGGTTTAACCTCACAAAAAGTACTAGAATCTGTACTTTACGGAGAAAGTGTAAACCCACATATAACATATGTTACATATGCACGTGTTTGCTCATAGGCATATGTAAATATTTCGTACTCTTTGTACATAAGTATAATGCCATTTCTCTAGTGTGTTTCATTCATGGTGTGTAAAGAAACATCCCCATCATGAGTTGGGTAGGAAAATACAATATGATGGAGATGTACTAATGGAATACATACACACTTAACTCTTTACCTCTCAATTTCGGCAGTTGGAGTTCTTGTAACCCTTTCCTAGATCCGTACGATCTGGAGGTCAAGGTCACGGCAAGTCCAAACTGTCTTCCGAAGAGTTCAAGTGTCTGGTTACCTCTGATGACTTCTAAACTGGTCAAGGGTATCTCTCGGACACGTGTTACCAGGCCAATGAGCACATAGCCGCTGACATAACGGATTGTGCTGAGAAAACTCAGGTCGTAGTTAATGTTCTTGTGACGCAGGTGTGTGATCTCGAGGTTCCCCTGCACGTATGTGCACCCGGTGTAACGTCTCTGCATATACCGGAAGTGACGTCGGAGAGAACCGGAATAGCTGAATCCCATATGGGTACCTGGGCAGACTGCAAACAGAAGAGGGAGTGTCGGTTGTGTAGATTAGGTAGATGATATAATTTGACTGTTTACGATTTCCAGATTGAAAATGAACATATATACTATTCACACTTTGCTAAGGATCAAATCATGGATTCAACAGAAAAATATTATTTGGGGTCAAATTTTGTTTAAATATTGTAAGCATGGATCCTAGGTTTCAGTTTGTCATTGCACCTTGTGGTTGATTGGGTGGTTTTTATGGTCACTCATGTATCAAGTGCATAAGGTTAGATTAAAGTGACTGTTTGCCTAAAGACGTGTTACTATATTATTATTTATCCAGTTTTAAATGGATACAGTTTCAACTTATATATCTACGTTTAAGTAAAGTTGTAATTATTTGTGATCCTTAGCAGAGTGTGAGTAGTATATGTTAATTTAACTTGTAAATGGTGCGCTGCAGATCGTCCTGCCTTGATGTATCCCTCCTGAAAACCAGAAACTTATCATCCTGGGTTCGAATCTCGGTTCTTCCAGACTATTTTCTAGATCATCAGCAATTACTCTTTAGTTTTTGTTTTGAACTGGTTAGTTTAATTAGTTGTGGGACATACATTTATATTTCCTTCATTATCAACAATGCTTATAGTGTCCGTAACATTGATTTTGCGAAAAGCGAATGAGTGAGAGAGTCTAGATTTACACCGCACTCAGCAATATTCCCGCTATATGGCGGCAATCTGTAAATAATCGAGTCTGAACCAGACTATCCAGTGATCAACATCATGAACATCGATCTACGCAATTAGAATACGATGACATGTGTCAATCAAGTCAGCGAGTCTGACCACCCGATCCTGTTAGTCGAATCTTACCACAATCATGGGTTACTGATGATCAACCGGACCTTACGGGTGATTTTGCGAAAACATCGCTTTCGATGTGAGGCTGTTAAGCAGCGGTTGACGCAATAACGTCAATACACGACAGAAGTTTGTGTATTATCAACCTGGAAAACTCGACCCAGACTAGTGTCATGTATCCGAGCTATAATCCTCTGATCTTGGGTTCATATCAATCTGTTCCATGCTCTGTTAAGTGTTAAATGTATTGTTAAATGTCTACTTTCACCATAAGGCATAGCGTTTTTTAAAATGATGCCCAAAATCAACGTTAAACCCAACTCCGTCAATCGTCGATGTCGTTTTCATTGCCTGTGTTTTTTAAATGGACCATGATCATTGGTACTAGTGTCTGATAACACGTTCGTGTTATCAATATCTCGGGAGCAGATGAGAACATATCTCGGTATTAAATGAGACAAGATGAGACACAACCGCAACCAGTTTGGTCTAGGGCGGTGGCTCATCCAAGGGCCATCTGATCAGTCGTTACATAGGGTTCACTCAGAGGCCTACATAAACGGATGACCCCCACAACATATAGTTGGTGTCATAGTTGGTTTTAAGTTCTCTCCAGCGTATCTTACAGAATGCCACAAATTCAAAATTGTTTGTGACCGGATGTGATGGATGGATGTTTGAATGAATGAATGAATGACGATGATCGATGAATGAATTAATGCAGGTGGATGGATGATGAAAGGATGGACTAATGAATAAACGAAGATGATCGATGAATGAATGGATGGAAGGGGAATGAATTAATGAACAATGATGGATCGATGAATGGAGGATGAATAAATGAACAATGATGGATTGATGAATGAATTAATGAATGGATGGAGAATGAATAAATGAACAAGGATGGATCGATGAATGAATGGATGGATGGGGAATGAACAATGATTGATCGATGAATGAATGAATGGAGGATGAACAATGATGGATCGATGAATGAATGAATGGATGGAGAATGAATAAATGAACAAGGATGGATCGATGAATGAATGAGCGGGTGGAGAATGAATAAATGAACAAAGATGGATCGATGAATGAATGGATGGAGAATGAATTAATGAACAATGATGGATCGATGAATGAATGAATGGAGGATGAATAAATGAACAATCATGGATCGATGAATGAATGAATGGATGGAGAATGAATAAATGAACAAGGATGGATCGATGAATGAATGAATGGATGGAGAATGAATAAATGAACAAGGATGGATCGATGAATGAATGGATGGAGAATGAATTAATGAACAATGATGGATCGATGAATGAATGAATGGAGGATGAATAAATGAACAATCATGGATCGATGAATGAATGAATGGATGGAGAATGAATTAATGAACAATAATGGCGCGATGAATGAATGAATGAATGGAGAATGAATAAATGAACAATGATGGATCGATGAATGAATGAATGAATAAATGAACAATGAATCGATGAATGAATGAGCGGGTGGAGAATGAATAAATGAACAAAGATGGATCGATGAATGAATGAATGGAGGATGAATAAATAAACAAGGATGGATCGATGAATGAATGAATGGATGGAGAATGAATAAATGAACAAGGATGGATCGATGAATGAATGGATGGAGAGTGAATTAATGAAGAATGATGGATCGATGAATGAATGAATGGATGGAGAATGAATTAATGAACAATGATGGATCGATGGATGAATGAATGGATGGAGAATGAATAAATGAACAAGGGTGGATCGATGAATGAATGGATGGAGAATGAATAAATGAACATTGATGGATCGATGAATGAATGAATGGAGGATGAATAAATGAACAATGATGGATCGATGAATGAATGGATGGAGAATGAATAAATGAACAATGATGGATCGATGAATGAATGAATGGAGGATGAATATATTAACGATAATGGTTCAATGGATGAATGAAGAATGAATAATAACGAATATAGATCGATAATAAAGGGATGAATGAATAAACGAGTTTTGATCGATGATGAAAGGATGAATGAAGAATGGACAGATAACGAAGATAGGTCGGTGAATGAATGAAGAATGAACAAATAAACGAAGATAACTGAATAAATAAATAAATACATAAACGAAGACGGATCATTAGATGAATGGATGAATAAAGATGTCGAATACAATAATTACATAATGTGATATAAGAAAGAATGAATGGATGGTAATGTTAATGAATGAAAGAATGGATGAATGAACAAACAAATGACCCTCTTTTATTTCCACCACACATTATACTGCCATGTAGCTACGTCAGTCCATTACGTTTCCGCCAGTAGTGTTAATGTAGGCGTATTGTATCAAGCCTTTCTTATGCTTTTCATGTTTAACTTCATGCTACTGTCAATTAAACTGTCCTTACGCAGGTAAAATCCATGATGTATTCATCTGAGTGTTTTTATCGAATTACACATGCCAAAGAAAGAATTTTGTGACATTTATCTCCTTCTCGCAGAGAATTATATTGATCAATTACCTGAAAACGTGTTGAGTTTCAACGTCACGTGTTCACATTGACAAACGTCATGACAATAAATCAATTGTTTCGTCACAAGTGACTTAGAAATCAACAACTTTAAGCCACTTTCCTTCCACGACGACTTAGTCAACGTGTCTTTTAAACAGAGGCGACATACAGTCTTAATCCATATATTCTATTTCGGTAGATATTTGTGGCTCTTATAGATTAGTACCCAACAGATATGATTATCTTGTCAACATTTTAAGAACGTCATAAGAGTGCGTTGAAGTAACTGAAATAGACATCCAGGAAGTTGACCGTTGTCAATACCGATTTTAAAGATGTCAAAAGAGAAAGTTACAAAGTTTATGAATACTATAAAGTTTCTGTTTAATGTTTTAAAGCGGGTAGCACTTGGTTACATTTGTTCGTTTCAGGAAATCGATGTGTGGAAGTATTTTGTCAAGCGCATCAAATGATCTGTCACTTCTTTCATGTGTATTTGATCATATAGAACGGACATCAGTAGGCGTTTATTGTGTGATTTGCAAAAAGTTTTCGTTATTTTTTGTCTGTTGTTTGTTAATGCTGACAAATCGGATTTCAGCATGATGCGTCACGGTTTTTTTTAATTAGTATAAACCCTTGCGGGGGTTCCGGAACAGAGAAGACAACAGAAAAGTATATACTGGTTGTAGGAAGAGTGCATATGGATTGTCTTTAAGGCTCGGAGATTTGTTCGAACCACGCGTACATGGAACGCTGCTCATGATATTGATGACTGGATTCCTAGGTCCCGACCGAAGCTGATTCGTTCTTTATTAATGAAAATATTTGTCGTTGTGAGATAAATGTGTCAATATAGTTATTTGTAGGTCATTATGCTACGATTGTCAATGAACACGATGTCTGTCGTTCTTAATGATTTCAGATGCAGTCTCTGGTGGTGACGAGAAAATATGAATAAATTGTGATGGGAATTTTTCGATCAATAATATGTTAGACCATATATATCTATTATTACGAGTGAGTGGTTATGCTCTGTCTTTAACGCCGTTATCTTGAATGAAGCAAAATACCAAGTAATGGAGAATCACACACACAAAAGAATAAACTGTCTATGTTAAGTTGATTAAAACAAATAAGAATATCATTTGAAATTCAATGTTGAGATATTGCTTGTCCATTCTAACCAAAGACCGCCTTCGTGGTGTAGTGGTTAGAGCGACCGCCCGGAAAGCGGAAGGCCGCGGGTTCGATCCCCGACCGCGTCATACCAAAAGTCGTTAAAATATGGTACTTGTTGGTCCCTGCCTGGCGCTCGGCATTAATGGGTACAACAAGGACTGGTCGGCTCGGAGTCAGTATAACATGTCTGAGTGGGGTATTCATGCTTCACTGCAGCATGGTATCTCAATGGGCTAGCACTATAAAACCAGCTTCAGTCTGGGCTAGTACAAGCAGCCGCACATACACATACACACGCATGCACGTCGTCATATGAGCGAAATATTCTCAAGCACGACGTTAAACCCAATTTCACATCACCTTTCACCTCATAACCAAAATGTCGTATTGGTATTTCAAATATTTCACTGTATACACTAATGACATGTACTTGTATAGTTATGTGTAAAGATGCGACGGGTATCGTCGACGTGATGGACGATGAGTTCTGAAGCTGATAACGATTACGATGATGACGACATTGCTATAATCATGATGAACAGATAAAGCATACTACAGGACATTCCAAAATCTATGTTTACCAGAGGCATGATGAAATGTTTAACTGAACGTTAACAAGTTCAGAAAACATGATGATAACGAGGAAGGTTGATTTAGTGAGTCAGGAAGCTTCATATTGAACATTATCACAGCAATATCGTAGCACATGAGCTAAATTTTGGAGGAAGCAGTGACATTAGATGTCTACAAATGTGTGTACTAACATTTAAAGCTTCAAAGTTAGGACATAGTTTCGAACGCTTTATCATAGAATCCTGTTGCGCCCAAGGGACGTAACTCTACACAACTAATAGCGTTGCCTTAGACAACGTTGTCTCCTGCACCCCAAGTCCATAATCCAAATAAGCCGCTTTGGGTACATAAATACTGTTTTCTCATCTTTAAATGATCGATATTTGACTGAATAATCATCGTTCAAATTTGCGACCAATTGCTTTTGCCTGAAGTTAAAGAACATTAAGACAGTTTACAATTATTTTAAACCAGTGTAAAATATAAAATGTTGCTTACCTTTCTCCAGGGTTAAATTGGGTATATCGATGTCTGGTTGAATGAAGACGCCGAGAGCAGTGCAAACACACCATGCACATAGTATAAGAACTTGAATCATCATATATATTAACTGTTCTCGAGCACTTGCCAAAATATGTAGAATAGAATATTTCTGACAAAAATATATTCACGCTGGCTTTTCCAAGCGTAGAAATCTATCCCAATTCTACAATAAATGTGTGTGTACTGTTGATGATTAAGAAGTGTTCGATCTGTTGTGCCCAGGCAAATCAATCAATGATCACAGGACCGCGAACTTCGAGCCTTGTATACTGTTCTCTGTTAGTTTCGATCGCTGTGCGCCGGTGAAGCGATTGCCTGGGACCGAGATGTGTGACGCCAACAAAGTTTAGCTGCTTTTAAATATCTACCAATGTGCTTATTAATTAATCAGTATTCATGACGCCTCAGACTTGTCACGTGGTCGTGACATCATTGACGTTTGTCATGCTTTGTTAGAATAGGTAACCGTGGCAACGAATTGCAAAAATTATGGTAGTTAGTGGTAAGGAATACCTTACACGGTAAACTGATAGCACATGATTGACAGGTATTCGCTGTCCTGATTGACAGGTTGTATATGCCATGATGCTGACGTTATCGCTCCATACTCGTGATATATTTCATGCGCTGTAGCCCAGTAGTTATACCGCGGTTATTAAATAAGAATAAAATGTGTAGACATTTTGCGTGGGGCAAGTTTTAAAGAGCATTTCAAAATTTGACATTGTTTTCGCTTGGTCTAGTGATTTATATAGTCAGAGAAACAATTTGTTTATCGTCATGCTGCTGTTGCTGCTGCTGCTGATCATCATCATCATCGTCGTCGTCGTCGTCGTCGTCATCGTCATCATCATCATCATCATCATCATCATCATCATTTTTATTATCATTTCCTTTTATCAAAATACACTCACATATTGAGGATCTGAAATAAGGAAATATGTTTCGTGAAGGAGTGCTTGTGATGACGAAAATTCTCTGCATGATGATGTTGTGTCGTCGTCACCACCACCACCATTATCATCATCGCCTTTTTTATTATCATTTCCTTTTATCAAAATACCCTCAAATATTCAGAATCTGAAATAAAGAAAGAAGTTTCGTGAAGGAATGCTTGTGATGACGAAAATTCTCTGCATGATGATGCAATGTCGTCGTCATCACCACCATCATCATCATCTTTATCACTATCATCATAAAAACAATCGTCTCTTAATGATTCATTTTGCGTGTACCAAACGTCCCCTGAATCACCTCTGACACCGCTCATTGATTTATCACAGGTCGATATGTTTGTACGTACATTCGCAGTAACATTGTATGTGGAAGTACATATAAATTACTTACATGGTTAGTTAATTAGAGGATGCGTATCTCCTAATTGGACAGCGTAGTTCCATGTAACAGAGTTAGACAATGTTCTTGAAGGACTACTTCTGACGGTACTTTAGCTGTGAGCTGAAGGTGAGGTGGGGTGAGGTGAAATTGGGTTTAACGTCGTGCTTGAGAATATTTCGCTCATATGACGACGTCCATGCGTGTGTATGTGTATGTGCGGCTGCTTGTACTAGTCCAGACTTAAGCTGGTTTTATAGTGCTAGCCCACTGAGATACCATGCCGCAGTGAAGCATGAATACCCCACTCAGACACATTATACTGACTCCGAGCCGACCAGTCCTTGTTGTACCCATTAATGCCGAGCGCCAGGCCGGGACCAACAAGTACCATATTTTAACGTCTTTTGGTATGACGCGGTCGGGGATCGAACCCGCGGCCTTCCGCTCTCCGTGAGCTGAAGGTGAACCATAGACAGAGACGCACTCGCTGTAATAAACTTACAACAGTATAATTGTAAATGAAATTATGTAAATAATTCAATACTTTTATGCGCTGGTATCACACCAGATTTAAATAAACTTTCTTTCTAAATGTTCAGATATCGTCAAATTTAAATTTCTTACTTTGAAAGTAGGGTCGGGTGAAGTTGTTTGGTTTGTTTAACGCAATATTCCAGCTACATGGTGGTGGTCTGTAAATAATCGAGTCTGGACCAGACAATCCAGTGATCAACAGCATGAGCATCGATCTATGTGTCATCCTACCCGATCCCGCGGGTGAAGTTGTTTCAACGGGCATTATTGAAGCCACACAAATGTGGCCTGTTAATAATAGGATCTCAACCAGGGGTTTCTGTCGATAACACACACGCAAATATGAACCCTACAACTGGTCATTTTTAATGTTTTACAACAGGCGGACAGTAGGTGGACTGATCGCCACTATATACACTATACACGGATATTCATGTCCATTTATGTAAACTGTGGGGCAAAGAAAAACGCAAAATACAATAAACAAAACATATGTTTCGATGGTGATGTATATATTTGGTACTGGTAACGCAGTCAGGTGTTTGATCTTAAGTGTGAGGTGTTTTAGGAACTGTTTTCAGATTTGTAATGTTTTGATAACGTTACTTATTGGTTTGGCAAATTACACAGTTGGTTCCAGTTTACAATAGGGTCAAAACTACTACATGTGAGTTTTGGGGAATGGCGAGGGTGGTACTTAAATTTGAAAAACGAAAAGAGTGAGTGAGTGAGTTTGGTTTTACGTCGTTTTAGCAATATTACTGCCAATGAAATTTCAACCTAAAGAATTAAAGATTGTGTCTAACTGATAGGTCTAACACTGGTTCCGTCTGCAGAAAGAAATTAAGTAGTGACGTAGTTAAGTCACCTGATACTTCGAGTCTTCCAGTCCTTGGGTGTGGATCAATGTCTTCCTTTAAGTATAATGAACTGTGATGTGATGTTATGTATATGTTACGTGCTATTATAGAATGCCAGGCAAGAGTGAGTGAGTGAGTTTTACGCCGCTTTTAGCAATATTCCAACAATATCACGGCGGGGGACACCAGAAATGGGCTTCACATGTGGGGAATCGAACCCGGGTCTTCGGCGTGACGAGCTAAATGGCTACAAAATAGAAACAAACAAGCAGAGGTTTTCATGCCGATGTGTGTTTTTTATTTGGGCAACTTAGATGTGTATTGGAGTGTTTTCAACATCGTCACGTTTTGATGACGTTACACCATTATACTATGTATTGCCAGGCAGATTCGATACACACAATATTTGTAAAATCCCCACATATATACCCAGGTGTTGTGTTTTTACTTTCGGCCTGAAAAATACCAAGTCCCTTTATCATGTTGCATGACAAATTCTATCGAAAATACATTAGTGAGAAAAATACAAACACACGAATTACGGAGAAGATGTCACTGTTTATTCATTTGTCACCATATTCCCTGTTGCTGACCTATGTCAGTTGTAACAAGGCACCGGTAATCACCTGTGGTCATCTGGCGGTCAAGTGTAACGGGAGAAGTTAGTTACCTCCTGTATACTGTAGCCTGTTGTTAGTATCACAGGTGATCACAGCCCGGAGCAGCTACTGTTTGTCTGTTAACATTAGATATACCGGGATCAGATTGGTGAAATAAGCCTGTGGAATATGACTTGGCAGTCTTTAACCTTTTGTTTGTTTGTTTATTTGTTTGTTAATGTAAACGGCAATATTCTAGCTATATGTCCACCACGTTGATCCAACTTAATCTAGACAAACCATATAAACATATCTTATTGGCTGGTTTGTTGTTTAACTTCGAGCAACATTTCAGCTATATGACGGCGGTCTGTAAATTATCGAGTGTGGACCAGACAACCCAGTGATCAACATCACGAGTAAGGTTGTACACTACAGAGGATAAGAAAGTGACAATGTACACTTGTAAATAGATTTGGCCCAAAAAATAATTTCTTTATCAAAACAGTCGTTGAAACGTAAGGTCTAAAACAGACAAACTTGTATTGAATACTTTTAGCCACTATCAAACATACTTTCATCAGCTGGCAATCACGCAGGCCACATCCTCATCCCTAAAATGGACCCGTGAAGATCAGGAAGTAGAACTGATCTTCAGTAACCCAGGCTTGTCGTAAGAGGCGACTAACGGGATCGGGTGGTCAGGCTTGCTGACGTGGTTGACGCATGTCATCTTATGCCAATTGCGCAAATAGATGCTCATGCTGTTGATCACCGGATTGTCTGGTCCAGACTCGATTATTTACAGACCGCCGCCATGTAGCTGGAATGTTGCTGAGTGCGACTTAAAACTAAACTCAATAACTCACTCAGTTAAATATAATATCATTGAATGAAGGTGAGCTTCTGTACCTGCTGTAGGCTTGGTTATGTTTAAGTCCCATGAGGACATGTCGGAGTAGATTGTGTCACCTTGTGCCCAGTCCGTATCGCGCAGTACCAGCTAAATGGGGATCGGATGTCTGATAGGCTGACTTTGGGTCACCATGACCAGACGGAATTATATCATATTTTATTTATATATATTTGTATAGCGCCAATATCCAGATCACCTGCTCAAAGGCGCTTTGTTTTTCCCTCGATCATTGGGTGTCAGTCTCAAACGGCACAATGTATTATCAATCTCAACTCCCTGGGGATCATACAACTCTTGCAGCCACTAGGCGCACCGAGTTAATGTGGTTGTGACAACACTGGATGAGTCTGCACGCAAAGTTGACTCCAAGGTTTTTACACCCGGTCACAGGTGGGCTCGATCCAGGCACCTCAAGCTCGATGGATCACTAGCCTGGCGCCTTAGACAGCTCGCCCACCACGCCATGGAATGAACACATGCTTAACTTTATCAACCACTCGGTTGACAACGGTACAAGAATCTGTATCGAAACGTCGCACTCACGAATAAAGAGAAGTTGTTATCCATAAAGTTTGTTCTATATTGCACTCGGTTGTTGACCAACCTCATGCCTCAGACTCCTGTCTGTGTTGACGAGTGGTGTTCCAATCAATTGAAATAATCGAAGATTGGTCGCAGTGACCAAACAACCAAGCAATCGATCTCATAATCGAACACATACGATTTTGGAGCTACTGTTTTAGTGTTTAAAACAGTTGACAATGGAACATATATCTTAGAAGTTGTCAGGGCCTGAAAACGTGTTTAATTCGTAGAATACTCACTTCACTTACTGAAACGTCATGACTGAATATTTCTTGAAGACAACGGGAACCACATGTTCATGATATATTAGTCATCACTTTAAAGTAGCAAGTTGCACCATGTTACATTGAATGTGAAATTTGCAAATGCTATTTGCGCAGTTTCCAAATAAAACAATAAACATCAGAGAACAACAAATGCTTTTCTATATATATACTTATATACTATATTCTTAATAACAACCAGAACAGGAAAATCTGAAAAATGACGCTAATTATTTTTCAATGATTGCTTGTTGGTAGTGAACTAATCATCAATTGTGAGATTTCAACCAAATTCCCAACACTAGTGGTGACCCGCACTGGTTTAAACATATTTTTATTCAAATTAAATTGAATAGGGATCGGTGAACAAGCTGTAAGCTTATATGAACACCTCTCCCTTACAAAAACAAATAATAATTAAATAGTTTGGCTGTTAGTCATGTATACGCTGTACATAGTACAAAAGAAGAGAGGTATGTCGACATCATAGGTTGAGAGTAAACAATCATTATCTTGAGAAAAGGGCGTCAAATCTGCCTGATTTTACGATATATAAATGAACAGATTCAAGAATCTGCATATTTACAGGTGCAGTTGCATGGACATTTCCGAATAATACTGAGTCTAATGTATATCCTTTTTGGTAAAAGTACATGTTATTTCGAGTTACAGTATATATTGGACAAGTATAGAAAAAGTGAAAACTATCCTCATTTGCTAGTCCACATGAGCATATCGGACTTTCTAAAATGTATCTTTCATATTTGTGAGCATTGAGGTCACCCGCACTGATAAAGTGCTTCTCGAATCAACAAGGACGTGAGTGATGTATTAACACGAAGACGTACAATAGTTCCTGACGGGTGACCAAAGGATGGCCTTGCATTGAACAGTCATCGGGTCGATGAGCGGTCTCTATCTGATCGTATGAAATCCTACCGTGTGTTGTTCTAGTGGTGGTTAATTCCAACTAAACCCGATATCGGCTTATACTTCCAGTAAGAGTTCAACACAAAACGTCACCCATCAGCAGGCGTTTTCTTAAACGCTCGACATAACATTCATGAACTATAGAGGCACCCGTCTGGAGCACCAGGAAGTTATTCAATTATGACATCTGTACAAGCTCTTGTGTGTCTCTGAATGTCAGTTTCTCACATACAAACAAAGTTGCGTGTTGTTAGATCTTGGCGATCTAATCAATACAAGAACCGTTCTCTCATTCAATTACACAACTGTGAAATATTCATAAGGATACCTCGTGACGTGGGTGACTCATCGCTGTCGTCATTGATCTCATCAGGGTATTTACATTCGTCATCGTATATCAATCCACATTAAACATATATTATTCATGTCACGGTGGGTGTTTTTCGTTTTGATGTTGTTTTTATAGTTGATGATTAGACTGATTAACCATGGCAAGTGCTCGTAGACTCTGCAATTATATGTGCGGAGTTACGCCCCTTGGCGAGTCAGGATCCGCTGGTCATGCGGTCGAATTCCAGATTTATGAAGAATAGCATCGTTGGTCTATGAAGAAACCCCTCTTCGTGGTTTTACCAAACTTATAAAAGTCAAACACCTGTGTGGGGTGGAGGGGTAGCCTTGTGGTTAAAGCGTTCGCTCGTAACGCCGAAGACTCGGGTTCGATTCCCCACATGCGTACAATATGTGAAGCCCATTTCTGGTGTCCCCTGTGATATTGCTGGAATATTTTTAAAAGCGACGTAAAAACTAACTCACTCAAACACCTGTGTCACACCAGACGCTGCGCCCACTCACAGCTGTCACTGATATAACTGACATTGGTACAGCGTTGTTGGCTACCCCGGTATGCATCTCCAATAGTGGGGTGGGGGAGCCTAGTGGTTAAAGCGTTCGCTCGTTCGATTCCCCACATGGGCATACTGTGTGAAGCCCATTTCTTTGAGTGAGTGAGTTTAGTTTTACGCCACAATATTCCAGCCATATATAAATAAATCGAGTCTGGACCAGACAATCCAGTGATCAACTGCATAAGCATCGATCTACACAATTGGGATACGATGACATATGTCAACATAGTCAGTGAGCCTGACCACCCGATCCCGATAGTCGCCTCCAACGACATGCATGGGTTACTGAAGATCAATTCTAACCCGGATCTTCACGGGTATTCCCATTTCTGGTGTCCCCCGCCGTGATATTGCCGGAATATTGCTAAAAGCGGAGTAAAGCAATACTCATTCACTGATCTCCAATAATGGCGTCTTGTACAAGCAAAGAGCGTGTGTGAGTATGGCTTTACGCCACGTGTCGTTACATCTATAACACATTTTGCGTGACGAGCCGATAGCTTAAAGGTTAATAAACCTGTAGAATCCACATCATCATAATCTGAATTTCAAACTTATGTTAATATGATATCATTCCTGTTGTACTTGATTCCCATTCTGTATTCAGAAGCAAAGAATCTACATATTTTTACTTGTGTCTTATATAAGTTTATTACATTTGTGTAAGATCTGCGATATTCTCTTCGGCTTGTGAACCGCGAAGATCCAGGTTAAAATTGATCTTCAGTAACCCATGTTTATCGTAAGAAGCGACTAACGGGATCGGGTGGTCAGGCTCGCTGACTTGGTTAACACATGTCATCGTATCCCAACAGAGTAGATCGATGCTCATGCTTGTTTGATCACTGGATTGTCTGGTCTTGACTCGATTATTTACAGACCGACGCCAAATAGCTGGAATATTTCTTAGTGCGGCTTAAATCTACACTCACTCTTCGGCTTGTCATTGTATACGTCATATCTAGTCTAGCTTTTAGTTGTCATCACTAAGTTTGATTAATATTACGTGGTGGTACTTTGCGTCACAGGTATTCCTTCCACAGATTTGCTCAATATGCAAATAAAGTAACTGCATTTTCTAAATATACTTTTCCACACCTCACGCACTTGGCAAACAGAAATCAATAAACGACGTAATTATTTCCAGAAAATATGAAGTATTTTATATAAAAAAGGTCAACATCACGACGATAAAGAACGCCCCCAAAAAGGCGTGGGAGTGTGATAAGAACTTGGGCAATATTTGATCATGTTTCATTTGTAATCTGTGAATAGCATGCAAGTGATAAATCTAGAAATTAACAAGATATTTTCGTGCCAGTTCCTAATTTGTTTCATCTCTGCGTTTTGATCATGCATGGCTTCCCTGTGTGTAATGCATTTCAAAGGACGGTGACATCACTTGTCATTTTCATCGTCACACGCCAATCCAAGATAGATCTTAATTGACGGGCGCCCTGCGTCGATTTCATCACCAGGTGTTTGGTAGCTTTGTACAAATTATCTTCTTCTTGATGAGTAACCTAACCTTGATCTTTTGTCAATAAAATCGGAGAACACGATTCCAGAGCGTAAGAACACAAACCTGTAATTTCGGTTGCTTTAGATCACTGATCCCCCGTCAATTAAACTAACATCAAATTTGCATAGCGTTACAATCTCGTGTCAACTTTCGAAGCAGTAATGTGGTGACATTTAGGTGATTGATAGTAATCGATCATTCGTCATTGATGACATCACTGAAATTGATTCTTTGATCTGTTTCAACCTTGAATGACGCAGCTTAATTTCATGAAGGGTTAGGTATCAATAAAATGAACATGCATATTTCATTATTGTTTTTTTCAAAGCATGAGTAATAATGTCGTTGTTGCTTGTTATCGATTCGTCACTCGTGTTGTGTATATTTACGTAACATGCGGTTAGAGATTCAATAGAAAGCTCCCGAGGAAGAAAAATCAATGTTTATTGAGTCAAAAGTAATCTTATAAATTACAGAACAACAATGAGGTGCATTGAGTTCGTACATATGGAAAGATATTTGGACAAGTGAAGGCTTCATATATAACATGTATCAGGTCCCTGTTTAAACAAGCAACCCATAATTCATAGTCTGTCTCATAGTCCCTGAATCCCATTACTGCTACTGCCTAGCCCTCCCGGCAATGCTGAAGACCTAAATGAAGCAAGTCTAGGTTACTCTGAATCCCTGGGGCTCCTTTTCATTTTAAATTGGTTTACTTGTTCACCTCACTCAATGGCTACCCTGCACATCTAGTTTCCAGAATCATCAACAAGACCCTCAAAACATTCAAACCTAAACCCAAAGCTGCCCCATCACCCATCAGGATCACCATTCCCTACCTAGGCTCTGTCAGTCACCAGATCTCCCGACTAGTAAAGAAGAAGGCTAATATTGATGACACCTTCTCCAGCAACAAGACCATCAAAACCATCCTGCACGCCAATGGCAGAGGCACCAGCAGCTCAACACCCAACCCCAGAGGATGTGTATATCAAATTCTCTGCACGTGTGGTGACACATACATCCGTGAAACCCTCAGGCCCCTTAACACCAGACTCAATGAACATCAAGCACCCGTCAACAAACTCGACCTCAAATCTGCTGTTTCTGAACACATCAACAAGAACCAGGACCACGCCATCGTATGGGAAGCCACCAAAGCCCTGTCTGTCAACAACAACAACTGGCGGCAAAGAAAATTGCAAGAGGCCATAGACATCAGAAGAAGCCAACCAGCAATCAATCGTGACCAGGGAGCATATATACCTAGCGCTTGGGACTTATTAATTTAATTTACCATCACTGCTGGTCTCTTTGTCCTTGTATTTATTACTATTAGGCCTGGCTTCCATTTGTTTTCTTACCACCCTGTTATATGCCACTATTGTTACCTCATCAACTAAGCCTGGATTAACAATCCCTGGCTTCCTTTGTCCATCCACCCAGTTAGTGCTAATTATAACCCCCCTGGCTTCTATTTGTCTTCCTTATCAATCATGCCTGGATTAACAATCCCTGGCTTCCACTTGTCCATCCACCAATTAACAACTGGCTTCCTTTGTTATACTGTTGTTGTTTCAACATGTACATATATAGCTGTTTGTTCCTAATTGTTTCATTCACCTGATGAAGGAGTAAGAACATGCTTCGAAACATCGTGACCCTTCATAATAAAGAAGTTGTCATCCATAAAACTCTTGTCTTTAATATAGATTCAGGGACTAAGCGTAAGTCGACACAATACCCAATGGCATAGCGTAATATAGACAGCTTATAGGATCGCATTGTAAAGAATTTCTAACCTTCCCCAAAACCAGTCTTGTGAACACAAATCAGAAAATACTTATCCCCAGTGATGTTTTCAATGCATTTTTACTACAAAAATAAAATACAAAGATCATCAGAACAAAACATTCGAAACCTTTTCATAAACTAGTCTACTACTCTTTTCATAAACTATACCCAAGTTTTAATCGAATGATCTTCACATGTTAAACATATAACGGTATCAGTAACAAAGCGGTCTTTAACGAATTCGTTTGATTTGAATTATGAAAGATGAAAACGAAAATGCGATTTCTATTCCAGTAGTGCCTCAACTCCGGGGAAATTAATCACCAATTGTTTGATACTTGTGTGAAAAACAGCTAACAAAACCTGACAAAAAATATAATAAACAGAGTTCGTGTCTGAACATTCGGTTTATTATAACTGCACGAGAGACATTGATCATCAAAGGGACCGTGTCTCTAATTATAATGTATCATTCATATCTTAGGGGGCGTTGATTCTAATTTATGAATATAAATATGACAACAAATACATTGAATTGTCTCGTGTTTCAAAAGAAAAAAACGCCCATAAAGTGTTTATTATTCACACTGTGCACGAATACAACATCAAAACAAACAAAATGCAAAATACAGACGAGTAAACAATATTTGCATAGATACTTGTGGGTTGAAGACAGGATTGAATGATGTTCAATATATGCAATCAATATTACATCTGTCAACATATGTTCATCATGAATCTTTTATTTCACTTTTGTGTTGTAAAAAATACCAGAATATTAGTTCTCCAGGAGCAATGCAAATAATGTGTGATCGATAACTAATGTTTGATAATCATAACAGGTAGAGGTTCGGCCAGACATCCAATCACACCAGCGGACAGGGTAGGCGGAGAAGCGCCATTTCAAACCGAAACACGAGTCTCATTAACCTATTCAGACAATGACCTACTTTTCAGCCGGTCCGAATTTTCTCGTGTGAAAGTGAAAAGAGACACCACAAACAACTATGGTTACAAAGAATTCCAATTCCTTGTTTCATAAGAAAATGGTATTTACAAGTTAATTTTAATTTGAAACTTTAATAACTTCGTATTTCTATATTTAAGGCGAGGTTGAGGCAGCATGAGGTTTGATGAGGTCGTAAAATGATTCACAATTCATCTGTCTCACTGGTTACACCGGTTATGTGTTCTTTGCGCTTATTCGGTGTAGTTTTGTAACGCACAATGTGATTGATATAATACCAAGTCCGTACCAGACCGCCAAACTTTTCTAGCGGCAGAGCCTCGTTTTGAGATTTCCACGATTTCCAGATTTCCGTTTGTCAGAGCCCGCTGTACGACAGAGCACGCTGCACGACGTGTTTGCAAGGATTAAACGGAGCGTAGTGTTGCAATATACAAGTGCTTAGATGTATCAAATAAATACTGATAAGTATGTATGTATCCAGCTGAATGAATTGGTCTCAAAATTGTGGACTGGTTATTGTACTAAGGTGCGCAACAGGACGGAACCCAGTCAGCAGGAAACGAGACTCTTGTGTAATCAATGTTTTGACTTGTCCCTCAAGGTATAGTGCAATTTAGGTAATTAAGAAAATCTTTACAAATCATTACGCGAGTAATCATATTTGCCCATATAAATGAGAGAATAGGACTTTCTTCTGTTCAAAAATGTATGTTTGGACTCATAAAAGCATTAGACGCACAGGTAAAGGTAAAATGTAATAACAGCAGATTATAAGTACGTCTTTGACCAAAGCTGATCTTCTGCCTATACTAGATGTAGATAAAGACAGTGCCGATGTAGGATAAACACATCTTCCGTCATGGACATTGATTCTCTCTTGAAGTTCGAAAAATCAACCAATTTTCACTTAACATTTGTCAATGTGGGAACGTCCAGTAGGAGCCATTTAAACATGTCTTACAATTTTCAAACCAATATTTCACAGCTTTCCGCGACTCAAAAAATTGTCATTAGTGTAGAAGGGGTCCTTATCCCGCCGCCTTCTTTGATTGAAGTCGTTAAAAGGCCATTTTGTTTGCCTGCAAATTCAAATCTTGTGTTATATATTACTGACACGTCAATAAATACCGTAATAACACAATGACCCTCAGTGCCATTCCTTCACAGCGTTAGACTAGGACCAGGAAATCTGGCACCAGGTATTGGAGATTCATTCTTATTTAAAGGTACATATCGAAGTTTATTCCCCAAACGCTCAAACTCCAAACGATTAGCGATTATATTTAAGCGTGATGGTTGTTTAACAAGATAAAAAGGTGTAGTTGTGATAATACTGGCGTCAAAAACTAATCATATTATGACGTCAATTGACGTCTATCACTTGTTGCTTTAGTTGTTTGGGTATTTCTTAGACGCTGGTCCATATGTCATCACTATACTTGCAGTGGCATGTTGATTTCATTTTGTGTCATGATATTCCTGACACTTGAGAATTCCCTGCTATCAACAACTGTTGATTTCAACATGTCAAACTGTTGACATCCTGCCCTCAGAAGGGAATACACGCCTGTTTGCGGGGGTAGCTCCTGTCGGGGCAGTGGGAGGTACAGTGGTCGTCATAGTAGTAGTCTTTACATGCCTGGAACACAGAAATATAACAATAATAATAATAATAATAATAATAATAATAATAGTGTATTATAGTGTCATGTGTTATAAGTGATGGGACAGCATAGTACAGCATATACAATGCAAACACCAGGCCTCGAGAGGCCGAAATGACACCTTAAAAAAGAATATCAGCAATATTTAAAAAGCGTTTAAAAAATATGAAAAGATTGTTGACATATATACACACTTAGCATACATACCTACACACCCACGTACATACGTACACACGTACATACGTACGCGCACAGGCACAGGCAGGCAGGCACGCACGCACGCACGCACGCACACACACATACACACTCATACTTAAATGCATACGTACGTACGTACATACATACATACATACATACATACATACATATCATGTTATGGGTTACATACATACATACATACATACATACATACATACATACATACATACATACATACATACATACATACATACATACATACATACATACATACATACATACATACATACATACATACATACATACATACATACATACATACATACATACATACATATATATCATGTTATGGGTGCTTGATTGTCATTACAGCCTAAACGGCTCTCGTTATTGTGGCTGTCCCGTCTAAGGCTGTCCCGTCCCATAAGTGTACCGGGAACTCTAGACTAACATCTAGTCTCTGAAACGAAAGTATACCATACGCGGATCCAGAGGAGGGTGCAGGGGTGCGCACCCCCACCCCCCCTTTTGTCCTGAATGTTTATTAAATGACCATTAAAACTCGGGTGAAAATGAAGTGTGCACCCCCTTTTCTCAATGTGGTGCACCCCCCCCTAAAAAGAACGTCTTGGCACGTACTCTTGCACACACACACCCTCTCCCCGTTTTGTTCTGAAAGTTTATTAAATGACCATTGACTCTCGTGAAAATGGGAGAAAATGAACTGTGCACCCCCTCTTTCCTACTAAGCTGTATCCGCCCCTGTATACTGAGGGAAACAAATTAGGGAACGCCACTTCATGGCAGTGTTCCTTTATTTATTCTCAGATTTTCCCCCAACAGCGCTATTCAAAGCTGGTGATGAAAACTGGAAAATATTAAAGGAACGCTTGAATTTTCCTGTGTTCCTTTATTTGTTTCTCTCAGTATATTTTACAGAAAAAAAGTTATTTTAATTATCCTAATAAAATATAATAAACCCTAGAGACTTTCTTCATTTTCGGAAATCACGATGAAACAACTAGAAGAATAGAGATTCTGTAGGCCACCCTTTCTTCCATGCCATCACACATGGCAGTGTTATGGCATGGGAAACGGACAAGTAGGTCTGGGTCGAGTCAGGCTTCTCGTGGAGTGGGGGCGGTGGGGTAGCCTAGTGGTTAAAGCGTTGGCTCGTTACGCCGAAGACCCGGGTTCGAATCCCCACATGGGTACAATGTGTGAAGCCCATTTCTAGTGTCCCCCGCCGTGATGTTGCTGGAGTATTGCTAAAAGCGGCGTAAAACCATACTCACTCACTCACTCTTGTGGAGTGGTGGAACAGAACCTGAAACTGCGGTAATCAACACTTGCCACATATTCTCGACCATATCGTCTATATAGGGTATATGTATGTGATGAAGGTCCGTGTGACAAGACCACAAGAGTCTATTCTTATGGGTTCGAACCCTAAATTTGTCCTGATCATGCTTTTAGGTTCGTCACTTGCACCACTTAGCTACCACATCATACAGACACACCGTGATATAATTGAAGCACTACTGAAATCGGCGTTAAAACCAAACTCACACATTCTAGCACGGACACCCGTTGTAACAAGCAAACGACGAGGCTCACAGAGTTATGCCCCTTGGTTCCCGGGCTGTCAAATCAAATCCCTTCTCTAACAGTAACCATCCACCATTTGGGGAGATTTCATCTTCTTTAAGCTGACACGTTGTAATATGACTAACATCTTCGATATAAATTTGATCTGACACCCATTATAAATTTAAGTCTCGCTTACCAGACAGTCACGTTCCGTGGGTCCGGTGCAGCCAACAGCACAGGTGGGGTGACAACACTGGCCAGCGTCAGGACCGTAGCACCGGTAGGGGCAGGTCTCATCACACTTCCCTGAGTTTACTGTGGAGACAATGAGACGTTTTTAACAATCAATGATCCAATGCTTGCATTCGTTTCAGGCGAAAAAAAGTAAATGTTTAAAAATTAACGCTTTGCGCCTATATTTTCCAAACATTCGTTCAATATCACAGTGGGATGATTATTTATGGCTTTAAAACTGTCTCTGTGTTCACAGCTTAGACTGACGCTTAGTCCTTGATTATATTATATTTTTGATAGTAACAAATAAGCCAAATCTAATTGAAAAGGAGCCCCAGTGAGTTGGGAGATTCTGAACCTGGGGAAATCTAGACGGCTAGGCAGTATATAAGGGCTGAGAGTCAGACTATTTACAACTCCAACATCCCCTGGATCTCGTTTTTAACATAAAAATGTACATTTTATCAAACATGTTCTGTTTAGATCAGATTTTCTTCAAAATTTGAGTAACCTGTGAAGATTCGGGTTAGAATTGGTATTTCTACCATGACATTTAAGTATGTTCGTTTTTGATTGGCTGTTACTAGAAGTTAAAATTTTCAAGAAGTAAAAATTTAGTGTCAAAAATAAAATTTTTAAAACGCGATTATAGTTGGTTGAACGCTGCTAAATGTTTCATTTTAGCAGCGTTCAACCAACTATAATCACTTCCAAAATGTAAACACAATAGGATTATCTCCTAATTAGCCATCCCTGTATGAATCGACTAGTAGGGATTGAGATCAACGCGACAAAAACACGTCGGAATGTTCTTTGTAAAAGAAATGACAAAAATATATTATAAATGCAAGTCACTACAGTGTCCTGTGCATGAATTCGTACCGACAGTAAATTTTAAAATATATACATATGTAAATCTCTAAGAGGTCTTCAGGGATCACTTGAGTTAATAAGGATGATGCTTCCTCATACAGAGGAAAGGGTGATGTGTCAACGTTATTCATATCATACACATCACCACCTAACTTGCCACGGCCCCTCGATATATAGAACTGTTTTAGTGAAGTGAAATAAACGTGTCTCACCCTCCTGACAGATGTCGTATGACCAGCACCTCCGGACGCCGTCCACGTCGCACTTGTCCGAGCAGTTGTCACCTGTAAAAGACAGGCCCATCAATTTATACCAGTGTACGTAGTTTGGATGAGACAGTATTTTGTGAAGAGACTGGCACCAAACATTCAAGCAGGCTGCTATTCTGTCCCAGGACCGTATACTTGCTTTCTGTAGAAACGTCATTTTACGCTGCAGCAATATCACACATGTTATAGAAACATTTATTCACATTTATTGCATCTGATTTAGGTTGATTGGTTTGTTGTTTTACGCCGCACTCATCAGTGTTCCAGCTATATGACAGCGTTCTGTAAATAATCGAGTCTAGACCAGACAATTCAGTGATCAACCGCATGAGCATCGATCTACGCAACTGGGAACCGATTACATGTGTCAACCCAGTCAGCGAGCCTGACCACCTGATCAGTCGTCTCTTAGGACAAGTATGGGTTTACTGAAGACCAATTCTAACCCGGATTTTCACGGGTTCTGATTTAGATTTAGGTACAAAGCAATGTAGAGGTAGGGTCGAGAATACATAGGTCAAGTATCCAGTCTACCATGCTTGCCTGTATGCTTATAGCATGCTCAGTCACAACTGATGACATGTGGTTTCTGAACCGATGGGTATCTGCGACTGTGTGAATTTAGTTTTACACCACTCCGAAAACTATGAAATGGACGGACATTTACCACTGATTGATGTCTTAGACCGTCAGCTCTTTGGTGAAAATCATGAGTATTGGCGTGGTTCTGACAAACATATATCGCGAATAAATATGTTCAACCCCACAATAATAATTTTCCTGCATGCCAATCGTAGGCAGCTCTGCACAGCTGATACTCACACCTGGTTTTACAATGCGAAAAGCAATCATTATTTAGCTATTATGTGCTTATAACACACTTATTAACCGTAAAATAACGATTACGCAATGCCACGACTTGATGAAAATCAACGTCTCCGTGCAGTGGGTATGATACAAACAGGCATGACGGAAAACAAAGTTGCCATACATCTTAATGTTGGCTGAAACAATATCTTATCTTTAGATACGTTATCTACAGAAGGGCATCCCTAATATAATGAGTAGCTACGGACCGGTCGTCCACATGGGACGTCACGTCACGCCGCGTAACGCCACGCCACGCCACGCCACGCCACGCCACGCCACGCCACACCACGCCACCCAGGTCAACAAGACAACCATTTCGGTTTTCTACGTAATCGATGCCAAACTGCCCACACTAACAGCTCGCATAATTCCTGGTTTGAGAATTAGTGGCTGAACCGAGCGGTTGATGGAGCGCAGCATCTGACGTCCAGCTATACGCCAAATGTTGTTTCCATGTCAACGTCAATAACGCCTAGCTTTATGTGGACAACATCTGAGGTTCATATACTAGGTTTCATCTCGTCAGCTCGGATGGTTGTGCAAGGGTCTACCGGCATCCAGGGTCCTGATCCACAAAACGTTCGCACCGTTACGATCATACCTATATAGTTTATTACAGGCTCACGAATATCGTACCGTTACGATCATACCTATATAGTTTATTACAGGCTTACGAATATCGTAGTGCTACGAGCAATCATACCTATATAGTTTATTACAGGCTCACGAATATCGTAGTGCTACGAGCAATCATACCTATATAGTTTATTACAGACTTACGAATATCGTAGTGCTACGAGAGCAATCATACCTATATAGTTTATTACAGGCTCACGAATATCGTAGTGCTACGAGCAATCATACCTATATAGTTTATTACAGACTTACGAATATCGTAGTGCTACGAGCAATCATACCTATATAGTTTATTACAGACTTACGAATATCGTAGTGCTACGAGCAATCATACCTATATAGTTTATTACAGACTTACGAATATCGTAGTGCTACGAGCAATCATACCTATAAAGTTTATTACAGGCTTACGAATATCGTAGTGCTACGAGCAATCATACCTATATAGTTTATTACAGACTCACGAATATCGTAGTGCTACGAGCAATCATACCTATATAGTTTATTACAGGCTCACGAATATCGTAGTGCTACGAGCAATCATACCTATATAGTTTATTACAGACTTACGAATATCGTAGTGCTACGAGCAATCATACCTATATAGTTTATTACAGACTTACGAATATCGTTTGTTTTACGAGCTTTCAGCAATATTCCATATAGTTTATTACAGGGGACACCAGAAATGGGCTTCACACATTGTGCCCATGTGGGGATATAGTTTATTACAGGGCTTGACGAATATCGCTTTAACCATTAGGCAACCCCACCGCCCCTAGTTTATTACAGACTTACGAATATCGTAGTGTTACGAGCAATCATACCTATATAGTTTATTACAGACTTACGAATATCGTAGTGCTACGAGCAATCATACCTATATAGTTTATTCAAGGCTTACGAATATCGTAGTGCTACGAGCAATCATACCTATATAGTTTATTACAGGCTCACGAATATCGTAGTGCTACGAGCAATCGTACCTATATAGTTTATTACAGGCTTACGAATATCGTAGTGCTACGAGCAATCATACCTATATAGTTTATTACAGACTTACGAATATCGTAGTGCTACGAGCAATCATACCTATATAGTTTATTACAGGCTTACGAATATCGTAGTGCTACGAGCAATCGTACCTATATAGTTTATTACAGGCTTACGAATATCGTAGTGCTACGAGCAATCATACCTATATAGTTTATTACAGGCTTACGAATATCGTAGTGCTACGAGCAATCATACCTATATAGTTTATTACAGGCTTACGAATACCGTACCGTTACGAGCAATCAAACCTATATAGTTTATTACAGGCTTACGAATATCGTAGTGCTACGAAAGCTTTGTGTATAGGACCCCAGGTACGATAGCGTTCCGCGTCGCCGTCAGTTTAGGAGTGGAAGTGTAAAATCATTTTGTGCAACTACAGAGACGTAATACCACGTTGCTTCAGGATACCTATAGCGGAGTGTTATTACGTTGGCTCACGAATATCGTAGTGCTACTCGAAACATCTTTGGTTTGTATAGGACTCAGCCTTTTTCCAGGTATATGATAGCGTTCCAAACGTCGCCTTCAGTTTAGACAGTGGAAGCAACCTGTAATGGTATGGGGTGGAAGGAATCACAATCCATAGGCTTACGAATATCGTAGTGTACAATTTGGCAAGTTACGATAGCGTTCCGGGCGCAATGGAGGGGAACATACAATCATTCGAATGGAGGACTCATTTCATTTTGTGCAACTACAGGGACGTAACACCACGTTGCTGCAGGATACCGTCGCGGAAGTGTTGCTCGCGTTGCAACTTCTAAAGCAGCAAAACATTTCTAGATATCAAACGTAAGGACTCGAGACATCCGGTTAGGTTTGTTTGTGTGTTGTGCACTCAGCCTTTTTCCAGCTATATGACGGTGGTCTGTCTGGACCAAACAATCCTGTGATGGATCCCTTGAGCATCAATCTACTCAACTGGGACAAGTGAGCAAGCAACCTCTTACGACAAGCATGGGTTGCATGCTGAAGATCAGTTCCACCCCGGATCTGGTAACGCCATGCAGTCGGAAATCTTTGGGTGACATTTTGAACAACAGCCCCAAAGCTGTTCTAAGTAATCTGGTGTCAAACAGTTAGATATAAGCACTGTAAAGAAACGAAAATGACCGTCGTCTCGCATCTATGACGTCACAGCCCGATTATATCGTCCGAAACTCGGATTACAATATGCGCTGGCTATCGGATTTGGGCAGTTGTTCGTTACTTTTTTAAACACAATGAAAGCACATATGTGTGTGTGTGTGTGTGTGTGTGTGTGTGTGTGTGTGTGTGTGTGTGTGTGTACTGTGTTTGATCTTTTATAACATATAAAAAGTTGTGATTCAATATATTTCCTTTAAATGCCCCGCCGCTGCCTTTCCACTATCAACGCAAATGGAGGTCACACCCGATACTGACATTGTTTGTTACACCAGCCCTCTTTCAGGGGGTGTCGCTGGGTCTTCTGACACCATCCATGTGTTTTATCCGTACATGTTTTATCATTAACATTAATCAGACGGATGACCATATATACTGAAAGCCATTAGAAACGCATCACCCATTCTGATGATATAAGTTTTACTGACGTGAATGGTTCGAACCCAAACTGTTGTATGAATCAACTAACCATGTCCCCTGAAAAGCATGCAAAGTGAGAGCAGCATGCATGCAGGTGCGGTCACGTGACACATGATGATCACATAACCACGAATTGTCATGTAGAGCATGGACAGATGACCAAACTGATCCGAAATTCAAGCAGGGTTAAAGTTTGACAATTCTCCTGTTAGAATCACATGGTTTTTGGTCTTTAATTCCATTGCGGGATCAGTGTGTTTGACAGGACCCCCTTACATGTCTTTCGAGGCCGTGTTACCGCCCAAACGTACACGCAGGACGTTTTAAGGCCTATCGTTGTCCCTCACATGGTGACCCATCGACGTGTGCACACTCTGCAACAAGATAACGCCAGACCCCATATCGCAAGGCATACCATGGACTTCTTGCGACAGAACAACATCAATGCCATGCAATGGCCATCGCTGTCTCCTGATTTGTCACCCATCGAGCATGTCTGGGATGAGATGGGGAGGAGACAATATGGCGCCACCTCTCAACTTGCAGCAGCTGGAAGCGTCTCTCCGCAGGATATGGCAACAGATCCCTCAGGATTTCTTCAGGAGGGTAATCTTTTCTCTCAGGAGGAGGTGTGTGGCTGTTATTGATGCTGATGGTGGACACACGCGATACTGACGCTGTCTTCCTTCTTGTTGTTTACCTGTGTGAACTTTTGATTTGACCCCGTCTCTGTTTAACCCACGTTGCCTTGGTCAATAAATGCAGTGCAACTTCATACCGCATTTCATTCTCTTCTTCAATGGTCACTTATCACATGGTTCTCTAAAAACTTCTTGGATATATGCCTAAACGCACCTAAGACATATGCTAATCTATCAGTGATGCGTTTCTAATGGCTTTCAGTATATTATATTGTTGTTTCCAATAACATATACCATTTGCCATTTAATATTCAGCACACTACCTTCTCTCTAGCAGTGTTCCTCTTCTCCTTAGCGGCTTTTTCAAGATGGCGGCACTTCCGGTTCAGGAATCGAAGTGCCGCCATGTTTAAAAATACGCTTGGGAGACAAAATATACTACTCTGTCTGCTAGTATATATTTCTAATATGAGATTTAGGTGTTCTTTGTCATTGATGTGTGAGTCACCCCCAATATCCACGACGTTTTCAATGTTTATTATGATTGTTTGTGTCCAATTGTTGGCTTTCAATACTTCAGAAATATTGGCTACAGAAACCTATCACCGGATTGACTGTTTCCAGTCTGGCTGTTGGAGCATCATTATTGAATACCAGTAGAAGTTCCCTGACTAAGCAATGAATCACACCATGAGGTTAGATCTTCTGTAACCAATAGCCCACACTACCGTATTTATGCCACGAATGCTATAAACCTATATCTGAACATAGACATTCACTTGGTTGAATCCATTAACAGTAAATTGTGGCACGGAGCCTGTGTAATCCCCTATGTCACGACAACAATGAAGCAAATTAAATACAACCAGAACGCCTCTTCAGGACCCCTCGATATAAGCATCACCGTCCCACATCACAGCACACCACGATTGTCTTAACTCTCTAATTCACGACTTACGGCAATCGTAACAGTAAGATCTCCTATCGTCACCAATTCCAAAGGGAGATAACTTCACTTGGCGCGTCATCTCGTATATTTCTGGGTCATGACAACCTACTTCGAAAATGTTTCTAAGTTTAACCATATAAGTGTTAAGGTGACTTTCGGCGAAACTCGTATAGATAATATTCATGAGCGTTGATAGCTCGCTTTGAGACTTAATGATCTCTGTGCAAATCAGATATTCTTCAATGTTTGTTCGATATAACATGGCGGCCGCACCACGCACACAGCCTGGTCGATCTATCGGTAGATGTTGATTGGTCGTTGTGATAAAATTAACACTGTTACCAAAACCGAAACTTTTACGACTGTATACGAGCAGTGAGAATTGGGCAATTATGTCTTTCTATCTCGAAATCATTGCTATTTGATATATTACCGGAGGGTACGCGATTGTGATTTATTTTAATTTCAGTTCTATTTCTGGCCCTGTTGGAAGTGCCAGACAGGAAATGAGTGCTTGCGATTAAGAATACGAACGATGTCAGTTCAGCAAGAACATGCTTATAACGAAGTCTCACCGACGGATATGAGTTCGTTATATCAGTAGTTCACACTATTGTGGATCGGGCGGTCAGGACCAGTTATTTGGCTGATTGCATGACGTCGTTCCCTGTCACAATGCTCATATTATCAATCCCTGGTTTCTGACTGTTTCAGACTCGATGGGAGGCGGTGGTGTAGCCTAGTGGTTAAAGCGTTCGCTCGTCGAGACAAAGACCCGGGTTCGATTTCCTGGTGTCCGCAGCTGGAATATTGCTAAAAGCGGCGTAAAACCATACTCTCATTCACTCACTCACTCACTCAAACTCGATAACCAGCCGCAATGTTGCTGACGTTTGGGTGTCTACCATTACAGGCTTACTCGACGTTACTCGTTACTCGACCCATGGGGGCAGTGGGGCTAGTGGTTATAGCATTTGCTGGTCACGCCGAAGACCCGGGTTCGATTCCTCACATGGGCACAGTGTGTGAAGCCCATTTGTTGCTCCCCAGATATTGCTGGAATATTGCTAAAAGCAGCGTAAAACCATACTCACTCACTCTGATTGTCGTCAACAGCGGATATGAAAGGTTATTGGTTGCGATGGTCATGCAATAAGTCTGTCTCACAGTCCCTGAACCACATTAATTTCCCTACTGCCAAGCCCTCTCTGCAGTGCTAAAGCCCTAAATAAAGCAAGTCTAGATTTCCTCAGGTTCTGAATCTCTGGTCTCCCTGGGGCTCCTTTTCAATTTAAATGGGCTTGTTTGTTACTATCAAAATTATATATATTCAGAGACTAAGCCTAGTCTAGTCATGCAATATGCCCGGGTTTGAATCCTCATAGCTGACGACGGCAGCGAAGAGTTGGTGTAAGACATGCACTCGTGATGAAACTTTGTGACTGCTTTTAGCTGATTTGTTGCAAATAATGGCCTAACTTTGAAGAATGGGATGAACATTGGGATACGATCAGGCTTTAACAGTGACTTACATGTTTGGGAAGAGGCAAGCTCCTCGAAGTTGATGGAGTTGTTTCTGCCGGCAGTGATGGTGTCCCAGTCGATGGTGTCGACGTAGCAGAGCGCGGGGTTCTGGGAAAACAATACTTTCCCAACAGTCACCTCTGTCAACACAGGAATCGTCAGAATGGACATCCAGAGATTATGATATGGAAACTGAGCACAGGTCATATTTCTATAGACCCTCACTTGAATTACTGGTCATATATCGTAACATCCCAAATAGGTCACTTATTTCAGTATATCTAAGTGTGGTGCATGTCATACATCTAAACATCCTAGCATGGAGTACAAGTGATGTGTCTAAACATCCTAACGTGACGTGTAAGTGACGTAAAACACATTACACGGAGTAGAAGTCCTATATCTAAACATCCCAACGTGACGTGTAAGTGACGTAAAACACATTACACGGAGTAGAAGTCCTATATCTAAACATCCCAACGTGACGTGTAAGTGACGTAAAACACATTACACGGAGTAGAAGTCATATATCTAAACATCCCAACGTGAAGTACAGGTCATACATCTAAACATCGAGACATCAAGTACAGATACTATATCTAAACATCCAAACCTGGAGCAAAGGTCAAATATCCAAACGTGGAGAACAGGTCATTTATCTTAACATCATAATAAGGAGCACGGGTATGTCTAATATTCTAACGTGATGTTTAAACATGTTTAATATGTAAAACCCATGTTTCGAAATATCACTCCGTGAGTATAACTTCCAGCTTAATTCGAACGTCAGTCTTTAAAGGCAACTACAAACCAACACAGACACACATCCTAACCAGTCCAACTACAAACCTTTCAGTGACGGCATATGCAGCTCCCTGAGACCAACGTTGACGTCGGGGAATCGTGACGTCAGAGCCACGATGAGACTGTACTCGACACCTCTAACGCGGTATGTATTGTTGCCCCTGACAACCTCTAGAGACGTCAAGGGAATCCTCTCGACCTCCGTCACCAAGCCGATCAGAACATACCCACTGACGTAACGAATCTTGGACAGGAAACTGAGGTCATAATCTATTTTGGGATCGTCCAGATTGGTGATTTCCAAGTTACCATGGACATACGTGCAATCCTGGTACCGGTTCTTCAGATTCTGGTAATGTAGATCCAGGGTTCCCGAGTAGCCAAAGCCAACCTCGGTACCATGACAACCTGTACGAAAAAGGTAATAGTTATTGATGGAAAGGCATGTATGAGTCAACTCAATGTAATTCAGATTTGGGGAATATAATTAGAATGCTTAAGACAAGACAAAAAGGGTGGTGGTTGTGGTCCTGTGCATAGAGCTCAGGTCACAAATCAGTTGAAATTAAACAACTTTGGGCACGAAGAGTCCTTGGATGGATGACCGTGTTTGGCAGCTTGACTCCTGCGAGTTTCCAGGACTTCATTCCTGCCCCACAACGAAGCACATGTGATACATGTGGTCTCGCCTTAGGCAAGTGAGTTTTTACAAAATTGCCTCTGTTCGCCCAGCAGAAAATGGGTACCCGGTAGGACAAGTCATGTGAGTATTAACCTTCTGGCGCAGCTTGGGATATCCAGGGTAATAATGTGATGTTATTTGATTGTTAGTGCTATGAGCATTCACCTATTGGGTGGACTTTAGTGTATTATTAAGATTAAGATGAAAAATGTAGCAGAGAAGGTTCGGGTGATCCTGGCAGAGTCAGGCTGGTAAGGCTCATCATCAGCTCAGGGCCCATGTCCCCTCTACACGCAGCCCAGACAGCGAATGGGACTTCTCCCAGGAAACGCTGCCTAGTCGAACTCACCAAGAACTTTGCGGAGAATATAAAGGCTTCCCAACACTGCAGCCTTCTGCAGTACCCTGAGTGTCAGAAGGGTTGTGCTCCCGGTGGAGAACCCGGGCACTCTCCTGATCTGCGCCAAGAGATCAGGAGGTACCAAACCAAGGGCACCAAGAATACATTTCAAAGGCGAGGTCTGTTTATTTAGCATGCTTTTCCGGAATCTTGCCAATAACATTGCTGTCAAAAAAGGACAGAAAATTTGATAATATAAATAAATTATTATTATTATTTACTGATTTATTTTTAGTCTCTCTCCTAGAACTTCGTACCATTTCTGATTCTGATCCTCCTACTTGTAAAAGTGATAACAGTACCCACTCATAGGATGTTGACAGCGGTGCTATCCTCAAACATGGAAAATATAAACATGCATTTCTTCAATTTGAAAGATGATTATAAACATTTGCATAAGGGTGGTCATAATTAGTCCATACCTACATCACTACAAATAGAAAGGGATAGACACCTCGCCCTTTAGACTCCCTTCCCACTTGCTGCAGGTTATAGACATCTACGACAACAATGCCAAATGTGGATGGCTTATTTGGGCTAGAGGCTTTTGGCAAATATATTGTCCTTAAAAAATCGCACATAAGATAAATTTCACTACGCCCGAGAGTTTTTTTGAAATGGGTTCTTTCAGATGGCATTTCAGCAAACCATTTCGGAAACACTAAAAGAAATGAATTGGTGTTACATATTACTCTATGTAGATGAAACCACATTCTTTCCTAAAACCTTTGCGGAAACTTGGAGTCACATAAAGACAGTGTCCCATGATATCAAAGAAGAATGGCAAACTGACAACCCAGAAAATGTAAGTTCCAACAAAACACGTTATCTACTTAGACATAGAAGATTATATCTTGAGCAAAAATGACACAAACGTAGATCCATTAATCCTTTATATAACCTTTGGGTCGGTGGGGTAGTAGTGAAAACGTTCGCTCGTCACGGCGAAGACCGGGTTTGATTCCCCACATGGGTACAATGTGTGAAGCCCATTTCTGATGTTCCTCGCTGGAATATTGCTAAAAGCGGCATAAAACTAAAGTCACTCATTTATATAACCCTCACCAACAAGATGCAATCCCTCACACATACCCTCACATATACCCTGACCAAAAAAAAAATCCTTCAGCTTTACTACAAGTGCATCTCAAACTGACGTAAGGTACATCTTGGACAACTTGACCTTCATGCCTGAGAATGTATGCCATGCTATGGTGGTCACTCTCACTATAATTGGGGACCCGTGAAGATCCGGGGTAGAATAGATCTTCAGCAACCCATGCGTGCCACAAAAGGCGACTATGCTTGTCGTAAGAGGCGACTAACGGGATCGGGTGGTCAGGCTCGCTGACTTGGTTGACACATGTCAACGGATCCCAATTGCGCAGATCGATGCTCATGATGTTGATCACTGGATTGTCTGGTCCAGACTCGATTATTTACAGACCTCCACCATATAGCTGGAATATTGTAAAACGGAGGCGTAAAACTAAACTCACTCACTCACTCGCTATAATTGAGGAATAACAGCCTTGGCGTGTCTGGCAGCCTTAGACGTTATTAGTGTAACTCGCACACACTGGATCATTTACCGTATGTACAGGCCATATAGCCCTCCCTTGGCTTAAACACACGTTACTCTGATCTCCTTTGTCTTTGATACCTAACGCTGCAAATGTTTGATGATTAACACTTGGTAGAAAAGCAGCGTAAGTCTCCTGCCCTAAGTCCAATCATTGACGACATTAAAACTGGTAAAGTTCTTTCTCCCTTTACAGCAGTTCATAAAAGGGTCTAACAGTCCTTGCTAAAGAGTATGACATTCATGGCAGTATGCTGCACCTTTTCTATCATGCAAAGCAGAGAGGACAGAAAACCAATGGATCTCTCACTTTAACACAGCTGGTTGTCCTTATTTAAAGTCACAAAGAGCCTCTCTTTGCCCACCATGGTTCCAAAGTCGGCGGTTGATGCCACATGCTGAACAGTGCGTAGCAAGTATTAATAGTAATAGTAACAGTCCCTTATATGGCGCTCATATCCAGGCACATTGCCTACTCACGGCGCTACGTACACTACTATCCCCGGTCATAGGACACTATCGAACTTTCCAATACTTTTTCAACTCCCTGGGGTTCATACAGCCATGCTGCCTGTTAGGCGCAATGAACTAAATACTCACATTGCCAGCACATCCTCACGGGTACCCATTTTACAGCTGGGTGAACTGAGACAATGTGGATCTAAGTTTCTTGTCCAAGGATACTACGCAAATTTGCCTACCTCGAGACCCGAACCTAGGGATCGGTGCCTCCACCGGGGATCGAACCCGAGCCTTCAGCGTGATAGGCAGACGCCTTACCACTGCACTATTGCGCTCTTTGTTACTGGCCAGGTTTGTTCTAGGATATTGAAAATTATAGCAAATCTTGTGGCGACTACCAATGCTCCAAATGAAGGACAAATACCGAACCAGAGCTTGTGGCGCACTTGGCTATAGGACACCTTCTCTTGTATCCATGTTGACATCCTACGGTCGGTGCCTGAGACTAAGGAAGGTTACAGTTATGTTCTCCTTGCAGTTGATTCCTTATCACGCTGGACTGAAGGTTTCCTAATGTGGACCCAAGAAGCATCTGGAAAAACATTCTGATCAGTGGGGTCTGTTCACATTTTTGTGCTCCCAACACACTTCGTACTCACGAAGGTTGGCAGTTAACTTCCAAACTGATAAATCAAAGTTGTGCTGCCATGAATGTGAACTCTTTGTATAGCAAAGATTACTACACTATGCCTTATTACCTCCGAGCTACCGGGTGCGTGAAAGGGGACACAATCTAATAAAACAAGCTTTCTGAACCTATGCTGACCCTGATATATTCAAATCGACTCATTCAATGCGCAATGTGACCTGCCGATCTACAGGGTATTCACAGCACAAACTTCTGAATGGGAAAAATACGAATCTCCCAAATGATACAACCTTGTTGCCATAATTTTCTATCAGCAAAGACGCACAGGTTCATCTCAAAGAACTCCTGTAAACTCTCTACCAAAAGACATGTCTGCTGTTAACGACAACAGTGTGAAACTGTAAGATGTCAGGGCCGAGGAACCATATGTTCCTGATTGTGAACAGGTTCTAACTACTGTCAAAACTGACCTTTTAGGAGCAATGTGGACTGGCCTAAAGAGTTTACGCATAATACTGTCAAAGTCGCGTAACTAAATCAACATCCGGTTGGTAAACTTCCCCACACATTTCGGTCGATTGCAGGATGTGCAAGTGTACCTTCAATGGGCCACCACATCTTTTTTCTATATCTATGCATGTTTTTCAATCAATTTGCTCAAGTTAGTTGATGCACTGTGCGAGATAACACCCGATTTATTACAATATACATTTTGATTAAGGTTCAGACGTTCTTGTTTGGGGCGCTACCATTTTGTTTGAAGCAAATGCAAGTTATATGGCAGGATGGATCTGACTGGCAAATTGGAGAAGACGCCATGCATAATTGCCAAATACATTGTATCCTACATGCTCTCTGAAGATTAATCAGTTAACTAATGTTATTTATCATTATCGTAATTCCTCATTTCAAACATTGTATACTTTGTAGAATGAATCTTTGCGAATGCATACTCTAATATAACATGAACTGCATTTATTCCAAATATTAGAATATCATTACCATTATCAATATTATCATTTTATGCATTATCATATATAAATTCATGTACTCTGTATGATATATTTGAAACTTGCTGGAATAAATCATAGGAACAACTCTCTAAGTTGTCTGTTATCCAGACCCTGAAACATATAATTATATCCAAGAAAGCCATGCAAGTCTAGAATATGTGGCAAGTCTAGATAGCCAAAGTTTCATCTGAAAATGAAGAAAGTCTCTGGGCTCATTTTCATGATATTTTATGTTTATAATTTAGGATCTGTTTATATGTGTGTGTGTGTGTGTGTGTGTGTGTGTTTGTTTTGTGTGTGTTTGTTTGTTTGTGTGTTTGTTTGTGTGTGTGTGTGTGTGTGTGTGTGTGTGTGTGTGTGTGTGTGTGTGTGTGTGTGTGTGTGTGTGTGTGTGTGTGTGTGTGTGTGTGTGTGAAATATGTCTTTAACACTGTTTCCCTTATAAGGCGCCGCCCGGAGAGCGGAAGGTCGCGGGTTCGATCCCCGGCCGCGTCATACCAGAAGACGTTAAAATATGGTACTTGTTTTTCCCTGCCTGGCGCTCGGTATCAATGAGTACAAAAAGGACCGGTCGGCACGGAATCAGTATAATGTGTCTGAGTGGGGTATTCATGTTTAACTGCGACATGGTATCTCAGTGAGCTAGCACTATAAAACCAGCTTAAGTATGGGCTAGTACAAGCAGCCACACATACGCACGCATGCACCTAGTCATATGAGCGAAATATTCTTAAGTGCGACGTTAAATCCAATTTTACCTCCCCTCACCTCCCTTATATAGCGAAGTACTTTTAGTGGATTATGTAAGTAAGAACAATCTGTCCCTTGTTCCAGTATACGGATATAATTACTAAAACACCCCTAGATTCGTCGTTCAGAACAGCCAGGGATCAAGGCTATCCTGAGAGGGCCATATCCTCAACAGCTATTGTATTACAACTGTCGCCTTATTGCTGTTTCCACAGCTTCTACGTCCCCGTATGGGATAAGCGTGGGTCAGAGTTCAAGCCAATTAGAGACTAAGGAATGTGAGTTATCGAAACAAAAAGAGAGGGGTCATGGTCTATCATCTCGAGTTACCCCCCTTGAGGGAAGGTGACATGGGGTCGCCGAATCCTGTAATAAAGCACACCAATGAAAGTGTTGCGTGACACACGATGTTACATTTACAGGCTTGTAATAGCACTGCTGGTATAACTTGTAGTTTGGAGCACAGAATTTTTGAATAAACAGTATCTGTTGTATTTTAAGCCATTCTTGTGTCTTACCCACCGATCTGTACACATGGTCACATATATTGTCAATTATTTACGACATTTAAATATACACATACACTCGCTGGGAAAGGTTACTGTACAACAGCGCACATCGCCATCATGGGGAATAATAGGTAGAAACTGAACAATGTACTGATATCCATGAACCATGAATGGAACAGTGCCAACACATGTCCTCTGTAAACGTCGTTTGAAGCGACGAAACGTTTCCATGGTCACAAGAACGCTCTGCTAAAAGCAGAGTCGGTTGAATAATTCGGGCTGTAATGTTGAAACTGATGTAGGTCAGTTGTCGGTTCCCAAAGCAGTGTCCGGTTTAACCATTACAAGCAGTGACAAACGTTTGTACAGCGATACCTCCAAACGCCATAACGCAGTCACGACGTAATGGACCTAACGTTAAACAACACACACGTCAGCGTAACGTTCAGGCCGTCATTGATAGACACGCTGACGGTCATCATTGCTGTCAGTATATAATCTGTGAACAGCACTGACCTCTAGACCTATAACCCAGGATGTTTTTTTGTCCATATCAGGCGTTTTTTTCCATGTGACGTACGTGACGTACCGCGGGACGTCGTAGGCGGAAGTTACACTCTCGTAATGAACGCCCCATAGCCCTTGCACTAATGGGACAGAGATGACACCAACTGTTAGAGAGTCTTACAGAGTTTGAGACCGACAGGTGTCCAGCCGACGTGACGTTGCTCGTGGACGTCCAGAACAAGTCACTTGTGGTACCGAATGAGTACTATGGTGTTATGAACACAAACAGGCCTGGCGAATACGTCTTGTGCAATATACATTCCATTACATTTTCAGATGATCAGGTGATTATTATGCATCATTCTAAAAAGTCCACGGCCGTATTATTTTAATGTGATTTTTTTCATTGTGCACGGGAATTATCTTCCACAAGTAGAAGAATATCATAGCGTCATATATGTGAATATTTACGGAAGTTGTTTAACATGAAACAGGCTATAGCTCCAGATCGCACTGGCTGTTCCGGTGACTGGTTACACCCCTCCTCCCCAGGGGGGCACAGTAATTCCCCGTACACAAACCGGAGCTGACGTGTGTTTGGTGTGGAACCAGCACCGTCACTAAAACAACAAAATTTGTACTTACGGTGGGTTATCCATCCTGGAAAAGAGAAGAATTATATCAATATTGGAGTTGACGGAAGTGAAATACAAAAGTGCCCATGCCACATACACAACGTTTTCTTTTTTCAGATTGTTTTCAAAAGTTTGGGAAGGAAGGTAATACTGCTTTCGACATCTAATCAACTAATGCAGTATCACCGATGTGGTATCATCGATTGTATAGTTTACATTGTATATATATACTCATGCTCATAATGTTGTCACCCCCTGTAGATAACCATATTTTCTCATATTCATGCAATATATTGTATCCAACTGAAATTTTGTGTATGTCTGGTGAAAATGTGTGTCCAAACGCATCTCCACAGGCGGGTTTTAGTGAAGCATGAAAAAAAGCATGCAGCATTATTCTAGAATGTAGAAAAAACGTGCATACTGTTCAGTTTCATTGCCATTTGTGTTGAGCTTGAGTGCACACCTTCTTTCAATTTGTAAAGAAAAAATTTATACAAACTCCAATGCCAGCACCATTGTCACTTGCATTACGTAGCCAGCTTGTAGGAATATCAAGAGCTGGCGTTAACAACCGTGCAATAAGTCGTGAGTTGCACGTACGCGTTAGAAGTGTACAGAGGATAAAAAGTTGCATTGAAATCGTCAATCACTAGTACCAAAAGTGTCTACAGGTAGACCCCGAAAAACTGACTCAAGGGACGACAGGGTTCTCTTACGCCTTGTACGTCGACATCGACGTTATCTGCCATGACGTGAAGATAAAGATAGGGTGTTCTTGTTAACTTGATGCTTAGCAGGCAAACAGTCAAGCGTAGGCTACTGGAGAGGGGTTACATAGCACTAAGACCTGTCCGTCGACCACTTCTAACAGCTCTGCATAAGCAACGTCGACTTGAGTGGGCCCAACGTCATCGTAACATCACGTTACAACATTGGCGTCGTGTCATCCTTTCTGTTGAATTCAGATTTCTTCTACACGGGGTGGATGGAAGAGTGCGAGTTCCACGATTAGCTGGAGAAAGGTTTATAGAAGACTGTGTGGAAGGTTACGTTGCGGGCGGCGGTGGCTCTGTTTTGGTACGGGCTGGGATTCATTACAATGGAAAAACAGAACTTCGTGTCGTTCATGGAAACGTCAATCAAGCGAAGTACAGAGACATTTTGGAAAAACATTTGATTCCACATGCACGACAAGTATACTGCAACAACTTCCTGCTGCAAGATGACAATGCTGCTCCACATCGTGCCAGGACCATTGGTGCTTTTCTGGAAAGGGAGGGCATTAACAGATTGCACTGACCCGCGAAAAGTCCAGACATGAACCCAATTGAGCACATGTCGGGCCATCTGGACAGGCAAGTGTGGTAGTTGGTAGTCCCTCCTGGAAATTTAGATGACTTAGGCACAGCCTTGATTCGAATGTGGAACGCTACTGGACTAGACATTGTCAACAACCTTGGTGATAGCATGAGGCGACAGATGACCTCCCTTATTGAAGCCCGTGGCGGAGCTACTCGCTATTGACTATCATTTTCCTGACAACTGAATGTTCTGAGACATTTATCCTCAATAATATTTAAATCTGCAACAAATTTGGTAAAGCTAGCTTATTCACAAGTCAGTCTCACGTGTAAAAGTTAGTTGTTTTGAGGGGAGCATGTCTTTGAGTGGTCTTTTACTAAAATCGTAGCCATAAAAAGTTCTTTAAAAAAATATTTAATGAAGTAACATAACTGAGTTTTGAAAAAAGCGGTTAGTAATCAAAGAGGGGGTGACAACCATTATGAGCATGAGTATACATATATATATATATATACAGTTTAATTCTAACTATTGACACCAGCGAAGATCCGGGTTAGAACTGTTCTTCAGTAACCCATGCTTGTCGTAAGAGGCAACTAAGGGGATCGGGTGGTCAGGCTCGCTGACTTTGGTTGCCACATGTCATTGGTTCCCAGTTGCGTAGACCGATGCTCGTGCTGTTGATCACTGGATTGTCTGGTCCAGACTCGATTATTTACAGACCACCGCCATATAACTGGAATATTGCCGAGTGAGGCCTAAACTAAACTCACTCTCTCACTCTAGCTATTGACGGAAATGGTCGAGATTGCCTTGTACAAGTCTGTTTTAGGTATTTTAACAGGTCATATAGAAACAGAATATATCTTTGAAATAATGTTGATCGAAATTAGATTTCAAGTACATTTCGATTGAAAAGGAACCTTATGGGGTTGGGGTTCAAGTCCAGGGAAATACAGACTTGTGTTATGTAGGACTATAGTATTACAGTAGAGTTGGGCAGAAGGGGAAGGTTTATGGTTCTGGACTGGTGGGGTGAGTGAGTGAGTTTAGTTTTACGCCGCTTTTAGCAATATTCCAGCAATATCACGGCGGGGGACACCAGAAATGGGCTTCACACATGGTACCCATGTGGGGAATCGAACACGGGTCTTCGGCATGACGAGCGAACGCTTTAACCACTAGGCTACCCCACCGCCCCGATGGAGACAGTGCGGGATGTACACAGTCTGTGTCACAGTCCCTGAACCACATTATTTTCCCTAATGCTTAGCCCTCCCTACATTGGTAAAGCCCTAAGTGAAGCAAGTCTAGATTCCCCCGGTTCAGGGTCTGTTATCATCTGAAAGAAAACTCACTTTTAGGGTCGGGTTACAAAGTCAACATGAATCTCCAAACTCACGGGGGATCCTTTGGGTTAATTTGTTACTATCAAAATGATACATATTCAGAGACTAAGCGTTAGTCTTTGGAAACAACAGCTTCTGCATTGAGCATGATGGTGAAATGACGTGGGGTTAATCATTACGTCTCTGGCAGAAGATGAATATTAATTCTAGGAGTGAGTGAGTGAGTTAAAATTTTCAAGTCACATCGGCAATATTAATTCTGAACTGAGACAAATAGCCTGATGAAAGATATCTCGTAGAATTCCCCGAGCAAGACTACTACTCTTCAGTTCAACAAACTTCTGTAAATGTTGAATTTCTCCTGGCTTGAACTTATTAACATATTGAAAGACGACCTCACTAGCATATCACAAACGTTTTTACATTTCAGAGGTTTAACTTTAGTCTATGTTATATACGTATAAACTGGGTACTTAAGTATGCATATGTACCGACTGTGTGTGTGTGTGTGAGTGTGTGTGAGTGTGAGTAGTGACCTAATAATGCACAAATGCGATGTTGATTTTCTTTTTAAAAATAATATATCCTGTCATCTGTTGCGAATTTTCCCATTAAAACAACACAATAAGAGGTACTATTTTAACGGAAACTGATCTTGACAAGAAATAGTTTAGTCAGGTTATAAAACAAACTAAATTAATGTCTTCAAATCTGTGTCTATTATGAAAGACGCCTAATCCTGCCAAATGACCTGATTGTTCATCCCCGAGGGGCGGTGAACGTTGGCTCGTCAACGTCGTGCACATCTGCACTGCCATCCTGTAGTCATCTTCCATTTGAACTTCTTGGATCAATACGAGGTCGGTGCAGCACGGCGACTCTCATTATATTCCACGAAGACCCCCTCGGAACAGTCGTGTCTAGCTGTTACAATAACGTTTGCCATTTCAGACTTAACTAAGCAGAGGTTACACTGAATGCTCACTTACAGTTACAAGAATGGATGCGTTTTCCAGTAGGGAACCACTTTGGTTCATACATAAATAGTCTAACAATACTGGACTCATCTCGCAAGTGTGGCTATCGTGATTGGACGTCTTTAACCTGTTCCCCATCAGATATCTCAAACGTCATAAAATACTGAGGGTACTTACTGAGATTAAACTCATTTAACTGCACTCTTGTATGATCAAACTAACATTAAGTGTAAAAGTCGAAATTTATCGAACTCTTTCTAAATTAAATTGTCACTGTCCCGACCCTATAGCATGGAGATGGTGAGAAATAAGATATTGATTAATTAATAAAACCGTGGAATATTCTCAGAAATTCCTTCAAATTACTTAAAGGCCTTCCTCAATCCCGTTTTGATATCTGGTAAATTACCCAATAAAACATCGTGAAGTGAGATTTCAAATTTATGATAAGAAAACCGAGTGTTTTATGGGAAACATACTGACATCGAACGATATGGTTCTCCAGATGCAGCTATTGTAGTAAGGGTTCTGAAAACCCCTACACCCACTCAATCTTAAATCATTGTTTACTTTTAGAGCATCCTTTCATACACGTTATGCCGAGATGCTGTATATAAGCGAAACAAGGCAAAATGTACGTTCCTCGTAATGTATACCGTTTTCAGCGATATAACGGGAGAGGTGGTTCCTATTAACCAGTGAGGTTAGGGAACATCAGCCATAGCGAGAACCACATGTGTTCCTCAAACACTGATACATTTGTCCAACTACAAATTCCAACAATTTACAGACTTACCAGTTTTATCAAATATGTCCTCGTCAACCTTCTGGACGATCTCGATGCCGACAACCTGGGATAGTACTCCGAAAAGTAACACGCAAACTTTCATGTTTATGTTACAAAACTTCTCCAAGAAGTTACCCAGCCTCTTTCTCCGTCGTGGCACCAAGTCACGTGACCCCATTCATTTACTGCTATGTTTCTCTTCAGAAAAGTCGGATCGCCATGGCAACGGGAAAGCAGCCGTTACGCGCGGGCCAAGGATGCGCGGCGTATACACTGATTATAGACAAAGGGATGAGGACGAGTGACCCCCTATACTCTTTATGATTTCCTGGTTTAAAAACTAACCAACATGTCACGACCCTAATCCCCACCCATCAACACACGCATGCACACGGATCATACTGTACAAAATAAGTTATCCCTTGCATGTCATGTACAAAATCAATGACACCCCCCTTCCCATAAATTCTAAGCAGTTTTAAACATATTTTTATATACAAAATTGCTGACACTTCAGTACACGTGTGCCAAATTGCTGACCCCCTCCTAGCGCCCCATAACAAATAGGTGACCCCCACTTAAAATCATCATCACCCCACCAACCCATAAATTATGAACGGTCCCTTAGTGATTCAATTAATTTTTCAAACATAAATAAAATTTAAACACGAAGTGCGTCGTTTTCTTTCGCCGAGGATGCTAACTTAAAACAACATTTGACCGTGGAAGTAACGTAACTGTTCAAATATTGACTCAAAATGGTACGTTTATGATTACGTTTCATTAAAAAAAACTTAGCAAACAGCGACAAATCAATCGATAAAATCACTGGCTTAGCAGGTAGTAAACATGTGACGTATACAGATAGATAATAAGGTGATGTGCAGAAGGTGACTTTACACTGACTGCTCGCTTCCTGTCCTAGACTTGTATTTTGTGAAAAGTGTACGTAAATGAGAAAGGTGTTGAGTGGGTGGGTATAGTTTTACGCCGCTTTTAGCAATATTCCAGCAATATCTCGGCGGGAGACACCAGAAATGGGCTTCACACATTGTAACCATGTGGGGAATCTAACCCGGGTCTTCGGAGTGGCGAGCGAACGCTTTACCCACTTGGCTACCCCGCCGCCCCAAATGAGAAAGGTACATATATGTATGTGTGTTTGTTGGGAGATTGAATTATTTACCGAATAATTACAACAACAACCCCCAAATTAAAAATAAAATAAAATAAGAAATAAAAATTTAAAAAATAAATAAATAAATAGATCATACTAATAATAACTAATAATAATAATAAATAAATTAACTAATATAAAATAAATAAATAAATAAATAAATAAATAAATAAATAAATAAATAAATAAATAAATATATAAATAAATAAAATAAAACTGAATGAAAGTAAGAGCGTTAGATATGTGCATGGTGAATCCGTAACTTCCATGACCTTTCATTTAACTTGACCTTGTCCTTCGTTAAATATTAATTCATCTACCCTGTTAAAAATGAGCGTAACAACCTCAATCTGTGCACTGTGCCCGTTCCGTGTCACTCTGTGTCAGGTCGTTATGGATGTGATGGAGTATTTAACGAGCGCTTCAATTACTATCAGCTCGCATGGCAAAACAGCAATGTAAGCGTACAGTAGCCAAGTGTCCAATTGCGGGATGGGGATTGGTTGTTCAAAATGGCCGATGATTATAACTAGAAGTAGTACCTATTTTTATTCGGTAAGCCTACCTAAGTTGCATTTATCAAACAAACTGGGCACCCTGGGCTGTGAGGAATGTACTCAGGGCTAAAGCAATTCTCTTAATCATATCGTGTACTCCTTAGAAGCTGACATTTTGTCTAGATAAGTATATTTTGTATGTATGAGTGCGTGCGTGTGTGCGTGCGTGTTGTGTGTGTGTGTGTGTGTGTGTGTGTGTGTGTGTGTGTGTGTGTGTGTGTGTGTGTGTGTGTGTGTGTGTGTGTGTGTTGTGTTTCAAGGGTGTGTATATCTGTATTCGATGTTGATAAATCCTCCCGTTTTGACAATGTACCTATGAAAAGTTTCACGACTAACTTTACAAGTAGAAAACATCTTTATAATGCCAAAATTTTAATGTGGTAACTTTTGACATGACGTGTAAATATATCACCAGTATGCAAATGGTAATACGTCTGAACAGAGGCATGTAGACAAACAACACTGTTATTGTATCAAATATCCCGTGTAGAAAATTGTTTTAAGGTCTTTTTCGAATATCACGGCCTGCCATAATAATAATAATAATAATAATAATAATGTGTCCATGTATATAGCGCCAAACTCCACACCAGGTATGCTAACAATGAATAGCACAGCACATTATTAACCCGGATAACCCAAGCTGTCTGTTAGGCGCTGGAAGGTTGCATGCTGTGCTCTACTATGATTGACTAATGAAGGGTTATATTCGTTGGGGTAAGAATATTGATTGTATCCGCGTTGTCTATTTTAAGAAGTACTTGGGGAAAACACACATGTCATTTCCTTGTTGATTATTTTTAAAAGCGTCTTTATATCTAGACCCAACCTCCAATGAAGATACATGAGAAACGTGGATATATATTCAACAGTAAATTTATAATGGTAATTCTTGTGCTCCTGGACGTTGTGTGAAACACCGTTATTCGGACCCTCGTTAATCCGAAAACCTAATTTTCACTCCCCAATCCTCCCCGGTCACTAACCAGAGCTGAGGTCACAAATCAGTTGAAGTTAAGCAACGTTGAGTCCTTGGATGGGTGAGCGTGTGTGACAGCTTTACTCCTGAGAGTTTCTAGGACTTCGGTCCTGCACCACAACGAAGCACACGTGATATATGTGGTCTCACCTTAGGCAAGTGAGTTTATTCCAAATTGCCTCTGTTCACCCAGCAGGAAAAGGGTACCCGGTGGGATAGGTCATGTGACTATTAACCTTCTGGCGCCTCACAGACAGTTTGGGTTATCCGTCGTTATAATGATCAGATTGTTTGGGCGCTTCGAGCATGCAGCATGCGTGGAGAAATGCCCATGATAAATGGACTAAAATTATTTTTATTATTACTAACCACTAACACTAATTATTTTTATGTCATTTCCTTGTTGCAGCATGCGTGGAGAAATGTGCATGATAAATGGACTAAAATTATTTTTATTATTACTAACCACTAACACTAATTATTTTTATGTCATTTCCTTGTTGCAGCATGCGTGGAGAAATGCCCATGATAAATGGACTAAAATTATTATTATATTATGCGTGGAGAAATGCCCATGATAAATGGACTAAAATTATTATTATGTCATTTCCTTGTTGCAGCATGCGTGGAGAAATGCCCATGATAAATGGACTAAAATTATTATTATGTCATTTCCTTTGTTGCAGCATGCGTGGAGAAATGCCCATGATAAATGGACTAAAATTATTATTATGTCATTTCCTTGTTGCAGCATGCGTGGAGAAATGCCCATGATAAATGGACTAAAATTATATTTTATGTCATTTCCTTGTTGCAGCATGCGTGGAGAAATGCCCATGATAAATGGACTAAAATTATTATTATGTCATTTCCTTGTTGCAGCATGCGTGGAGAAATGCCCATGATAAATGGACTAAAATTATTATGTCATTTCCTTGTTGCAGCATGCGTGGAGAAATGCCCATGATAAATGGACTAAAATTATTATTATGTCATTTCCTTGTTGCAGCATGCGTGGAGAAATGCCCATGATAAATGGACTAAAATTATTTTTATGTCATTTCCTTGTTGCAGCATGCGTGGAGAAATGCCCATGATAAATGGACTAAAATTATTATTATGTCATTTCCTTGTTGCAGCATGCGTGGAGAAATGCCCATGATAAATGGACTAAAATTATTATTATGTCATTTCCTTGTTGCAGCATGCGTGGAGAAATGCCCATGATAAATGGACTAAAATTATTTTTATGTCATTTCCTTGTTGCAACATGCACTAATTAATGCCCATTTATGTCAATCCTTGACTAAAATTATTATTAGCGTCTTTATATCTAGACCCAACCTCCAATGAAGATACATGAGAAACGTGGATATATATTCAACAGTTATTTAAAATTATTTTTATTATTACTAACCACTAACACTATCCATTTGTATGGAGCACTTGCATTATTTTGAATCGATGATACGATAATTCCGAAATGTGTTAATCCCGAGAATTTCGCAAGGAACGCACAGTCCGGTTTAACGGGGTTCATTTTTACCTCAACAGATCTTCTCATCCGGAGGGGTTATTTAAGTACATACAGGCAATATCGAAACCGAAAGTTGCCAGGATAGCCACTTTGAAGTAGGTCAGGTGTTGTTGTTGTGTGAAGATCGCAGTTTGCTGCGTTATATGGACACTGCAGGTAAAACATACATACAGTAAACATTGTACTGCTCCTAGAGACCGAATATCCTTAGTGTATGTCATCTACTATATGCGTGACTGGAGTACAGGGTCTGTGTAGCGACATATAGGTCACATGGTCCCTACCTGCCATATATACATGGGGAAAAGATATAAATAGGTCTGTCCATTTGTCTTAAGAATACCTTAGCGTACATACGTCAACAACAAAATGATCACAATTATGCCCTCATTATGACAATTACGTCACAAAAAGGCTGTAACGAAATTAAGTGCTTTACGTGTGAATTTCATCGTGTTATAGATTTTAAGATAAATGTATAAATTATAAAACAAGTTTAGATCTAAATGCCCCAAACTCTTGTAATCATTAGGTTAACTGACTTGCCGCCGATGTAACGAGGCTGCTAAGAGATTGTACATGCTATAACGGTATTTAAAGACGTTAGGTGACGTATCACAGTTTAAACTTTTATCCAATATGGACGCTTTGCTCGTACTTCCGCGTCTTATTGTCTCGCCTACAGCAGCGTTACACTTGCATGAACACCGGCTAAACATGTCACTTGAAGTCTGAAGTCTATTGCACAAAAGAAACGTAATACGTGTGTCATATTTTGTTGATGTTTGGTAAAATAACATGACTAAGGCGTATACTGAAATTATTTGAATACATACGGAATCAATATATTGATTTGACTTATTTGTTTATTTACTATTTCTTAGAGATGCCTTCGGATATGGTTAAATATCCATATCTCTGTAAATTATTCATTTAGAAATCTTACGTAATCAGTATGTTGGATTTTTTAATGCACTTGTTGTTTTTTTATATACAATGTTCATCAGTTTGATGATTTAATTTATATTTTTTTATCTATTTCATATTTTACATTGTCATTTGTTTTAAGGAAATTTTATTCAATCAATATTTTCAGTTATATTTGTTTATTTTCTTCTACTTACTAATTGTAGTCAGGTGAAATAAATCATCGATGCTACCTATTTAGCATAGTGTAGTTGACTACAATTCAAGAGAAAAAATATTCGAAGTTTCACTTGAAATGTGTATACGAAGGCATTATTCATATTAGTATGCTATTGTTTGTGTCAAGGATTGGATGTGTAGGGGTTGGGTGTTGGGATGGGGTGGGGCTGGGGGGTTGGGTCGGGGTGTCAGGATAGAACTGTGCTCCTTTCTTTTCTTTTTTCAAAGAAATGTAGCTTAATCCAGAATATCGGACTGTGTACTCGATGTGGCTAATATTTACGTTTAAATACTATAGTATACCTAGCCTTCTACTGCATATACTGTTTGTAATGTGTATTAGATGCAAATGCACTGATGCACGAAAATATTTGATCAATATTTTTAGAGTTACCGTTCCTTAATGTAATCGTTAACTGTGAGAAGCGTCAATAAAATATCCAATTTAGCGGTTACACAAAACCAAATATTAACCCATTGACTTAGATAAGTGACAAAAAATGAATACCTCAGCCTGATCCTACCCCAGTTCCGCACAAAATGTCACCTGATTGAAAATACCTATGGTCACATCTAGCATAAGGCATCATGTTAATAAAGCAGCACTAAATATTGAAAAATATGGCCAGTTTTAATTATTGATGGATGCACATTTGAAAAAACCCGCAAAATCTCCCATAAATCATCCAATCACAGCTGTCAGATGATTCAGTCTGCATTGAAAGATCGATACAACGAAAACTACTTGTTAAACTACGGATTTTGTTTTTGTGTAGTATTACCGATTCAATATAGTCTTAACCCATGCGTCACGTGTATCTATATAAGGTTAAGGGACATGTTTGAGGATAGTCTTTGCCGTTGTTTGTTGCATACATCCCACATGTATTAATTGTTGATTTAATAACGTTTGTACTTTGTAGTCCTTTCGTTGTATCGTTTATCTTATTTAATCAATATTTTCAATTTTTGATTGTATTTTGTTGATTGACTTCTTACAGCCTTCCTGTACAATAAGTCTCAAGATGACCGTGGTCTAGTTTAATCAGGACACCAAAGGCATCAACCTTCTATGGATCCATATACTCAGTCTGAGGAGGAGGATCCTAGTCAACACTCACCAGGAGACCAAAGGAATCAGCCTTCCATGGATCCATAAACTCAGTCTCAGGAAGATCCTGGTCAACAGCCACCAGGAGACCAAAGGCATCAACCTTCTGTGAATCCATGCAGTATATCTCAGGAAGATCCTGGTCAAAACTCACCAGGAGACCAAAGGCATCAAACCTCTATGGATCCATGCAGTATATCTCAGGAAGGCCCTGGTCAACACTCACCAGGAGACCAAAGGCATCAACCTTCTGTGGAACCATGCAGTAAATCTCAGGGAGATCCTGCTCAACACTCAGCAGGAGACCAAAGGCATCACCCCTCTATGAATCCATGCAGTAAATCTCAGGATGATCCTGGTCAACACTCACCAGGAGACCAAAGGCATCAACCTTCTGTGAATCCATGCAGTAAATCTCAGGAAGATCCTGGTCAACAGCCACCAGGAGACCAAAGGCATCAGCCTTATGTGGATCCATGTGCTAAGTCTCAGGAAGGCCCTGGTCAACACACATCAGTGGACCAAAACTGTCAGAATTCCATCTCTGCACACACAGCTAACCCGATAACATTGCCCGGACCAGGATGTACAGTCCAACAGACGTCTGGAGTGTATGAATATGATGCCGTTTTAGTATTTGCAAAAGACGATGAAGATCTTGCAATGAAAATACAAAGTGAGATGAATCAAAATATAGTGGTGGGTAATCAAAAAGCAAGAGTGTGTTTGGCTGATGAGCCTCAGTTCAGGGCATCTCTTATTGATAGACCAAGCCTCCTGGCAGAGAAGTGCAGGTTTATGTTCCTCATGCTCACTGTGAACACAAATTCAGATACATACACTTGTTTCGTCAAAAGCGAAGCTCTCGCAAGCACATGTCTGGCAAATAAACGTCGACACTTTGTGATACCACTGCATACCAAGAATACGAAGGATCGCGACTATGTTATACCTACTGGACTAGCAGATGTCGAAACATATGATTGGTTTATGCCTTTGGATCCGTGCCAGCGAAAGATTCAAGAACTATTTGAACATTGTGGACAAACTGAAGAACATTACTCAAAACGGCAGAGCACTGTGAACAGTAAGTGATCTTGAAATGTGGAATTGACCTCTCCCAGGGCAAATTAGTAATCCATATATCCCATTCTTGTCAAAACAGACTTATGAAATGTTTTATGTAGTGACTTGGTTGATATGTCATGGTGACATGATAACATAGATTGATGCTCATATCATCAACCGCTGTTTGTTTGCCTGGGTGACTATTATTGTTGGCACGATGAAGTGAAGCTTAAAAAACCATTCATCCACTGGGTATTTGTTAAGAACATGAAATCTGGATGGAATTCAGTTGTAGTAGATGTTACATAAGTAATTCATGGTAACATAATCTTTTTCCCCTGTAACATGGACTGTGACAATTTGCAGGGAAGATTATGCGTCAGAGAAGTAGGAATTCCCATGGAAAGAAAGAAAATGCCAATGAATTACAGAACACATCAGCACCTACCCGAGAGCCAGACTTGTCACCTGATTTGAAGAGGATCATTCGTAAGTATTAGGCACTTGATATAGTTGTGAAAGAACAATAATGTATGGAATGAACCGAATAGGAAAATGGAGTAGCGCACATTGCCGTGCGCACTTTGTTTTATTTCAATCGACGCTAAGTGGAGGATCGAGCTCACACTGCCAGTGAGGTAAACTAAGCATACTTGATGAAATGATGGTACCGAATCCTAAGAACCATGGAGGCGTGTAAGGGGTACCTTACCGTAATGACCGTAAAAAGGATCGGAAAGGGGCACCTTACCGTAATGGCCGTTAAAGGGGAGCCATGTGGGCCAGAGTTTAACATAACTGCAAGGTCTTTTCTGCCATTCTCCGCATCTGCCTCTTTGAAGTCGTCCACAACCTTCCCTCAATTCCAAGGTTTGCCAATGCAGTTTCCAAAACCTTGCAGTTATTTGATTCGTTGAGATTAATAGCAACCAAAATGTGATTATTGCGAGCCATTTGTGTTCTTTTGTCACATTCTGTCTTCATTGAAAACTACTAGAGCCAAACAATGATGTATATATTTGACTATACGAACTGTTCCTAATCAACCACATGCAATCTACAATGTTTCATATGTAAATAATAGATAAGTCATTAGAACTTAGAACACAAATCATAAGATTTTCACCAATATCGTAGAATGATTTCTTTAGATGTTCTATGGACGTTCTATATGTGACAGGTATACACGTATGTATCATAGTCTCTTAAATTACGCTTTAAAATGTTTTAATGTGTTTTATACCTCTCGGCTCGTCTATATTTACTACAGATCAGACAAACATGATTCTTCACGACTGGGAAGGGAAACTTTTCTACACCACTAAAGCTACTAGAGAAGCAAAGGACACGCTGATGACCGAAGGTTCTCTCTTCCTGGTGGGACGATCTGGAGATGGAAAAACATCAATGGTGTATCACATACTTACAGAGTTCAGGAAGGATAAGTCCACTTTTCAAGCATATATTGTCTATGAACCTGAAGACATGAAACATATACCTCCAGATAATTCCATCGTCTTTGTCGATGACATACTCGGTCGTTCTAGTTTCGCTTTCGCTCTTTTAGAGAAATGGAAATTATATTTCCGCCATTTGGCAGCCTACGTAGCAGAAGGACATATGTATTTCATTTCTACTTCTCGAGATTTCGTCAGAGATGAATGTGGAGGTTTCATTGATGACATCCCGCTGCTAAGCAATGTCATTGATACTACCTCAGAAGAAAACAGCTTGAGGACATACGAAAAGGAGGCCATGCTCACTGACTATTTAGATAGATATAAAGTCAAAATGACCGACACGGAAAGGAGTGCTACTGTTCGGGGCAGCCTAATTATTGGCTTTCCTCAGTGTTGTCAGTACTTTGTTACAAATCAGGAGGCTCAAAGCGCTGGTCATAAGTTCTTTTTGAATCCCTTTGTAATCTTAAGATCCCAAATAACAAAACTGAAAGAAACTGATAGACTTGCATACATGGTTCTTGTGTTGGCATTATTCAACAATGGTTGTGTATCAGCGAGAGCACTGGATCCATACAGCACAGAAAAGCCCCCAATGTTTCATACAGTTATGGAGGCCTGTGGAATACCTAGAGATACTCCTAAAAAAAATGTCAAATCAGCTGCGATCACGCTGGAAAGAAAGAAGTACCTCGTATACAACAAACAAGAGGGAACGTATGACTTCTACCACCAGTCACTTTATGATGCAGTCTGTCTTGTGTTTGGAGATGAAAGCGTAGAGAAGTTGCTAGAAATTGCACCTGCATCCTTTCTCGTTGAACACACATCAATTTTTGATAGCAGTCATGAAAACAGAAGAGACCGAATACAGATTCACAGAGAACATTACTATACATTTATCAACAGAATCATGGGAGACATCCAGACTAATAATTTCAAACTTTTTGAGCACAGAGCATTTACCGGGAAGGATTTTGTTGATGAGTTTTTTGAAAACACAGAACGTTCAGAGACCATACACAAACTACTCCACAGTGATGAGTCTGTGAAACATTTGATTACTGATCGAACATTATACCGTCTGACAGCAGCTAGCAAATGTCAACCTCTTTTACAACATTTGGTTACTCTCATGTGTAACACAGATAAAGAACAACAGAATCTACTTTTGCACGATGTTATGGAGGGTTCATGCAGTTCAGGCGACTTTGAACTATTTGACGATGTTTTGTCAAGAAACGTTACTCCTTGTAGCAAATGTGCTCTAGTGGCTGCGGAAAGTTCTATCGACAATCCATACATTATGAGGCTTTTGCAGAGACACATGCCACCTGAATTTGAAACCATGGAAACAGTTGTTGACATTTTGGTGGAAAAACAGAGACTACAAACACTAAAACATGTCACACCCCACGTGAACTGGAGCCATTTTAAAACACCGAAGCGGAAAAGAAAGCTGCTTCTATCAGCTTGCTCATCTGGCAAATTTGGAATGTTTCAACAACTTACAGGACCAAAATGTATTGGGGATCCTGAAAACAAAAATGAACTATTGATGACTGCAGTAGGTGGTGGAAGCAAAGATATTGTTAAGTGTCTGATAACGAAGGAAAACAAAGATCAGGTCGACAAAATGCAAAGATCAGTACTGCACCATGCGTGTTTGAAAGGGTCTGCAGATCTTTGCCAGTTCCTGTTATCACAGCAGGTAGATGAGTCCAGAATTGACAACACTGGCGCAACTGCCTTTCATTTGGCATGTAAAAACAGGGACAAGTCATTCATTGAACAACTATTAAGCATAGGCTTTTCAATCACAGTGACAAACATTCAAACAACGAAACAGCCTATCCAACTCTCACCTTTACATATGGCAGCCAAGAATGACAAAGGATGGCAGATGGTTCAATTACTGATAGAGAAAGGACCTACAGACGTAGACATGCTACACTTCCAGGATACTGATGGATTCACACCTATGCACATAGCAAGTCAACACTTTTATGGAAGCAGAATGATTCAGGAGCTCCTGAAACATAAGGCTGATCTCTCAGTCAGAGACAAACATGGCAGGAGTCCACTACACCATGCAGCAATGGAATGCATTTACAAAAATATTGAAGTTTTGTTAGACAGCCAAGCAGATGTAAATGCTAAGGATGCCAGCAGAAAGACACCTTTACATTATCTGGTGGCAAAAGAGATTCAAAATGAAGATGAAACTGAATCTCAGTCTGATTCTGTGAAACGTTTCCTGGAGAATGGAGCCGATGTAGTCAGTGTTGACAAGGATGGGAACTCCCCTATCCATGCTGCTGCAGTTTCCATTTCCAACAAGTCTTTTAAGCAACTGTTGGGAAGGTCAGGTGAAGTTCCCAACATGAACAGTGTGGGACTTACACCTCTACACTTGCTACTTGGACCAGATGCACCAGTGGAAAATGTGAAGCTGCTTGTTGAAACATATCCATCCCTGCTCGAGTCTGAAACTGAAAAAGGGAAATCTGTATTGCATGTTGCTTTTGAAAATCAAACTGGATATAACGTCATTCTCTATTTACTTCGGGAGAAATGCACTGATCATAGAGTGGATTGGGAACATATTGATGTCAAGAAGGTGTTCAGTAGGTTTACTTCAGAGCACATTCTTGATATTCTTCAATATGTAACCGAATCAATGACTCCTTCAGTAATGCCTAGTGTGATTCACGTGCTATGTGAAGCTCACTTACCAGATGCTAGATGGAGAATTGGGATGGAATTCGTGCACAGCAACACAACAGATGTTGATCTGGATGTTCAGGATTGTAAAGGCTCAACTGCACTGCACAAAGTGGCCGATTCACTTGTAAAAATGGATTTTCTTATTAAGAAGAAATGTAATGTCAATATTCCTGATCACAATGGCAATACACCACTTCATATTGCAGTTGAAAAAGGAAATGCAAGAGGTGCTGATTCTCTCCTTTCAGCTGGGGCAGATGTTTCAGCCCTGAATACAATGAATGAAACAGCATTACTAAAAGCAGCAAAGATGATTCCAAAATATGTCAAACACAGTTTACAATACCCGGTCTTATTAGAGTCCACTGAACATTTGATGGTGTTTTTGTTTAGCAATGACATTTCCCAAAGCTTTCTGTTCGGGTACCAACCAGTTGGGAAGTGTAGTGATGTAAACATCTCAAGAATAATATCCTCACTTGTTGGCAGTTCTTCCCCTGTTAATGTACCTGATAAATACGGAAATACAGCAGTTCACTACGCAGTGTTTGACATTAACATCCTGAAAAGGTTGGTATCTGCAAAAGCGAATCTGGAACAGAAGAACAATCAAGGAATGTCGTGCCTACATGTTGCATGTATGTCCAATGACAACACAGATGTTATAAATTATCTTCTCGACAATGGCATGTTTCCTTGTACTACTGATAGATTGCTGCCCGTCACCCCGTTACACATTGCCTTGTTATGCAAAATGAATGATCATAATGTGTTGAAGAAGCTTTATGATCACCTAGTTACATCCTCTCAAAGTAGCTATAAGGATTTGTGTCCGTATCTTCATGTATCAGCATGTTGTTCCTCAAAGGATGTTGTTCAGCTGTTTATCAATCTAGATAAGAACCAAATGTTCACACCGGACACATGTGGATATCTTCCAATACACCATGCTGTGGCTGCTGGTGATCTTGAGGTGGTCATGCTACTAGCTGAAGCCATGAAGACAGCCAAACATAGAAGTAGAATAGCAGTGGTCGCGGGGCAGTCTGCCCAGAACATAAAAGAGTCTGGGTCAAACATAAGTCAGTCAGTACATTTAGGACCTAAAACAACTGATGTTCGTGCAACGTCTTCGGAGTGTAAGAAACACCAAAAAATGAAAGATTTGCCTGAAGAAGATGATGATCAGTACGTACAAGGTAAACCTCAAGCAGCGGCGGATAGCCATGTTACTCAAGTTCAGAATCTGCAGGCTTTGATGTGTAGACTGAAATCTGTATGGAATTTGATTGTTGTTGCTGCCCAATACAGCAATGTTGCTATGATTGGTTTCTTATTACAGGAGGGATGGGGGTCAATCACTGTGACGAGAATGGCAACACACCCCTCCATGCTGCAGTGAAATCAGATAATCCTGAAAATGTTGAGTATTTGTTGGCAAAAGGGGCTAGCGTTGAGTGCTTCAACAGATATGGATTCACTCCTTTACACACTGTAGTACTGGAAGGGCCTGTGGATTACAAAATGTCAAAAACAATTATCCGTCTGTTACTTAACCATGGTGCATCTGTTACTTCCTGTACAGAGCATGGCAAACAGAACATGTTACACTTACTATGTAAAAACAAACTAATTTCCCTAATTGTAGGTCATGTTCAGATGTTCAACTTGGATGAAGATGAAGTCATTTCTGAGGTGATGAGAATCCCAAGATTACTTATATACAATGGCTGCGATGTGAATGCCACAGATTCACAAGGACAGACCCCACTCCACCTGGCCGCGAAAGCTAACAATGCTTGGTATGTGGACACCTTCCTTGATAATGGGGGATGCATTGATGCCCTAGACAACCACGGAAGGACACCCCTCCAACTAGCGTTAGAAAATAGAATTGATGATCTAATACCATGTTTTTCAACAGCTTTGTGTCTGGTGGAAAGAGGTGCCCATCCTCATGCAATTGTCCGCGGTGGTGCGACTCCACTGGATATCCTACTGAAATTGGGGACAAAAGAAGGAGTGCTAATGAATGAGGAGTTTAGACAGATATGCTATTTGCTGGGCATATGGGAAGAAGTAAAGGTACAGTAATGTCAGCTTCACATTCTTCTCTAACACGGGTCTCTGTACATTCTACACCGAAGCTGTTGAAAATGTACCTTTGATGCCAAAACTGACTTGAAAGGATTTGTTCCTAACATTGATAGACGCTTGAAACATGTTTGAGATTATTCCATTATTATTATTGTACACGGAATGAATTGCGAAATATATTGCATCGCTTTATGTGATCGAACCTGTGACCTGACGATGGACTGATATTTCGGTCAGGTTGAACCTGCTCAGGATCACTTTGACAATGGGAGAGGGACAACAGAGGACTCTGTCAAGGATTACTCATTCGTGCAAGCCCTTAACGTTGTGTGTCTGCGACACGTTCTGATTTTCAAACACGTTCTCGTCATCATTTTCTCTGAATGTTCTTTGCTAAAATACTTCATGAATTTTGACGATAAGTTTCAAAGACGTGAGAAATGGTAGCATGGAGGCTTATATAGATATTCTCCGAATCGTTGCTTTTTTTCTTTATTTGTTTCGTGTTTCAAACTGTTTTTGAAAGATTCGACTTCATAACCCGTCGGGCTAAATTACAGTCACCATGGTTTACATTCAAATGAGACAACTCACACTTTATATGTGGAGCCTATTTGAAAAATGTACATTCAAATTGATTACTGGTATTCCAGATGCGTTGTAGTCATACATTAGGAGATCCAATAAATTACAAAATATTGCAGTTTTTCGTGCCTTGAAATATACTCATGCCCCTCCCAACCCCAACCCCACACACACCTCACACCCCACACACCCTCTCCAATTAAAGAAATTGAAGGGGGTGACAACCATTATTGGCATGAGTATATTTTACTGGCATAAAACCTTCCCCCATTTATAAAAAAGATTTATTAGTAGTTTATAAACAGTCAATATGTGTCACCAGTAGGGGGAAACTAAACAGATGCTTTAGGTGACAAAAATTGTTTAGAAGAATAAGAAACAGGTCAATCATCAAGAGCCTATTTAACCAACCATCAGGGCGCTACTCTTGAGCCACTGAATGAGCTATGGCACAGAAAGATGCAGATGTATCTGGCTTTATGGATCAAGCAGAAGATAAACATTTATCCTACTATCCCTGGATCTGGTGGAAATGTTGATTCTAGCGTTTGGTGCTGGTTTAAATAATGACAAATCTTCAGATATTCAGTTCTATCTTTTTGTTATTGACTATTTACGGAGTTGATGCTAAACTGCATAAGGTCCTTCAAATGCGCTGGTTATATAGCACTTTATAATAGCTGCTTATAATAACACTAATAGCAACTAATGACAGTGTATTCCACAATGTCTTCCATCTGATTAAGTTACGATTTGGGTGTTTTTTGGGCATGTAAAAAAACTAAATTGTTTCATCATACGCCTTTTCTCATTTATTTGTCTACAATGTAGTCATTATGCTATGAAATGAGTGTTTGGGAGACACACACAAGGTTTCACAAGCTATGAACATGTCTTTAATTAATAAAAGATTTTTCATACTTTAAACTGAGCTGTCCTTCAAATTTATCAATAATTCATTCACGTCACTGGCCCATAAAACAATCAAGACCAAATATCCAAATACAATTAATTTCTTCACAATACTGGTTATCTAGCAATCATATATAGAACTTACTGGTCAGTTGACCATTAAGTATCTAAATCAATATGGGTTACCTAGCAATCATATGTATATATACAACTTATTGGTTTAAATCAAAATGGGTAACCTATTCAAATGTGTTTGAATGATAATAGAGATTGCTGAAATATGATAATGAATCATGTTGGATTTGACTTTTGCTAGCAACAAATATGAATGTCTTAACACTCATATAGGGTCAGTTGTACTTTTGTACATATTGTTATAATTTGTAGAAACATTGGACAGTTGTACTGATAAAATATTTGCTTTCATGGTAAAATGAGTTCTTTAAAATTACACCTTTTCTTCTTGTATATAACCTGTATGTATTTGTTCATTACTCAACAACCAGTTCATGATTGGATCTTTGTTTTTCACACTGACTAAATACTTGTTTAAATATGTTGTCTGTTTAGTGCCAGTTGTATTATTCAAATATTTGACAGTCTTTGTTTCATCATCTTGGATGATCCTGTGTACATATTCCCGACTTTGTCAGGGTATTCAAGGCCTCAGTAAAGCTTTCAAGAAGTTTTATGGTAGACTTTTGGAGGAAAGTTCCAAATTTGATGCATCAGTGACAAAAATTATATCGGATGCATTTCTCTATTTTGACTTATACCATACGTTCCTGAATTAGTTCAGGTAAACAAATGACTAGACTTAGTATATGTTTATGACGGGTGCCACCGGTGGGGCAGGATACGCTCACCTTTTCGCGAACACCTGGTATCATCACTATTTCATAGTGATTCATAAACATATGCTCTGTCATCGTATCGCATGGTGACAATCACTGGATTGTCTGGTTCAGACGTGATTTGTGTACAAACAACATCATACAGCTGTAATACTGCTGAAACAAATATCTGCTCATGATAAAGTCACAATTGTACAATCGACTCTGCTTTTGGCAGAAATTTCTTATTAATGTGGAAATGGTTTTATCGCTTCTATACACCTCGATACATGTTTAACTAAAGAATACTACAGAATGTTTCTCACTCATGAGAGCTCTTTGACAGGGAGGGTATTCTTTTCATTATGTTAACGTGAAACAAGTCTACGGTATTTAATGGGTCCAGGGTTTTATCATAATAGAATTCACATTTTTGTTGTAATTTTTTCTGTGCATCTTTTAAACTTAGTGTGTCCGAGGTTTAAAATGCCTTGTTTCATAACAATTATCGAAACACTGTATTGACCTCTGTGGGAATAATCTTTCATAGTATACCAGCTACTATGTTCTTGTAGCATGTGTTATATATAGTTATAGTCTTCTACAAAGGTTCACGTCTTCTGTCGTTTCAAGGGACGTATCCTTATCGAAAACGTGAATATATAGAACTAGGTGAGCGTTGGTGCCTTGGTGCTGGCTTGTCAACAATATTCGTTGTCAACCGCCCTGCATATTATAGATGACATTTAACATTTTGTTTTCGAGTTAAGGTTATAATGTAATGGAAAATCATTTTACAATATACTGTCATCGGAAGACATTGGTCACTCAATGTGAAACAGTTTGAGGTAGTAAATTAATTTGCGTGACTTTATTAACGTCTCACTCGTACCGCGATAGTTTGAACAAAGCTTCATCTAACAAATTCAAAGTTTAACCGACATCTGTGACAGTCTGCTGATTATACCCTTTGGTTGATGGTAAAAGCAATATAACGGTATTGCAAGAATAAGAACTGCATGTAACAAGTGTTATCTTTTTGTTACCGTTGCTAATTCATCGACTTTAGACATGTATTTAGAACCAAACAAAAAGCTAGGTACATTTCTTGTGCCACAATCCGACACGTTTAGTTTTCGAAATGTTTTAACGTGCTTTGACAGGCAAACAAGTTTAACATTATCAATAAAATTGCCTTTCTAAATGTATTCCCTTCATTCGTTTTAAGATTCCAGACTGTAGAAATATATCAGTAAAGGTGTCCTGCTACTTTCGGCTGTTTACTCCGGTTTCCACTACGTGTGTTTCTTTACAGCTCAAGATCGAAACCTTTGATATTCCACCTTGCAGAATTTACATCGACCTACAACTATGTTTATTTATATAATTTCTCCAAAGAGACTGAATGTTAGAAATTGTGATGAAACTTGTGAACATATATCTCTCCCTATAATGTATCTTTTTGAATGCGATATCATGTAACTGTACATAATTTTGTATAATGCCAGTATGACTACGACATACTTCGCTAAATTCATGTCATTTTCTAACTTCTGTATTTCTAATTAAACAACCCCAGAGAGACATTAACGTAGGAATTGTTTCCCATTGGAAATATCTACATGAAGAATGTACTTTGATCTGATGTTTGTAAAACTGAAATTCAATATATATTAAACATCTTATCGAATTTTTACTTAATGCCTAATAATATGTACTTTCGTGAGGTTTAGATTTCATAGAACTAAGCTCATTTCGTGTGATCCCGAAATATGTGTACGCAGGACACAGGACAGGTGTATCCCGTCTAGGATTTAGTCACATTCCCAGATAAGTCTTGTATGTAAATGGTCTCTGCTTGTATGCATATACTGAGCACGAACATAAGGGCATATGAATGAATGATGACGTCGTTAGCAATTTCATTCCACACTGTAACATATGTTATATATGGGATTACACTATCTTAGTAAAGTACGGATTCAGGCACCTAATCGCCAGCACAGAAAGTCAGCCGCTGCCCGTGGAACCCCGGTGACTGAGCGGTTTAGGGGGCTGACTTTGTGAGCTGGCGATTAGGTGTCTGACTGAGGGTGCGGGTTCGAATCCCGGATGGCACTCAACCCAAGAAAAGTTCTAGAATCTGTACTTTACTGAGAAAGTGTAATCCCAAATATAACAATATGTTACATTTGACCACTTTCTAAAATGGCATTGTGTATTCATTCTACACTGATAATATTTTCCTAAAGACCAATTCTAAAACAGCAACTCCATGGCTTGTATCTAGTCGGGGCAGCATTGACACGCGTGTTCTGCCAAGCCTAATGGGTACCGAGAATCTTATGTGATCTACCAATTCAACCTTGTTTATTTACTGATGAATCTTGGAATTGTTCTGTATAAAGGTCATGTTCTATTGTGCGTGCCATTGGCAATTTAAAGTTTAATGTCATTATTTGTCTGTTGGTTACATTAATTATGTTCAATAAATAGATTAAGACCGATAATTTGTTGTTTCTTTCTTGAGTATGGAAATAATACACATCAGTGCAGGAACAGGCATGTCATATTTGTAACAACGGCTGTGGTGTAGGATTATGTGTAAACACCACCGAAAACTGAAACAGTATCAAATCGCAGGAAAGTACCGTGAAAGTCAGGTTA